AAGCTTTTTTTGTCATATCAAATGTAGTTTTTTACCAGTTGACGTTTAACAACTGAGAAATCAAACATAACGTTACGACGTCAACATCGACGATGTTTGTGTGTTTTTGTTATTGCGTTTCATATGAATGAAGAATGAACTTAATGCAATGTTACGTGCGTTTTTTTTCAAAGTGACTAACCAGGATGAAATTGGTCTTCTAACAACTGAAACATCACTTAAAAATATGACATTACACACCACGACGATGTAACGTTTTCATCGTGATTTGAAATGATAATTATACGTTTTTAAATCACGACCTAGTAAAGGTACTATAGTCATTGGATTCCCAGTTTTAGTTTTACTTCTAATTTTGCATTTTTTCATCTTTATGTAAAAGACCGTCAGCCGACCATCGACCACATGTACCCAACTGTGGAGAGTGACTGGTCGGTGGTCGGCGGTCGGTGTTTTACGAAAACCCTACCTACCTTTACCTACCTCCCTATACCTACCTACATGTACCTACCGAACATTTACCTACGTACCTGTACCCCCGCCTGAACCTACCTACATGTACCTAGAGGCCCGTACTCGGACTGGCTGACTTCGGGCAAGACCTACCTATAGTGCTGGTATATATGCCCCCCCATATATTAATTGATCAGTCGTTTAATTTTCAAACTCCAACAAACTGCAGAAAAGTATACACCATAAATCATATTTACCAAAATGAGTGTCTTCAAGGCTTCACACCAGCGTATGCATAGTGCATTTGTCACGAGTTTGAGCTGAAATCTCGCCAAAATGAAGTAGGCTTAGGATAGTCTCTGCCAGGTTTGTGGACTGTGGTAAGCTTGTAAGTGCTCAGAAGCAAATAATTCATGTGCACAAAATAATCAAATAATCTGATTGGTTAAAACTTTGCTGCACATGCGCACAATGTGTGCCATGTTTTTCTAATGATTTCGTTTAGTTTCAGGGTAACTTCAGCAAAAATGGCGGACCATGAACAGAATTAACAGGTAACATTTCACTTCGAAATTTCAAGAGAACTTTTTACCTATAATAGCAAAACTTTTGTTTTATTTGTGCATTCTATCTATCAGATAAGAGTCTCGGGGGTATGTAGGCAAATTTATTTTGGTAGGAGCACTCTGTTTAGTTTGAAAACGCACCCTTTATTATTATATATCAGCACTATACCTTATCCCGTGCCAGGACAGAACGTGATAACACTATACCTGTATCTACCTACGTGTATCTACCAACACGTACCTACCTAAGTACTTCCAGTACCTACCTGTACCTACACGTATCTATCTGTGCCTACCTACATGTTCACACATCTCTACCTACCTGTACGTACCTATATGTACCTACCTCCCTCCAGTACTGACTTGCCTGAACTTACACTCCCCTCCATAAGTTTGGCAACCTTAGCTCCCCCATTGAACTACGTGTTAAAGCCTCTTTACGTTTGAATTCTTATTTACTTAACCGGCGATGAAATAACTTATACTATTGATGGAAACGTAACTTGACTTTATTTCCAATACCTCCAAATTTTCTCAATTTTTTCCTCAATTACAATAGGTCGAAAATTGATGATAAATTTGATGAATTTTTGAAAATCGTCGTTCCCATGTAATTCAATGGGAAATGGAGGGTTCGGGGCAAATCAGAAATCAGGATATCTTTTCAGTAAAAGATGTTACGCGGTATATGGCATTCATTCATGGTTGCGCGGTATTTGTGATACGGGTGAATATGCCATACTCACTTGCGGTATACGGCATATTCCGCAGGTGAGTATGCGATATTCCGCAGTGAATATGCGATACATTGATTTCAGTGAATACCCGATACTCACCTGTGGAATATGTCATACTCATTTGCGGAATATGCCATATACCGCAGGTGAATATGACATATACTGCAGGTGAAAACGTGATACAGAAAGCCTTGATTTGATTGGTTGCGAGAATCGACTCTAAATGTAAAACTACGCTGGATTACCAATATAGTTAGTGCGTCGAGTACTAATATATGAATCCTGTGTTGATTGAGTAAGTTTATTACGCGAGATTGGTGACTGATACTTCTGCTAAGTTAATATATTCGATACACAGTACTGTTGATTCAGTAATCATTATAATAATTTATAATGTTTTATAATGTTGCGTATTTCCGTATCACGTTCTCATTGGTTAGTGTGTATGCCATATACCGCAGGTGAATCTGTCATACACTGCAAGTGAATAGCCATATTCGTTGCGGAATATGACATATTTTTGTATCGTGTTTATACAGTCAGTACACGCTCTCATCTGAGGGCACATTTGTCATTACATGCTTTCTGCGGTCTGGCAACGGCCTGTTGATTTCTACGGGGGCCGCAGAAATGAACAAATATTATCTCCGAGTTATAGTTTTTACGGGTACCCTGCGGCCTGTAAAAAACTGGACGCCGTATGGAGACCGCAAGGCGAGCGTAGTTTTCTATGCGCGCCTCAGAAATTCACTTATTTAATTGATCTGCGGCCCATCCTCTCGACCGAGTGCACAGTCGTCAGTCAGTACACGCTCTCATCTGAGGGCACATTTGTCATTACATGCTTTCAAACGAATAAAGTTTCGTCTGTACAGACTTTCATCTGAGTGCATCCTTCTCAGTACACTCTCTCTCTATCTTTTGGAGGTTTCTTTTTCAAGTTAACATAAACATGCCCGTTATTAGCATTTTGAAATATGAAACTGGCGGTATTTGCCCACTCCGAGCGGGCAGATATAGTATATCTTGTTACGCGGTATATGGCATACATTCATGGTTGCGCGGTATTTGTGATACGGGTGAATATGCCATACTCACCTGCGGTATATGGCATATTCCGCAGGTGAATATGCGATATTCCGCAGTGAATATGCGATACATTGATTTCAGTGAATACCCGATACTCACCTGCGGAATATGTCATACTCACTTGCGGAATATGCCATATACCGCAGGTGAATATGACATATACCGCAGGTGAAAACGTGATACAGAAAGCCTTGATTTGATTGGTTGTGAGAATCGAATCTAAATGTAAAACTACGCTGGATTACCAATATAGTTAGTGCGTCGAGTACTAATATATGAATCCTGTATTGATTGAGTAAGTTTATTACGCGAGATTGGTGACTGAAACTTCTGCTAAGTTAATATATTCGATAGACAGTACTGTTGATTCAGTAATCATTATAATAATTTATAGCGCTTTACTTGTTCGTTCAATCTATGCAATTGACAATTGCGCACTTCCGTATCACGTTCTCATTGGTTAGTGTGTATGCCATATACCGCAGGTGAATCTGTCATACACCGCAAGTGAATATGCCATATTCGTTGCGGAATATGCCATATTTTTGTATCGTGTTTACCGCGTAACAATATAGATATAATTTGAAAAGTATATAAGAACCTCAGCATTTGAAAAATAAATATATGGCTTCAACTCCTTTCCAAATTTTAAAGGAAACTGGAAATCCTGGAAAAAAATTCAAAAAGTGAACACCTGCCCATCTTGACACTCTCATTCAGATTAGACATGTTTCAGTATAATAAAAGTTCATTCACTCAATCAACTTCTAACAAATAGCAAAGGTCTTTTCTGGAGGAAGATACAACAGTGATTTCCCAAGGTTTTTTTCTCAGGTGGGTGCAAAATTCTCATTTTCACAATTTAGACCAAAATTAGTCAAAATATGCCAATTTTTCATGATTTTTCTCATTTTCAAGTGGGAGCAAATGGATTCACAAGTGGGTGCAAGCCTATTTTCAAAATCTCACGTGGGTGCTGTGCCAGAGATCATTGTACCATATTGAAATTTTCACCCGGACAAACAGACAGATGAATGAAGAGAATGCTATTTGAATCATTTAGAGCTATGCCCAAACATTTTTAATGAAGGGCGAGAACTTCCAGTATGGCAACTTAATTCAAAATGGCTGCCACATGTGACTTCTTGCCTCGCTTGCCTCATGCCTGGCTTTGCTTATAATTAATTAATTCATATATCCCAAGGATTTCACCTGTTCCCTTCCGGACTTCTTGCCCTTACAGAAAAATTTATGAACCCCTACAGATTTCACTGATGAAATGGGAGGTTAAAGAAACATTTTTTAATTTTTATTTGAGAAATGTACCCTTTCCTCAGTGGTTGAGGAGCTGGCTAAGAGGAAGCATTTCTTTATCATTTAATTTTGTCTACAGTTGATCGTTAACATGATATTTAACTGATTCATAATGCAATTTTCTCTGTATAAAGCAGCTTGGCAATAACATAAGACTGTGTTTCCATCATCGTGTTATATTTTTATATTATAACTATGTAAATAGTAAATATATACAAACAAGGTATTGATAGCAATATATTGCATTAACAATCATAGAAACCATTGTTATTCATTTTGAATTACAAATTAGAAAATTCTCGAATTACGCTTTGTGAAATTAGGCTACTTAAGTCTATATCCAATAACTTGGAATATAGATAAAACCTTGGAAGAAGATAAGTCTAAGGTACCTCAAAAATCCTTCATTATAAAGGTTTTTCTCAAATGCTTTATCATAAAGCAATTTAAACCTGCTATTAACTCTCTATCTTATAATAGAGGTCTCCCAGTCCCATCCAACACTTTCACTTTCCCACAGAGAATTGGATTAAAGGAGTATTGGCTCCCAGGGACGCCACTCGATATTCCAAATATGGGTATCACATAGTCATGTCCTGATTACTAAATTCAACAAGAATATAAGCCATTCTCCTGGCAGCCGTAGAAATATACAGGAACAAATAGCAATATCTCATTATGTTTGAAATTAAAGAATATTGAGTTGTAACCATGGCTTCCAATCCTCCTTAATTGGATCCGAGAATGCAATCTCGATATTTTCCAACAATGAAAATGTCCAATGTCGTTATTGTCTGACAATAAACTGGCACCAAAATCATAATCAGCAATATCCAAAAGATTTGTGCTAATATCTTGATCACTTCTTGTGTGTCATGAAATTTTTGTTATGTAATAAGATTATAAGAGCAAAACTCACGATTCGAAGTCTGAAGTGAAAATGGCTAACTGTTTAATTTTGAATTTCATAATCACGACAAGGGTTTGTTTAAAACCCGGGGTTTAGTATATGCACCAAACGAAACAAAAGAATATCAAAATTGCATTCTGGGATCCAATCCTCCATGAACAATCCGTCAATTTTATCATGCTACAGTATTTAAAAGAATGTTGTCTAGGCAAAAGTTTCAGATTTTTAGTTATCTTGATAAAGCATGGGAAACTTTAAGGTGGCAGATTTGTATGCCATTATCCCAATAGTGACACAGTTTATTTTATCCAAAGAGGGATCATGATGTATTTCACATGTACTGAGGAGCATGAAAAAATGTAAAGGACTAAATGAACAACTTAGAGAATATTCAAATACTTTTAAAGGGCAGTGTTTGTATTTCTGATTCTTAACAACCCTAAATGTTCATAATAATTCATGATGGTCCAAAACTTGCAAAATCAATAGACTCAATAGACTTGGTTTAAAACTTCTTTTCTGAAAATTACAAATCCTAAAAAAAAGTTTTAAATTATATTTTACTGTGCTCATCTTTTTCAATTTAGGAAGTTAATTAAATATATGCACTTTCTTCAGAAGCAATATTGAGCTTTGATTATTTCAGAAGAGATTATTTCAAACGGAATACTAACTCTTCTTTCTATGCTTGTTGATGGTGCCGGTTTCATATCACAACGAATTAGAAACATTTTGTTCAAATTGAGATCAGAACTACACATGCTGACCCTTTTATGTATAACTCAACTAAACCTAACATGGCACCTTTGCCTCAAGCCAGCTTCAATATTTGACAAAAAATAATAGCAATGAATTCCCAACTGAGGCCAATAAAAATAGATTTTTCGATACACATGTAATAAACTAATTGTATTTATGACTAAAACTGCATATAAAATCGAGCAATATGAATAAACAAATTGCTTTTGCACAAAGTTTTTCCTACATTGATTGACATAATTGTATTTACAGCTTATTCAAAATATCTTCTCGCATGCCACATTAAGCTGGCATTTTATTCAAAGCCACAGATTAGTTTCAACTATCGTCTGCAACCAACTCTCCAAATGCATTATGGGATATCATAACAGAGATCCCAACTTCCTGGAATATTTTACATCGTTAACAAACAATTAATTCATGAGGGCATCACTATTTTACAATAATTCCTTCTTAATCCCTAAACATCAAGGAGGTCATTGCAATTTCATTCTCTTTCTCAAAAACAAGACCGAATGACCAATTTTGTGGCATTTTGTTACAATGAAGTACATTTCATCGAAATCTGTTCATAAATCCGTTAGATATTCCACTACGTCTTTATTTTATATCTCAAACAATGACCCCTTGATATTTAGGTACAGGATGTATAGAATCTTCTAGAACAAATCTTTTTGTTATCCCTCCTTGAGCTCATTAATCTGTTTAATGAGGTATGCTTTTTCATCGTTAAATTGTTCATCTTCGGTACGATCCGTGTGAAATTTTTGCAAAAATGTTACCAGTTTGGTTCTATTTTTCAACAAAATATCTAAGATCGGCTGTGGTTTGTTCGGGTTGGCGACAAATACCTGCAAGCAGAAAACAGACAGTTCATTAGTTAAACAGCACAATTCCAATAACAGTAATATTCACATACATGTTCATAGAATTATGCATATCAACTTAACCAGAAGCCTATTATTTAACACATTTGTACATAGAAATTATGCATACTAGTATATCTATCTTATGCATATCTCTATAGTGTAATTGATCAGTTGCGCATTATTTTTCAAACCAATTAATTCTCTCAAAACACGAGAAGCGTTGAATAATTCCGTATGACGATAGGCTCCATATGGAGCCCTATTATGTAGGTCAATTAATTGGTTAAAAGAAGTAGTGACATCTTTTAATGGGTTCTATTACATCATTATGTTAGTACCACGTGCCTAGTACTAAAATTGACAACTTTGAATCTTTCACAGAGCTGTGTCAGGTTTGATAAAATATATTAGGTCAGTGATCCACACTTCAAAGTTACTGAACTGTTTTCCTTCAATAAAAAAATATATTCTTCTTTAATTCTGTTTTTAATCAATTAATGTACACAAATCGTTTTCTTCACCTAAAAATTTAGTACATAAGAGAGAAAAGAAACAATAAATAGCGTACTGATGTAGAAATTTGGCTGATTCCACCTGGGAATCTGATTCAGGTAAATGCTGTCCATTGACGACTGGTACCAGTATTAAGTCAAACTCGTACCATTGTTAATAATGCAGTATTACCTCCCTCCGACCACTAGTAAATAGACCTCTTCTTTGTGTTTCATATCATTGACCACTAGTAAATAGACCTCTTCTTTGTGTTTCATATTATCGACCATCAGTAAATAGACCTCTTCTTTGTGTTTCATATCAGCGACCACTAGTAAATAGACCTCTTCTTTGTGTTTCATATCAGCGACCACTAGCAAATAGACCTCTTCTTTGTGTTTCATATCAGCGACCACTAGTAAATAGACCTCTTCTTTGTGTTTCATATCATCGACCCCTAGTAAATAGACCTCTTCTTTGTGTTTCATATCATCGACCACTAGTAAATAGACCTCTTCTTTGTGTTTCATATCAGTGAGCACTAGTAAATAGACCTCTTCTTTGTGTTTCATATCAGCGACCACGAGTAAATAGACCTCTTCTTTGTGTTTCATATCATCTACCACTAGTAAATAGACCTCTTCTTTGTGTTTCATATCATCGACCACTAGTAAATAGACCTCTTCTTTGTGTTTCATATCAGCGACCACTAGTAAATAGACCTCTTCTTTGTGTTTCATATCAGCGACCACTAGTAAATAGACATCTTCTTTGTGTTTCATATCATTATTGTTAATCGATTTATCTTATTCCGTTTACTCTTTGAACTTCACCTCAAACAGATTCCCATTAACATCCCCAACCAGCAGAAGTCCTTTGTGGTCTATAACTACTGCATTTGGATCATGCAACCCATCAGCCTTAGTGAGAAGGTGTCTGAGGAACACACCACAAGGACTAATCAGACTGACTCTGTTGTTTGTGATATCACCGACAATGATGTGATCACCATCAGTGCAAACACGAAGCTGAGCGTCACCTGACCAGCCATATTCATACTGCATAAGCGTTCTCCCCTCTCTGTCTATTACTATGATACATTCATTGTACCAGTCAGTGATTACCACATTGTTGCTCTCATTCACTGCAATGTAGGGGGAACCAGTTTGAAATAATCCACCGAGAGTTCTCTTCAACACTCTACCTGTCTGGTAATCAATGAATGAGATAGACCGCGTACTATCAGCCACCTCTAACTCTCCATTACTGGTAAATGCAATACAACATAGCCTTGGGACCAATGTTTTGATATCACATCTGTACTCCCCTCCCTGAGTGTAGATACTTATTGAACCAATTTTATTGGAGAATGCATAGCAGTTGTCTGGTGTAGAAGCAATACGTTTCATGTCTTCGTGTACTGTCTTGATCAACCTTAAGTTGTTGTAGAACTGGATTGAATTATATCTCACAGCGGCAAGACTAGATGTTCCCACTACCGCTATGTGTATTATCCAGTTTGAAGTGCTATTTATATCAGTCAGATGAGTTTTCTTCTTCAGCTGTGGCCTTGGGAGGTATCTGGAAGGCTTTGCAATGGGTCCTGGAGTTGCTGGCTTGTCACAAATTCCAGGGGACCTCACAGGATTGCTGTATGGACTCCCAACACTCATTGGTTCATATATAGTGGAAACATTCATTGATTCAACAATTGTTGCCACACTCACAGGTTCTTTAATTGAATAAACACTCATAGGTTCATGGATATCGTCTAGGTCATTTGCGAAAAGAATCGCAATTGAATTGTCCTCTATTGCCTCCCGAGACAGACTTCCCAATTTCAAACTATTTCCAGAAATTACACATGGCTGGAAAGTTAGAGGAACAATATGGGTGGACGGTATCTATACTGGTATAGGCAGTCCTTGCTCTTTCACAGTTAACAGTTTTCTGGTTATTTCAATATTGTCCTGAAGTGTTCTTATATGTGTCACAAAACTCTCTACAAGAGATCTAGATATCTGAATATCTTCGATCTGGGTTATTTTTGACTTGACTTCTTTATGGTGGCATTGAACAATTTTATTTTCCCAATTGTGGAAAGCATTGTCTATGTCTGGGGTCAATAACCCTGCTTCTCGTACATGATTTCTGTTTTTCTTCAATTTTTTAATTAGAGTCTGATTTTCCTGCTCCAAGTAATGTTGTTCGCTGATTACTTTCTTTAAAGTATCTGGAAGTGATGATAAATACTTCTCGATAACAATTCCTACTTCATGCTTAAATGCTCCGACAGCTTGGTCGATTTCCAGGAAGCTATGCCCAGCATGAAAATAAGAGTAGCAAGTTAGGCACATGAGACTGTTGTCATCTGTACAGAAAAGTTTCAGTGGTTCACCAGGATGTTCTTGACATGTTTGAGGAATTGAACTATTTGTAGAAGTGAGGAGACATTTTGGAAGGGCAGATCGAGCTATCTCCAACAATGAGCTGGCTTTTAGAGCAGTAGTTCCCCCTTAGTGTGGTACATGCCATGTTCTCCCGCACACGGGGCAGCGTAGCGGCTCACTTGGACCACTTTTTCCTACCAAGCCATCAATACAACCCAGACAGAATGAATGATGGCATGGCAGCTGTCTGGGGTTATCAAAACGATCTCGGCAAACTGCACATTTCAGAATATCTCTAAATTTTCCATCTTGAATTGAAGAAGCCGCAGCCATGACAACCTTTGCTTTATGTGAGTCTTCCGAACTTAATGTTACGCTACTAATATAATGTATGGTTATAAAGATAAAAAAAACGTTAAACAAAGTGTTAAGTCCAAGTGGCCTGAGTATATGTCAGATAACAAGACTATTAATAAATATTTGACTTTTGAACTTTTCGACTGATAAAACAAATAACAAAAAAAGGGATGCAAAAATTGAGTCATGTCTCAAGTTACCATCTTGAATTCTGAAGCCCAAAACTTTAATGTGACAGCGCATACCTTTGGTATTATTAATATCTACCTTCATTTGAAATTTAAATATCTTCATGTTGCTTATATAATTTAACACATTTTAAAGTGATCCAAAAGTGAATGAATCCCTTCCATTTTTCTACGAAATCAGCTTTTATATAGCAGTACATGTACATACAGAATGATTTTGGTATAAAAGGAAATTCATTTTCACAATAATGCTGCCAATTTTTAAAAAACTTCTCGATAAACTCTCAAAAAACTTAAAAATACATTAGTATTGATAGGAAATATCGAATTATTATTAATCGCCTCAGTATTTTGAGAAAATTGTTCTTGTTTATTATTAAACCTTCTAAATAAGACCTCTTCTAAGTTTTATTCATCTGAAAATATAAACTATTAGGCTCGATATATAGATGTCACTGTAGAAGACATGAAAAGCATAGTTATTTTGCTTTGGCTTTAACTTTTTTAAATATTTTATCTAGAAACACTTCTGTACCTAAAAACACAACCACAGATAAAACAAACTTGTTTCTCTATGAGTTAAATACCTTTACTGAAAATTAATGTAAAAATTGACCCCAATGATGATATGCACGAAAGTGGTGAGTACACCTGTTGGCAAGTTCTATACAAGTTTCTTAAGGAGCACGTCAAAAGTTCAATGTAGCGCAAAAAAACTATATTCTCAGTTAAGTCCCACACCCCCCCCTCCCCCTATTAACTTGATATGGAAAATGTTGACACACGCGATTATATATTCATATTCAATAGATGGGGTTTTATACAATGGCTGTGCCATAATAGTGAAAAAAAAGAATTTCAACATTTGAAAAACTATGAAATATTTTCAATATGGAGGCGTGCAAAGAGGATTGTGGGTCAAAAAAAGGCGAATGCAATTCCCTGGGGACCGATGTAAGGGAAGCTTATTTTTGGGGTTTCAGACACCCCTAACTGATAATATATAGCCTATTTGGCGACATTGATCTTTTGACATGCTCCCCTAATTGATAACAAACCTTAAAGACATGAAATGCCTCAAATTGGATATTCCTGCTTTTATCACGTAGCATGTTCATCATAAGCTTCAGGTTTTCTGGGTTACTAATATAGCGTGTCATAGTTGTGAAATTGTGACGGTCTAATAGGAGTTCACCCAACAGCTGAAAAGAGAGATTATAATAATAATCAGACATTTTGGTGACAATAACAGATACTTTGGTGACAATAACAGATACTTTGGTGACAATAACAGATACTTTGGTGACAATATCAGACACTTTGGTGACGACAATAACATACATTTTGGTGACAATAAAATATTTTTTTGTGACAATAACAGACATTTTGAAGACAATAATATGAAATTGCCTTATCCTTATAAAACTGCTTGGTCCGTTTCACAATGGTAGCAAAATACTCCCCGATGAAAATGTGATTAATTACTTACCTTGAGCGCCTGTCTTCGGGTGACATAGTTCTCTGAATCGAGAAGTGCCCTATAAGCAGTGAAGATCCTCTCATAATTTTTTTCCAAGAACTCAGCACAAAGTATCTTATGTTTCGTCAGCAAATCCTGGAAAAAAATCAAAAACTGAACACATGCTCCTCTGGACACTTTCATTCAGATAAGATATGTTTCAAAAAATGTTGGGGCAAGAACTCCAATATGGCAGCTTAATTCAAAATGGCTGCCATATGCGACTTCTTACCCTTACAGACAAAGAGATTGATGAATGAACGTAATGCTTCTATAATAACATGCAATTTGTGAACCTCCATGGATTTCACTGAGGAAATGGGAGGTTAAAGAAACTTTTTGTGATTTTTCATTTGAGAAATGTACCCTCTCATTTGTGAATTTGTAGATCCATTGAGTATATATAGCTGGTGCTGTCATCTTTTGACAACATTTTTACCATTATACTTTCGATCATGATTCCTGAACATAATCTTTTTACAACATAACAATATGACATCACACACCTCTCAGCTTTGGATTTGTAGAATCATTATGATTAATAATAAGTCTAACATCTGTAATTTTACAGTTACAGCAGAAGTTCTATTTCTCGTAGAATTTCACCCCAAAAATTTAAGTTTGCTTCTATTTCATTTTATTTGCCAGATAACACTACTTTCATCACTTAACGAATGACTTGCACAGTATTTTGTTATATTTGTTTCATGTTGTGATTCACTAGAATTAGCCTTTTTACTTTACAAAATTCTCTTTTTCACTTTGGAATCCATTATTTCAAATCAAAGAAGTCAATTAGGATTGACAAAGGACAGAGTTATTTCACAGACAGAAATTCACATTATTTCATAGAAAAGGGAAAATGGATACAAAATTTTAACCATCAATGTGGTGAAAAGCCTATACCTTAATAATGGTGCAAACCTTTTACCTTAAATATGGTGAAAAGACTATACCTTAAATATGGTGATTAAATGTGCTGAAAAGACTACCTTAAATGTGGTGAAAAGACTATATCTTAAATGTGGTGAAAAGACTTTACCTTAAATGTGGTAAATGCATCTGATGCAACATCAAATGTAGAAACTTTGACATATTCAAAGAAATCGTAGAATTCATCTGAATTGAGCATGAACCTAGCTAAAGGCTCGTATCGACAACATTCTCGCAACATCTGTCCGCAGTTTAAAGCAATTTCTTGTGTTTTATATCTGAAAGTATAAATTGTGTCACAAAAGTTTATGTGAAATTGAGTTACATCCAAAACACATGAAAATAAGTTGATTCAAACGTAGAGTCACGAATAATTACATCCAAAAATTATGTCTAATTGTGTGTTGACAATTTTTTTCTCAATGCCTGGTTAAGATCAATCATGTAAGTCAAATCTGACAATCAGTAAATATTTTCTCATCCATTATTCCATTGTGTAGTTTAAGGAAATACATTTAAACTCAACATAGAAAAAACAGTCTTATCAAAAGAAATAAAATTGTGCTACAGAGGCAATAATGTGCATAAGAATTAAGAAGAGAATGTGCTAAATTCAAATCCATCTTTTTGGTCTATATCTGCAAGGGAAAATTGTCTCTTTGTGCTTTTTAAGATGAACAAGAATCAAATAATTGAAAAAATCTGTGATAAGACCCCTTTTCTTGTCGCCTGGCTCATTTATGAATATTTTACATTTCAAAGCATTACCCAGTGCAATATTTGCTAGCCCATTTAACAATGCAGTTTAAGGAAATAAACTTATAAATAAACTTTGTATTTCAATACAAAACCCCATAAAACATTTTCTTACCCTTTCATTAGTATAATTAGTATTTCAGATTTTGTAAAAACGTGTTCTACCGTCGGTGAACGGACCCCTATCTGACGACGTAGAAGATTGTTGAATATCTGGGCAGCGTCTTTCTTACCCTGCGGAGGGAATAAAAAACAAAAAAACTTTAAAATCTAACCACAATTTGTTTTTCAATGTGACATCTTAGAATATCTAAATTGAAATAAAATATAATATTACTTCAGAGTGAATATTATCTCTCTGGTGGTGACATAAAAATGCTCTGGTGGTGACATAAAAATACTCTGGTGGCGACATAAAAATGCTCTGGTGGTGACATAAAAATGCTCTGGTGGCGACATAAAAATGCTCTGGTGGTGACATAAAAATGCTCTGGTGGTGACATAAAAATGCTCTAGTATTCAAGAGAGGTTAAATAATTTGAACATTTCAAACTTAATTCGTCATGTCACGGACACAATCCATATTTTTTGGCAGGAGTTTGTCTATTTTCTGACATATTCTATGTACAAAAATCTATTAGTTGGACTTAACACTAATAGTTGTTTCAGCATTTTTTCATTTGAACAATCGTAATAAAATAAAACAGGGTTCTCACTAGAAATTATATAGAACCACAATTTGCACATATTTTTCACATATTCTGTAATTATCTAAAAATTGCCAATTTTTCAGAGATTATCTTTGAAAAATAAGAATTTGAGGGGTTGCAGCTTAAAGGCAGAATCTGATCTATAGGAAAGATGCAAAATTCCGAATACAAAACCTGATTAGGAATTTAAGTAGAATTTCTCACAACAGGCTAAATAAATGATGATAACAGGCAAACTTAATGGAAATAATAAATTTAACATGGAAAAGTTGAAAAGTCCCTAAAAACAACAGCCGATTTTGTGAAAACAACTGGTGAAAATTGCCTATTGCCTGCTGCTAATGAAGTCTCTGCTGCTGCAAAAGTAGAATAGTTGAATTCGCAATAAGAGTTCAGGTGGTAATTTACATAAACATCTCCCATGATGCATCACTTTGGGAGGGACAAATTTTCATTGACCCGCTGAACAAGTTGATTACTCTGAACGATATGTCCGGAAATCGCAAAGTCAAAGGTCACAATCCGCTAATTTCATTAGTGGATGAGTACAAAGTACATCATAGCGTATGTATTGCATCAAAATGGCGGACGATTACTCAAACAAAATTTCAACAAATTCTGATAAAACTAGTGTGAATCTTGACAAGTTTACTGTACATGAGAGCTCTTCAAACGAGAAGTAACTAAACTGAACTAAACAAAACTTTATTGCATATCGGAGTATTCATTGGGAACACTAGAGAAGATTTGATTGGCAGTCAGATTTGAACAGGAGAGAGAATGGTGCTGTACGAGGTTCTAACAGCCTAGTGAGAACCCTGTAAAGCATATTGTTCAAATATCAAATGCACCTCAAAGTCAATTTTTTGTAGATTCTGTACAATGAGTAGGAGGAGGCCCAAATTATAAAACTCCTGAGCCAACTGGGCTACAAGTTCTGTCTGTGGTTCCTGCTGGTCAGTCCCATATAACATTATCTTCATGGCAACTAATGTTTTTGACACTTCATCTGACACCTGAAGATATAAAAAACAACAAAAAATGTTACTAGGCAACAGGTTCAGAATAAATATGTATTTAAAAAGGCGGGGTTTATATTGCACAAACCAGAAAATCTCCTTAAATGACATAAAAGGCGAGTTTTACCGATTACATAGACAATTTTGCGAGATTCTTCAATTTTCAATTTTGAGTAACACTAATATGATAGTATTCAACAGTTGTTCTTCTTGAACTTGGTCATTTGTAAATCAATATATTTTTATTCTATCCTCAGCTCAAGTGACTGGTTAACAAGTTCAAGTATAGCTATTTTTGTCATATTATATGACCAGGTTCATACATCAATGCTGCTAATTTGTAGTAAAAAAGTAACGTTCATAATACACATATGATAACTAGTATGGGGGGGGGTAAAATGTTGTTTCTACAAGCAAAAATAATGAGGGTAATAGGGATTAGGTCTAGGGGGGTGATGGCTCATAGGGTTAAGTAACAGGGTTAGGCTTTAGAAATGTGAATGGGGATGATATATTGTAAAAATGGATTGAGTTTAGCTATGTGGATGGGGTCTAATTAAAGGGATCGAGTTTATAGAAATGTTGATGGTATCTCTTAAAGGGACTGAGTTTAGTAATGGGGATTGGGTTTAATAAATTAGTAAAATAATGTGGAAAAGAGATTGAGTTTAGTAATGTGGAAAAGAGATTGAGTTTAGTTATGGGGATGGTATCTTGTAAAAGGGATTGAGTTTAGTAATGAAGATGGGGTCTACTAAAATTATCTAGAAATGAAGATAAGACTTAAAAATGGGGATGCTGTCTAATAATGGGAATGGAGTATAATAATGAGGTAAAATTAGGATAATGCACTGAATTTTACCAGCTATGGACATTTTGATTTTGATAAAATCCCCCCCCCCCTTCCTGTGTGGAGGGTCTCACTCAAACTTTGAATGATGCATAACTACATGTACCAGGTTTCTTACCTTAGCTTTTTTCTCACCCTTACTCAAGATGTTGAGGTTATCATGCAACGACTTAGCAAGGTCTTGCGGAGATTTTTGAGACTTGCCAAATAAGGGCATGGTCTCGTTTGTTCAGCCTCTCTTTGGTTTTAATGCAATCTTCAGTTCACCTGGAAATATATAATTAAAAGCCTAGTATATTTATTAAAGTTGTTGCATGAGATGAATGGTGTCATTATAAATGAATAAAGTCTTCATAAAATACACAAAGTCATTGTGAGATTCACAGACTGCGTAATATCCTAGACAAGCGTTATAGATAAAGAAAACTCTGAAAAATCAGAATGACGCAAAGTTAAATAGACCTTAGACCATTATGCAAAAACAAATAATCTTGGTTTTCATGATCAAATATACAAAATCGTAAACGATAATATCATGTTTCAAATCTAACATACAAAATTACACATTTTTAATGATATATAAATGATTTCAATTATAAAATCATAAAAAGAGGCTGATATGTTTTGATTTCAATTCAAATTCCTTAAAAAAATTCAGGTATGAGAGAAGAGGTATGTTTCAGAAAATGACTAAAAAAATTAAAAAAATTGCATTATCATGTCTGATTATCCATTTTCATTTCCAAGGACAAGTCTCGGTTTGTAGACGAGTCTGCTGGGCTTATAATTTTTCCATGAAATATATAGAAATAACACCCAAATTAAATTATGAATATTCAAAAGAGGATATTTAAATCTACAATATGTAAAAATATCGAAATTGTCCTGAGCAGGCGTAACATGCAGTAGACTGATGAACTTCGTTCTCCAAACCGAGACTAGTCTTTTCATGTGATTACCAAACAGCGAACTGGTATTAAAGTCAATATAACTTTGACATAACATCACTAAAACATATATTTGCTTTCAATCCTTCAATTTACAAATGCTAACTCTATATAAATATGAACAAATACTGATATTCACTTAAATGATATTCCTCCTCAGACTCGAGACAGATGATTTGGGTTAAATCAACTCATAAAACTTAACTGTTACTTATGTGGAAACAATGAAGACACATAGTGATAGAGTGAGCAAGTAATTTACCAGATTTTACCCAGAGTGCCAAGAACCTTATCAGATCTTGTCGAGTGCCTCAGCTCTTGCGTCTGTATAAATTCTATAAGTTGAACAGGTTAACAGTTTTCTGGGAATTTTGATGGCAAGAATTACCGCATTTGCCGTACTAAGCGCCCAGGGCACTTTTGAAACTGAAATTCCCACTGTAACCCATTACAAAGAGCGTCCATGTATGAGAGAAATCAAAAATCCCACAGAATTTCATGGATGGGAATTTTTCTTGCCAAAAATACCTTATTTGCAACGAAAGTGACAGCATATTTTTACAATAATGATCGTTATTGGAGAGAATACGGTAATTATGGTGGGCCCTTAATACGGCGATTACGGTATGTGGAGCATGCATATCCAGACACATGCACAAAATTGTTCAAAACAATAATTGACAAAATAGCACTTTGATAAAGCGTGGCAATAAAACATAAATTATTGTCTCAATATAACAGTCAATTGCTACCCTTTGATACAAATCAAATGGTTATTAACTGGTTTTGGATTATCTTCTTGGCATATCATAAGCTGGAAATATGTCTTTTTTCACTGATTTTGGTGCATTTTCTAGGCTGTAAAAAGACAACAAACATGGGTTGCTTAGCAACGGTGTCACACACTAACCAATCATCTGTGAGAAAAATGAATAACATATTTTGGCTTCCCAATGGTCATACTTTCATATTAGAATAAAATTTTTGAAATATAAAATTTGACATGTGCCACCTTCCAATGGTGTCCTGCCCCCTTTTTACAAATAGTGCCTCTTCGCTTCTTAAAAAAGAGCTTCATTTTCACTCTTTCAGTTTACAATAAATCACTGAACTAACCGAGCCATTTAGAGCTCGGCATCGAAATAAGGCCGACTTTCTAGACATGGTAATTTCTTCTGGCGTCATTGCATAGTTAATGAGCATGCATTTAGCGTGTGCTCCTTCCAGCTCACTGATTGGTTGAGAAAAGATCAACGTGGAAGGTTTGATATGATTTTTGACCCGGGCTGTCACAGGCATAGGTAGTGAGGGTGGGGCTACTAAACTGTATCCTCATTGACAATTACACATGGCAATGTACAATCGGCAACATTCATTCACAGTACCTATCCTCTTCTTGAATACGAATCAACATTTCACTAGAAAGGGGAGGGAGGTTAAGACCTAACTAAATTAATGATGTTTTTTTTGACGGACATTGAAATATTGACTCGGCCCATAAAACCTGTATATCCAAACACCTCTCTAACCTGAACACCTTTCAATGTGAACACTTTTTCACAGATTTCTTAGATCCCATTGACTTACATGTTTAAAATCCTTGAAATGATGACACCTGCTAATCCAAACATTTTTGGCTGGTCCCATATGTGTTTGGATTTGACAGGTTTCACCATATATATGTTTTTCAAATGTGTAATCAGGTAATTTGCAAAAGCTCTTTCAAATTCAAAATTCAATGTCTTAACCATTGCCTGCACATTATATATAAATAATTTACATTTTGGCCCATCCAGAATATAATGGATGGGACATTCCAAGTTCTGACTATCTAATTTTGGTTCCATTTCAACTGTGTATGAAATTCACATTTTATAGGCTGAATAGATTTTTTAGATAATTTAGCCAGTTTAGCTTAATAAGGACACTGTGAGCAGGACAGACTACTACACAATAACTAATCCTTATTCTCACTTAATGCCAATAGATTTACCCTTCAAGCTTTAAACTTGGCTACTGACACAATCTGTTATATTTAACCAGGTTGTATGATAATAATAAAATCCCAAATAAATAGCTGTAACACTTCTAAAGGTTATTCTATTAGATTGGGTTTGGCAATTAGTCAAGACATCAGGTGGCAGTCTTGGAACTATTCCTAGACACAGATGTGAAAGACTAAAAACTAAGAGCAAAAATTGATAAGCGAGCCAGCAATTAGTTTATTTAGGAGATGAGATACAACATATAACGATGCGATTTGATTGGATTGTGCGTTAAAAAAAAAAGATTTGGACAATAAATACAAGTTTATCTTACCAACCATTTTTTAGTATGCACTCATACAATAAACATATTTATTTCTAAGAAAAAAACAAATTGAATGCCAAAACTATAAAGAATTTTCCTGTTAACATTCAGGAAGTCTCAAAGCAAAAAATCACCAATACATGCAAAACCATATTATCGATTTTATATTTTATATTTTTATTTTATTTTTTATTTTATATTTTGTAGTTCCTCCTCTATATTTTTGTCTCAAAATTAGAGCAGCAGCAACAGGTTTTACTGAATCAATAAACTATCAAAGAAGACGATAGGAAGTTTGTCTCGAACGACAACTTCCTACCCTATGGCTCTTGTTAACTTGTTCTGAGCCCACTACGGCAACCTTTCCCTGGGATTCCAAATCAATTATTATTATATAGGTGGGGGGGTACCCCAAAATCTCACCGGATTTGCCCTGATTTCAAGAATGATCCTTAAGTAAGATGATCCACAGAGGATTCTCATGTATGAATTGAAAATAAAATACAGTAATGGTAAGGACTGGTAGAAATTTTTACAAATATTATGGTCCAACTACTTTTTTGATGCTAGTGGAAATTTTGGAGTCACTGGTCCGTTGGACCAGTAAATCATTTACGCCCGCATTTACAGACAAACTGAAATTGACATGCTGCTGGTCGGTATGTTAGCTTCAATTTGGGTCAAAAGAAAAACACTGCACTATTCCTGTTTACTTAAGTAATGGTTAAATCATCCCTCCTCTCGTAAGATTGTCAATACAAGCATGAGCATAAAACATTATTCCAGTGATCTCCCCAGCATTAGCAAGTGGGCGTGGCACCCACCTGAGATTTTGACAATAAGCTTGCACCCACCTGAAAATCCATTTGCACCCACTTGAAATGAGAAAAATCATGAATAATAGGCCTATTTTGACCAATTTTGGTCTAAATTGTAAAAATGAGAATTTTGCAAGCACTTGAGAAAAAATCCTGTGGAGATCACTGTATTCAATATTTCGATATCTTCATCACTAGACAAAAGGTAAACATGGTTGATCGACACGTGACATCAATTTATTTTGAGATAGGAATCAACGTCTTCACTTCTTATTTATACCAAGACATCTCTATGTTCAAAATGTAGAGATGGTCTTCGTATGAGATAATTCACATCTTTATGCCTGACCCAGAAGTTTTGAGCAAATAATGGAAGGTAAAAAAGATATACAAAGCTGATACGGTTAAATGTCTGAGTGTAAACTAAATTTCTATGTCAATAATCTACAAAAGGCTATAATACATAGATACTAGTATTCCGTAATTCTGCGGCATGGACGGAATTTGACAAAACTTCAATTTTTGCAGAATCCCTGATTTTCATGAAAATCCCGCGGAATTACCAGAATTTCCAGAAATTACATATTTTACGATCTCCTACCTTTGCGGGGTATTTGAAGAGTGTCTGTTTATGTCCAACAATCAATCATTATTGAGTACAAGTACGATTTCACCGTGAAATTCAACATTCTATCACGTTTAAATTCGCTAAAGCGAGTTCGCTAATGACGCGCAGTTCTTACCTAGAAAGTAGCTGACTTCCGTTTCCGTTTTTCATCGTTTTAAAAGATTGCAGAATTTGGACTTTTTTTGAAAATTTGTGCAGAATTTCGACTAGTATCTGTGATAATAAGCTCATATGACAGCAGATATATAATTTAACAGTGATTGAATTTGAACAGAACATAATTTAAAACCTTAACATTTAAAAATAGACCTATGGTTTACAACTCATTTTAAAATTGAAAGGAACCTTCCTGGTTGGCCACACTAGGAAGTCCCTTTATGTTCAGATACTATAGTCCTGCGAAATCTTATTCTTTTGCCTGTACGATTACAACATGGGAGAATTTTCTACGCTTCTTACACTTAAGATACCTATTTCAATAGATTCCTTGGTATTTTAGCATTCTTTTCGTGTATTTGAATCTACAATTGTCTTGGTTTATCGGCAGAACAAAGAAATTTTTGTTTTTGATCGCAATATTTGCGTGTAATATTTAACTTATTTCAACCGTCAAATTCTTCCATTTATTGGTTATTTGGGCCACTTCCTGGTCAGTCAAATGGGGAATCCTCTTTTAAATCCAACCGCCATCTTGGAAAGTGATGGAATATCTCTCGATGAAAAAGAAAAATGTTCCCATCCTGCCGATATACCCAAACAATTGTGGATTCAACTACACGAAAAGAATGCTAAAATACCCAGGAATCTATTGAAGTAGGTATCTTAAGTGTAAGGGGCGTAGATAATTCTCCCAAGTTGTAATCGTACAGGCAAAAGAATGCGCTCGTTACAGGACTATAGTCCTGGCACGGGATAACCTGGGACGACTGTCACGCTACCGCATTGACATCGCCCGTCTTTACCAGTAGTGCAGGCTCGTGGGTAAGTGCATGGGCATGGTTGGTGGGTAAGTGCATGGGCATTCAAGAGAAAGCTCCTGGTAATTTACTGAACTGAAAGTACGAGTAACAGTTTTCGTTCATTGTCGAATCCTGTTTTTTAGATTTGATTGACACAATCATATTGATAACCAAATGGTAGTGAATAACATTCATTTATTCCGAAGGAGAAATCCTCCGTTTTGCTGCATAATGCATTAGCTACGGTACATATAGAATATAGTCCGGAGTAGGGATACTAGCGGTTACCGTTGGTTATTTGGTTTTCTGTATAAAAAGCTCTTTCTCCTTTTCTGTCCCGTCGCAGCGCCATCTAGTGTTTGATAAATGAATCAAGGTTTATTCTCGATAGGGTAAGTACTAATCTATCAGGAAACATTTACAAGTTTGGTTAGAAACAGAATTTTTATAGATGGCGGAGTGATTTTTGAGACTATGTAGAGCAGAATAATTTTCTGAAACAGGTAGCTTTACGGTGGTAGCTCTCTCCAGATTCAGTTATCTCAAAAACGGTGTGGTCACCGTATGCTTATTTTGTAACGGCAAGCAAGACAAGACTCCAATGAACACTGGACACTGTTTCACTGAGCTAGATCTGTGCCCATGAATATATTATGAAATGAAACGTTATAATGGTCGTCAATGGGATTTTTTACTGCAATCTTGACCCATACACTTCTTACTGCTTCTAGTTTTTCAAATAAAATCTAAGTGCATGTGCACTTGAATTGACTCGATTTATGACATTTTCAAAAATTTAGGTGTGATATTAAAACGAATTTCGAGTTGTTCCTAAGCATATTTCAGTTTGAAAATACTTGGTATGAATGTTCTACTTACATATTATCACTTAGGGGTATTGGTTAATTGATTTATGATTGGAATGATAGGAAAAACGCCGAGTATTTACCTGATTTTTCTGAAATCTTCTTCCCAAAACTTTGAGGAATGACGTCACTTTTGCTCACTGCGCAAAACCGGAAGAGGATGCTGGGAATTGTCAAAAAAGTTTCAAAGTTCAAAATTTTCTTATTATTCGAGTTTGGGACGATTTTACTTCAACTATAGCTGCAAATGCAACTACAATGCCACAAGAAGACGCCGTTAGAGATGCGATTGTAATTGGTGCAGGAATATCTGGATTAGCGACAGGAAAATGGCTAAGAGAAGCAGGCTTCAATGTGAAAATTTTAGAAAAATCGAGCAGAGCCGGTGGGTTATGGGCATACACTGACCATGGATATGGTGTCATGAAATTTACCCATATGTGAGCATTTTGCTTTGATATTTCCTTAACGTGAATACTTTATGCTAATTAGTTTAGAATTAAATACCTATTGCATTGTATTAGCCTTATTATTAAACAGGGCCTCGGGCCGACCCTGTTTGCTGCCTTCATCAACGATTTACCTGAAGCAACAAAGAACGAGATAATCATGTACGCTGACGATGCAAAACTTTACGGCAAAGTTAAAACCGAAGAAGACAAAAGAACACTACAAAAGGATCTGGATAATATGTCTAAGTGGTCAAATAAATGGCAGTTGCCATTTAATACCGCTAAATGCAAAGTAATGCATCTTGGACATGGAAATGATCAACATAAATATACCATGAATGACCAGATCCTGGATATCACCAAAACTGAAAAGGACCTTGGAGTCAATATAGACAATAATCTCAAGTTCCACCAACACGTTGACCTATCAGTATCTAAAGCCAATAGCATCCTTGGAATAATAAAAAGAACTTTCTCCCATCTGGACAAAACAATCCTCCCTCTTCTCTACAAATCACTTGTAAGACCCCACTTGGAATACGCAAACAGCGTATGGAATCCCCACCACAACATGGATATTGACAAGCTAGAAAAGGTCCAAAGACGAGCGACAAAACTTGTACCAGAAATTAAGGACATGAATTATGGGGATAGGCTAAGATACCTGAAGCTACCATCACTCCTGTACAGAAGGCGACGAGGGGATCTCATCCAAACCTACAAAATCATAAAAGGTCTTGACAGGATTAATATCACTGACATTGCTGAAAAATCTGAAGCTCATAGAACCAGAGGAAACACTGAGAAGCTCAATACAAGATACAGTAGACTGAATGTCAGGAAGAATGTTTTCGGAAACAGAATTGTGAAGGACTGGAATAGTCTCCCACAGACTGCAATAGATGCTGACAATGTCAACCAGTTCAAGGCGCAAATTGACAAACACTTCCACAACCTAAAGTACCACTACAACTAGATGACAGCCCCTTTAACCCATGTCCAGTGAGCTTTCAAGAAAACAACCCCCCCCCCACCTTTTCCCACTTAGTAAGACCTTACATATAACAAGATCTGGATAATATAGGATCCTTCCTTCTTCCAGAAGAAATGGTATACAGGTATACATATACAGGTATTAGGGGGTGACGTCTGGGGGTTGATGTATGGGGTTACCTCGTCATCAGGCTATTTAGATCATGTGGTTACTTCGTCATGGGGCTACTTGGACAATTGGTTTTTTTCGACCATGGTCGATAATACAGATTTCTGTGTTCAGGCCATGGGTTTTCAATTTCTATTGAATGCCCATGAACAGGTTAAATAAATTAAAACAACAGGCCAAATTAATGGAAATCATAAATTTAACATGGTCAAGTTGAAAAGTCCTTAAAAACAACAGGTGATTTTGTGAAAACAACCGGAGAAAATTGCCTGCTGCTAATGAAACCCCTGACCATTGTGGAAGTTTGTTTATTCCAGATAGATTGTTATGTCGCCTCTAGTAATTTAGGGAACGAACGAACAACCTTGACTATGACCAATATTTCACCATAAGCTCAATGTCACTCCATATTGATAAAAATAATGCATTTTGAACCTTAAAGACTATAGAGAAAGTTCATAGGTTACCCATTTATATACTGTACATGCAAACTGACATGTGCACCAAAATTAGCAATTTCTTAAATTACAGTTTAACCTGCTTAGTGGAACACCTCTGAATGTGGAACTCTAGCAAGTGGAACACTTTTTCGAAGTCTCATTCCTAAGATCCATTGACTTAATGCTAAAAGAATCTCTGTACATTGAAAAAGTGGAAAAGTTCTGTTACCTGGAGTAACATGGTAAAATTATTATTTCCAGAAATGTCTCCAAGCAGAACTACTGTTTCTCTGATTACTCCTTTCCCGATGATGCCACAGATTTTCCGCATAATACCGAGATGAGGGATTATATATACGGCTATGTGAAGCACTTTAAACTAAATGAAATTATAGAATACAACACACAAGTTGAGAAACTTGAAAGAAAAGGTAGGTCCTTATCACGTTATCTAAAATTTGATTGGCCAGTTTAGTCTTTTTTTATTAATTTCTAATTAATTTATTAACATTGAAACATTTATACAATTTTTACATAATATACAATGGTTACATTGGTACTTATACAGGAATACAGAACTTATTGGTTAAAGATTTTACTATTTCTAATTTTCCAAATTTGTGTTTAAACACTAGCTGGTTTCTATGGCATTTGCCAGTTTAGTCATGTGACTGTCAGAATGATCCATCCAAGATGCGATGCATTATCCTCTTTTGTGAAGTTTCTACATGGTCAAGATTATTTGGGAATTACCAGCATGGTAAAATGCATACGAAGATTACTTCAGACAAATGTAATGGCAATTCTTAAGCAAAATCTTTGAAAAATGTCTGACATTGACGACCAAGATATAGCAAGATTGAGGAATGAGATTTTTTTATAACAATTAGACTTTAATGTAGGGGCTGTATAAGTGTTGCATAAACAAGGATAAGCATAGATGTGAAAGCTGTTAGGTTTTTGAAAGTAGGCATATTTGATTTCTAGAAATATTAAATGTATGGGTCAAAAATTATTAGAATACAGTTTAAGATGCAGTAATAAAGCTAGTAAGAATTTCAACATGCTACTGTATATGTAAACTGGCATACATGTCAAGTTACATTATTTCAATGTCATTTGTGTGAGTACATCCACTTATAAATATAAACCTTAAGTTATAACTAAGATTTAAAGTGTATACTGGTATGTTTTTTAAATGGATTCACTTATTACTCTGTATTTATTTGAGTATGTGCTATAATTTATCTTTTTGACAGTTTATCTGTATGGATCCACCCTCCAAGGATTAATATTAATCAATGCAGTAAAACCTGTATTTCGGAACGTCTCACCAATCTGAACATATCTTAATGTGAACACTTTTTTAGTTACAATTTTGTTATTTCCAATTGAATCACATATCGAAAAACTTGAAATGTGAACACCTGCCACTCTGAACACTTTTGAAAGTTCTAAGTGGCATTCGGATTAAACAGGTTTTACTGTAATATTGTATTACTTTATCAAGAAAAATGATTTTGATATTTTTTTTCAGAAGTAGTTACAAAGTTCGCTCACTAATGCCTGGGTCACATTTGCTGCGATTCATCGACCAGCGCCCAGCCGATTGAGTATTTTGTTCAAAAATGTGAAGTCTTGAACAAAATACTCAATCTGCCGGGTGCCAACCGATGAATCGTAGCAAATGTGACCCAGGCATTACAAAGTGTTCCCAAAAATGTTATGTGAACACTTCTTTGTCTCACATTTTTGTTTTACTATAATAGCAATTTATCTAAAAAAATGATTTTGATTTTCTGAAGTAGTTTTTTTTTTTATATTTTCAGTTTATTTAAATTTCCTTGATATTGAAATAGTACAAAAGAATGCCTTTGTTAACTTAATGACATTAGTGGCATAGTAAAAATTAAAAGTATAACACAGGAATTTACACAATTTCAAAAAGAACGTAGTATGTTCAGTCTGTATGTATGCTTGCTCCCCCACCCACCCATAAGGTTCCCAAAGGATTTTAGAATGTTTCACTGGCTGTTCAATACTGAGATTGCTATTGAGACATAGTGAGCCACGATTTCAATAATTTTCTGAAGTAGTTTCAATCAAAGTACACTCACAATTATATGTGAAGATCCCAAAAAAAGTATTGTGAAATATTATCTAGCAAATAAATTAGTCTTTAGACCCTAGTCTCTAACCTTGAATCCCCCCCCCCCTTATGATGCACCTTAAGTCAAACCATTCACTGATATAAGTAAAATTTACCATCTACATCCTTCAAATGAAACAGTATTACATGAAATTACCATTCTAAAGATGATGAATATGCAGGAATTAATCTTTGTTTTAATTTCAGGAAATGAGTGGCAAGTAACTATAACCACGGTATCAGAGGATGAACAAAACAGAATAATCCCTGTAGGGGAGCCTACAGTGATTGTTGCTAAGTATGTTGCCATAGCAACTGGGCATCATGCAAAACCAACATGGGCAAAGTTCCCCGGAGAAGAGTCATTTACAGGTACACCAGTTACAGGCTATACTACATATTTTATAAGTTATTAAATGATTTGAAGAGCAATACAGGATATATTGTGCTCGAGAAATTCTGTATTGGCAGGAGAAGAAGTAAAGTGCCAATACAGAATATGGAGAGCACAATTTATTTACCTATTGTTTTCATTCATTTTGACTTTTGCCAGATATTCATATTAATCCTATAAAACATCTGCTTTTATATTATATTTTATCAATGAATGAACCGTCCAAGATTAAACCAATGTTTTTGGATATCTTAGGGTCCATAATGCACAGTGTTACCTACAAAGACGCAGAGTTCAACAAGCTATCAGAGAAACGTGTTGTAGTAGTTGGGATTGGGAACAGCGCGGTGGATGCTGTTTGTAACTTAGTTGAAGTAGGCAGGTATGAATACTACTCTTCATATGATTGGTTGATCTATTCATGACAAGCCACATAAGACACAGTTTTCCAATTGGTCTTGAATATAAAATCAATGCCCTTGTCCTGCAAGAACAATTTAAATTAAAACATGTAATATTTGTATTGATTTCCAAACTGATCTTAACTTGTAATGATTCATATTCCTGACAAAACTCCAGGCAATCTCACTTCTAAACTTTTTTTACTTATTTATATATGTAACCACATAAATACGAGTAACATGTACATAACAGTGATAAAAAGACCCTAGGCCCTAGGGGTTAACCTTAATTTCTTTGAAAATGTGCATATTGGGCCTCCTCGTTAATACTTAAAGGTACATTTGAAATATTCCTGAAAAGGTGTTATAAATGCTATTTATTTCTTTTCAGATGCAAACCTGTGTACCTGAGTACCAGGTCAGGTGCCTGGTTAGTCCCGAACTATATCTTTGGTTGCCCCACAGATCACTACGCCAACCGTCTTTTCTTAAACCTACCCTGGCAGCTTGCGACACGCATCTTCGAGGCAGTTATTACACTGGTCAATGGAGGACCATTTGCGTAAGTGACAATTTGGATAAATGGACCGCCCATAGCTAACTTTTGCCAAGGGGGATTTAGTTTTAAAAAATTCCAAGGGGAGTTCAAATTTGACAATTTAGGCTCAAGATCACTTGTAAAGTGCTCATATCGGTGAACACTGCATGATTTTTACAGAATTTTGGCCAGGTTGGGGGTTGGCTTGCCCTGGCTAATATGGGCCTGACTGTTTTATTCATTCAATATGGGGTAGTGTATTTCTGGTGCAGCGATCTCCATTGATTAAAACATTTATTATACCATTAGTTAGTCAAATATCGCATCGTGTCTTGTTTTGTTTTACTATATGTAGATTATGTCTAATACAGGCTTGGCTTGAACCCTAAGATGAGAGCTTTACAGACACAACCAACAGTAAGCCCTACACTAGCACATCATATCCAACGTGGGGAGGTCAAGATCATGCCCAATATCAAGGTAAGACCTACAACCAATGATACTGTAAGGTTTTGTGCCTCTTACCTACTTTCATTTTGTAGTTTGTATCCCATGGTTTACTCCAAATAATTTGGGTTGGTATGTGCAGCACGGTCATTTTTGGCTTTGAGCATAAAACATGGAAATTGGCCAATCTGAGAGGAAAAAAACATGGAAAATTGTCTAAGAAAGAAATTAATAATTTTTTTTGCTAGCAAACCATTTATATCAGTGTTTATTTGTAGCAAGTCCATTGTCCAGCTGTTTCACATGATCGATCGAAGTATCCATAGCAACACCAAAACAACAATATTTTTATATATTTGTAGAAAATCCAGGGTTCAAGTGTACATTTCACCAATGATGAAGTAGTGAAAGATGTTGACCAATTGATATATTGTACAGGGTATAAGATAGACCTACCATATCTTAGTGATGACATCAGAGCTGATCTCCTTGACGATGCTACCAATGAGATATCAGTAAGCTTATTTTCATGCTCTGTCTTCCTAGCAACCTAGCAGGTGGGTATTACATGTACACCCACGTGAGATTGTAAAAGTAGGCATGCATCTACATGATAATGCATTTGCTTCCATTTAAAATGAAAAAAGTCATCACAAATTAAGGTCTATTGTGAATAATTTGAGACTGAAATGGGAAATTAAGAATTTTGCACCCACTTCAGAAAACTGGCCAGTCCCAGAGGGGTTAATATTAGATAGGTTTTACTGTTCAAATATTTTGTAAAATTAACACTGTTCAAATATTTTGTAAAATTAACATGTAACTAGTTTTACATGCATTGTCTGTTACTTCCAGCTCTTCAAGAATGTATTTGCTCCAAAGATCGGCCCAACACTTGCGTTCATTGGATTTGTGCAGCCAGCCTCTGGTGGCGTACTTTCTATGTCTGAGATGCAAGCTCGCTGGTTCGTGGAGTTATGTAAGAAGACTGTGACGCTACCTAACCAATCAGAAATGAATGAGATTATAGATTCGGATTTGGTGAGTTTTTATGTCACCACCAAAAAGTTATGATATATTGTTATTTCTGAGTATAACCATCATATTCTTGAACTCTTAATGTGAACAATTTTGTTGTTCACAAATTTCTTACCTCCCATTAAGTCACATACTAAGAAACCTTGAAATGTGAACACCTGCTAATCTGAACACTTTTTTACGGGTCCCAGTGGCTGGCGTTTTACAGGTTTACAGGTTTTACTGTACAAACTTACAATTTGGAACAAACATCACAGTATGAATTTCTACAGTATAAATTACCCAGATACTCCCCTTTACATGTACATGTGTTTTCTATTTCAAGAACAAGACTAGAGACAGATACTTCCACAGTGCCAGGCATACAATCCAGAAAGACCCAATAATGTACTGTGATGAAATTGCAGATTTTATAGGTGCCAAACCCTCATATCTGAAGCATCCTGATTTAGCATGGAGGTATGTGAATAATATCATCATAGAACACCTAACAGATTTGACCATACCATGTGCTTATTCATTTAGATTTTTATTGATAAACTTTCTCATGAAAAAATGAATCTTAGATTTATTGAATTTTCTTGCAGAAATCGCCTGCTCCCGACTTCACTCATTTTGTCAAATTTAAAGCAGTGATGTCCAGATTTGTTTTTGTGGTCAGAAAGTACTTGCAAAAAAGTTACAACTATCTGTCATGAATCCGTAACTTACCTGGCCTTTTATATTATAAAACACAGACAATGATTTTCTTTTCAATATCATATTTGATTTGCAACACTGTTATATTCCTATTTCGTGTCTGATGACCAATATGTAAAATTATTTCCAGGCTCCTTCTAGGAACAAATGGTCCTGCCCAGTACAGGTTAGATGGTCCCAATCCTTGGAAGGACGCATCTAAAACAGTGAAGAAAGTCCCCCTTACTGGCCTCATGAACTATTCTGGGATTTTGGTCCTGTTCTTATTTGTGATTTTATTGATCAATATTTACTGGACAATTTATGACCTTCTGGGTTTCTAGTCATGTTTGAGGAACAAATAGGAATGAGAGGAATAAAATCAAAAATAGATAGGAAAATAGACAAAAGTATGAAGGAAAGGGTCAGAATGGAAAGGAATACAGTCAGACATATAAAATAATCAAAAAAGAAAAGACATTAAGAAACAAAGTAGAAAGAAATATTAAAAATAGAAAGAAAAATAGACAGAAATAGAAAGGAATGGTCAGAATGGTAAGGAATTCAGCCAGACAAAGAATAAAATCAAAAAGAAATAAAGGAAAAGAGACAAAATGTAGAAAGAAATATTTAAATGGAGAAAGGAAAAGAGACAACAATAGAAACAGTCAAAATGGAAAGGAATTGTCAAAGTAGGATGAAATATTATCAGAAATATTGTAACAAGAGAATTGACAAGTTAGATTTCATCCTGCAATTTATCACATGTTGGTTGTAAGAGTAAATGACTTTATACATTTATGAAAAATTCTTGCCTCGCCATTTCCTGTGAATTTAAACTAGAACCTCCATGACATGGAACACTTCCCAGGTGGAAAAGCTTTTAAAAGTCCTGTGACGCATGATTTAATCATATTGAACCTCCGTTAGTGGAATTCCTTTTTGTTGTCTCAACAATGTTCTACTTCCAAGTTTAACTGTATTAGGAATTTGCTGGATTGAAATGATAGTGTGTATTTACTATCTGCTCTAAAGTGTACTTATAGATGACCTGGTTCTCTTTAGTAGTTTTCTAAATCTTGTGTAATTTTTTTCATGAGTAATTACCTGATCCTGTGTAATTTGTATAAATATTCATGTGTAAGGTGAAACCTGTAAAGTGGAACACCTCTGTAAGTGGAACACCTCTATAAGTGGAACACCTCTGTAAGTGGAACATCCCTGTTAGACCAGATGACTTAATGTCAAATGAACCTCTATAAGTGGAACACCTCTAGAAGTGAAACACCTCTGTTAGAGGAACACTTCCAGAGTCCCAAGACCAACTGAAATGAACCTCTATAAATGGAACACCTCCCAAGCTGAACACCTTTTAGAGCTACCAAAGGTGTTCTACTTAGACAGGTCTTACTATGTATTTTTAATTCCAAATAATGTGCAATTTCCAGATTAGCTACATATGATACATAGCAAATCATCTGTTATCGTGATTATTAGTAATGTAAATTGTGCAATGAATGAAATGTTTACAAAGATTCAGCAATTTGGATTGATGGTGTATTATTTATTGAAACGAAAATTAATATCATATTCACAGTCTAGCTACAAGCTCTTGTCCCCCCCCCTCCCTCTACTGCATACACAGTCAATATAATCCGGCGTCGTTTCGGCATCAAAAACTTCAGCGCTGTTCCAGCACCGTTACCTTTCGACACCAAAATTTGGCACCGGACTAGTCAGTCCATTTGGTGCCAAAAGGGCACCGAAATTTGGCACCAAAACGGCGTCGAAAATCAGATTGCATTTTGAGGGTGTACCTCTTTTGTGAAGTTGATAGGGTGAGGTGCAGAGACTTTGAGTAAGCAAAGTTTAGTGCCATATCGCAGCCATATAATTGCCTTCATGGCATTATATTTTATTTTGCTATATATTTGTATTTACACTTTTTTAAGATTGTAACTGGTTTTGAAACAGGGTTACATTTTTGATAATTAAGAATGTCATTATTGAGTTATTGATACACAGCCATAATGTAATATCTAATATACAGTGTAGTATACACAATTATTTTTAAATGTGTACATTTTTATGTTCATTTTCTGTGATAATAATCACTTATCCTGCAACTGCAGTTCAAATAGATCCACTATGGCTCAAATAGATTGGCTGTAGTTAAAAAAGATCTATCTTAGATCAAATAAATGAACCATGTGCGGACTGTGATATTCTGTAGTTGAAAAATCATGGAGCAAACAGATCAACTGTGGTTGAAAAGATTTACTGTTATTAACAAAGGTCTACAGTATATTTTGACCTTGATTTCCATCATGATAAAATGGGATAATTATTGCTAGAAAATTGTGTGTATTGATTTATAATGAATGTGCCAATGTATATTTTTATACTTAGTATTTCTTTTTTTTATTAAAGTTTGTTCATGCTTTGTATATAAGAAGGTGGTACAAAGAATACAATGCACACAACAGTGTAAACGTAAATATTTATAGAATTCAATAAAAATTGCTTTCAAAGAGAAATAAATGCAAATGAATATAAGGAGGATTGTTTTTGTGGAGTTCTTGTGTTTGGGAACATTTTTGTATGAACAGGCCCGTAGCCAGGGGGGTTCCCCCCTGGCCTAAAATTCTTTCAAAATCATGCAGTAATTCATCATTCTGAGCACATTTTAAGTAATTTTGGCCATTTTTGGACCAAAAGTGAAAAAGTGAACCCCTCCCTGGAAATTTTCAAAAGTGAACCCCCCTTGGCAAATCCTGGCTACGGGCCTGATGAATTTCTCAAACCTTTAATGTTCAGTTAATTTCATATTTTATTTATTTAATACAGGCTTCGGAATAAAAAGTAGATACATTCTGATAAATGTCAAATACCTTAATTTTTCGATAACCCCAAATATCCTAGTACCACATGTCTTCAATATTCAGTTCTCTCCCTATTTCTCAACCACCCAATACTTATTTTATGCCACACTACTGATTTTATCTTTGCAACTTTCAATTTTTCATCCCGTTTAATGAATATTTATTTCACACTATGAAAATGCACATTTTGAACCATTTAAAGTAATAAACATCCAGTAACACATAAATGCCAGCAATACACATAGATATTGAACAACTCTCTGAATTACGTGACTGATCAGATCATTCTTTGCATGAATATAATTTTAGCTCTATAACAACTGCTCTTGCTCTGCAATTGATAAGGGTACCAAATCTAAATCATTCTTGTTTTGTTAGAGACAAAATGGCGAGATTACAATACATTTTAGTCATAGTAGTTCTTGGAATATTGGCAACTACTAGTGTGGAGGGATCTCAATGTTCTTGTTGCATTGGCCTTGTTAAATGTTCTGGAGACAATTGCTCGTGCAAAGGACTATTTGGTAAGAATAATTCTATCATTTCTCAAATGATTTCAGTATGTTTCAATCATGAAGTTATTGAAGTACGAATGTGTAACAAAACGTGGGTTGGCTACTTTTGTCATCACTGTTAACCCCTTAAAGGAATAAGTAATTCATTTTAGATAAAGTGGAAAACATTACTTCCCGTGTTATTTTCCCAAAGGGAAAACTCATGCAATCCAGTGCTTTCAGCTAATTTTGGTCACCCATAATGGATATCTTTAAAACCTCTGAAAGAATTACTTATTCCTTTAAAGGGGTTAACTGTGTGTCAAAACCGCAACATATTGATTCAACAAAAATTGAAAAAGCAGGGATGGAAGGGGTTGAAAATCAGGACAACATTTCAGAAAAAATATGTAGCTGGGTTGTTTGTATCTTCTCTGTCTCAAAAGTCAAAATTATTTTATCATCTCTATGAGTGCTTTTCCAGGAGTTAATGCATTTGCCAAGCATATATATTCACCTGTTTAAATCCTCAGAAAATAGCCAAAATCCAACATCTTGACTGTTCGAAATCTGTTGCGATACTTTCTGTCCTCCTCTGTCTTTTTTAAGCTGATTATGACAATGAAACATGATGCGTTTTACTGACAAAGCGATTTTATAGAAAAATTAATGCACATAATTGTGAACATCTTTAGTTTTACACAAAAATAGTCACTTTTGTTTTTTAGAAAATGGACATGGAAACTTCAAAATGTTCTTAAATTTAAACTTTTTTTTGTCACAAGTACTTCACTGACTACTCTTTGCTACCCCTGTAAATGTGGGGTTTATTTTTAAAATCATCCCAACAACTACTTGCGTATTGAAATTTTGCGGTTGAAAATAAGCTTGATTAGTGGGTGGTTATATACTCATTCACCAAGTAGATAAAATTCTTTGTGTCGATGACAATTTGTTTCAACATCAAGCTTTCAATACACAAATAGTTGTGGGGTTGATTTGAAACAACAATCAATACTGGACACCGAATTGAAATCTGAAAGTTGATGGTATAATTCTTAAATTAAATTAAAAAAATATCTCATCTAAAATTAACCCATCAGAGGACATTTTAGAATTAACATTATTTTATGTGAACTCAATAGAATTAGACTTTTAAAAATCCCATCTGAAATTAACCTATTATAAAGATCATTTAAGAATTAATACTATAATATGTTATGTGAATTCTTCTAGAAATCCAAGTTTATAGGGAGTTTACATTAGTGCGACAAAGTTAAAACCATTTCAAGACAATTTATGACAGAATTCCCAGGCCCCAGATGCGCTTTTATTAATACAAACATGAGGTTATGAAATTATTAGTAGTTTATAGCTGTTTTATATATCATGTTCTATGGACTCCTATATTCTATGTCACATTCTTTATGAACATCTCTAAAAATTCTGCATTTGTAGTGATTTTTATTTATGCACAGAAAAGCCTTCTCAAGTCTCTTATTACTGCTAAGAATTCAATTGTTTTCTCAATTTTATAATTGCACCAATATTCTAGTGTTTTGCAGAATTTTGTAATTAGCATTCGATCATTATGATTGTACACTCTACTTTTATTTCTGATAAGACTTATTTTGCAATAATCCAGATGTGTATTGCTTGTATTAAGTTAGCGTGACTTTTCGCAACGTGTTTTGCATTATTTTAAACACATAACATTTATGTTGTCTGGGTGAAATTGATGAGAGTAGTTCAATCAAAAACTCTAGATTCCTGTCTTGATTTGACCTTGACCTTTGATCTTCAAAATGTCAACTTATCAGTTAAATTTTGGTCCTCTTCAATCATCTTAAGCACTTTTAAACTAAATAAAAAACTGTCTTGAAAATTGGACGATTTTGACCTTTAAAGGAGCAGTTATCGTCTGGACAGACAAATTGTCAATTTGAAGTCAGATTTAAATTTTTATCAAAACTTGCATGGCTGAACATCATCTGGCAATGTGTTATTCAATAAAAGATTTGTTCTACTTAAAGAGAGTTAAAATTTGACCTTGAAAAATTTAGAAGTTTGACCTATTTTTAGTTTAAGAGTCTAATATTCCAAAATTTGTGCGATGATTAATTTTTAGAATTTAAGTCAAACATATTTTAATTTATAGTTTCAAAGATTGGGTATCGATATGGCGAACTTTTTGAACACACGTTTCTCTTAAACCAGTCATCAAAAATTTTTGAAAATCTTACAAATTGTCAATTGAATGGCCATCTTTTGAATGGTAACAATATAATTTGAAATAGATATACATACTTTCATCTATATTGTTTTAAAAACCACATCAAACACTTGTTTTGTTCTTGGTATCATGTTTCCAGAGTGAAATGAAACATCTTTCCGAACCTCATTGGAACAAAACGACATAAACACAACATGTTTCTGTGTTTAGGTCTCTCAATATTGTAATTGTACAAAGGAAATTTTGGTTCATTTTAAAAAAGTATCTTGTTAATGAAACAAACGTTTTTTTTTATTTTTATCTATTTTGGGGGGATTTTGTTTTAATTTTTTGAATACTTTTTTAAAATGAACCAAAAATTCCTTTGTATAACTTTAATATTGAGAGGTCCAAAAACATGTTGTATATGGTATTTTGTTCCAACAAGGTTCGGAAAGACATTTTATTTCATTCTCAAGAATTGGTAGAAAGGAGCAAAAACAATTGCTCTAAAAAACAAAAAATGTGAACAAAAACAGTTATATCAAATATTTCTAAATAATTTTCGCATTAAATTGTTGTTAATCAGTCAACATTACATAAAATACCATAATTTTTACAGAATGTTTTCAATGATTGGTTTAAGAGAAAAACATTGTTGAATTCAATTCTCCATATCGATACCTATCCTTTTGAGAAACTAGAAAATATCATTTGTGACCTAGTTTGATGAATTTTACCTCGGATCGTCTATTGTGATAAAGTACTTCAATTATCAATTTGAAAAACTGGGGAAAAACATTCTTTTACCTTTAGAAGTACATATTCTCAAACTTTAAGAAACTTTAATTTGACCTAGATTTTGACCTTGGCCCAGATAAAACTAGTTTCCCAAATTTTGTCCCAGGTCCCCGATAGGAGAATACAAATCATTACTATATCCTGGCTGGAATTAGGAGAAGAATCAGATAATAAAATTTGAACCAAATCTGAAAACTGGATTTGTTTCATCAATGATTATATTTTTTACAAAAAATTTCTTTCCGAGCAGAGGTCCTATGCCCATACACGTGCATGTAAAATTCAGACTATATTCTTCAGCGGGTATTAAAGTTATCGTCTGGACAAATGGATAGCTTCACCACATGTATATCCCTTATGAACTACATTTAGTGGATAATAGGGTGGTCCAAAATATGGCGAAAAACCAACTTTGTTTCAGATCATCTTCCTCATTTCACTTACTGTTGTCCATGACCTAAAACACCTGCACACCAAATTTTAAGACCCAAATCACATGGGAAATTTACCCACGCTTCGACTGAAAATTCAGTTATTTCATGATTTTTTTTGCTTTTTCGATAAATTGTCATCTCCCTTTTCCTGGTATAATATGTTTCTATTTTTTCATAATAAACATTTTTGTAGGACTCTTTATTACTTCATAATACTAGGAACCCATACACCAAATGTTGAGACCCAAATCCCATGGGAAATTTACCCACGCTTCGACTGAAAAATTCGTTTATTTCATGATTTTTTGCTATTTTCGATAAATTGCCATCTCCATTTTCCTTGTATAAAATGGTAGATGTCTTTTCATAATAAATATTTTTGGATGAATCTTTATTACTTCATAATACTTAGGAACCCATACATCAAATTTTGAGACCCAAATCACATGGGAAATTTACCCACGCTTCGACTGAAAAATTGGGTTATTTCATATACAATACAATACATCTCTATTTTCCTGGTATTATATGTTTCTATTTTTTATAATAAATATTTTGGGAGGACTCTTTATTACTTCATAATACGAGGAACCCATACCCCAAATATGCACCAAATTTTGAGACCCTGGCCCCATGAGAAATTAATTCATGCTTCAACCAAAAATTTGTGATTTTCTGCGAATTTTCTCCTATTTTCAATAGATCAACATTAATCTTATATTTAGTTTTTAAACATTTTAGGAGGACATTAATACGTTCTTAATACTAGGAACCCATACATTTAATATGTACCAAATGTTTAGACCTGAACCCCATGGGAAATTCACGTTTGCTTTGATCATATACTTTTGATTTTTGTCGTTTAGAGCACCATATCATTGTTGTGTGATGTGCAATTTGGAATAAATTGTATTACACGTTGTCTTAATTATCCTGTTTGGCCTTACATACGTTACATCGTGAAAGATGGTTATATAGTACTTTAAGGTAATTCCATATTTTCAGTTTTAATGGCTTCCTAATTGGAGCCCCGTGTTTTTTCAGGAACACATAACTCATTCCATTCAGATGCACAAACAGTGTATAAACATAGCACATAGTACATTATAGAAAATTACTAACCATCAACTAATAATCTAAATACATATTTGAACTCAGTGTAAAATTGAAAGAGCTGACCAAGTATGGAATGAGTTCCAGAAATAACATTGGACTCCACTTAAAATTTCTGAACATACAGAGTTACCTTAAGTGTTTCTCATTGCTCTTCCTATCTTCTACATTGTGTACTTTCAGGGCATGAACATTTTCAGAGAAATGACGAATCCCTTGAAGATTTGGTACAGGCTTACTGGTTACAACAGAGGATACATTGATCAATCAAAAAATCATTTCTCCAAAGAAAATCAGATTTGATTTTTGACCTTACCCTGCAAAGATGTGAGAAAGAATATGACATCTCACAAATCCAAACAAAGTCCTGTGATGTATCCCTACTGAAACCAACAAACCAAATCTTCAAGGCATTTGAGTTGCTGTTGAGTCATCACTTCTTAATATTAACCACAGTATATAAATGTACAAGTAAAAGATCCTAAATTTACCCAAACTACTGAATTTGTCGCCTTTCAATAAGACTTAAAGTCTTGATATTTAGGTGTTTCTTTGGAATAAGAAGGAATTACCATAATGTTTATTAACATATTATGCCCCTAAAACAGACATCATAAGCTATCATAAGCACCAGTTTTCAGTCAAAGCATGGGTAATGTTCTCATTGGATTTGGGTCTCAAAATTTGGTGGATATTTGGTGTATGGGTTTTTAGTATTATGAAGTAATAAAGAGTCCTCAAAAATGTTTATTATAAAAACATATCGTACCAGGAAAATGGAGACAGCAATTTATTGAAAATTGGAAAAAATGTGAAAATCACAATTTTTCAGTCAAACCATGGGTAAATTTCCCATGGGATTTGGGTCTCAAAATTTGGTGTATGGGTTCCTAGTATTATGAAGTAATAAAGAGTCATCCAAAAATATTTATTATGAAAAAATAGAAACATATTATACCAGGAAAATGGAGACAGTATCTATTGAAAATCGGACAAAACTGTGAAAATCACAATTTTTCAGTCAAAGCATGGGTAAATTTCCCATGGGATTTGGGTCTCAAAATTTGGTGTTTGGGCTCCTAGTATTATTAAGTAATAAAGAGTTCTACAAAAATGTTTATTATGAAAAAATAGAAACATTTTATACCAGGAAAAAGGAGATGGCAATTTATCGAAAATAGCAAAAAATCATGAAATAATCAAATTTTTCAGTCGAAGCGTGGGTAAATTTCCCATGGGATTTGGGTCTCAAAATTTGCTGTGCAGGTGTTTTAGGTCATGGACAACAGTAAGTCAAATGAGGAAGATGATCCGAAAGAAAGTTGGTTTTTCGCCATATTTTGGACCACCCTAGTGGATAATTAATTTTCATGTTTAACTGTAAAAATAATTATACAAAGATGTGTATTCTTTTATCCAAGTAGGCAAACTAGGGGTGACCAATATGTAATAGAGGAATAAATGTCTTTTCTACCAGAAACGCACCATTCAATATTGTTGTTCACTCAGGATGTGGTGGATGTGAAGCTACCGATAGTAGGGCATCTTCAGATGAAGAAAACATTCGAAAGAAAAGGGAAAGGAGAAACTATGTTATTTACGAAGAAGAAAAACAAAACAGAAGTAAGTATATATTGCCCTTTGAAAGATGAACCTTTGATTTAGCCTCAACCAATAAGAATACGAAGAATATGAAGATTGTTCAATAAATACTGATACAAGTACTCTCATTTTCTCGTTTGTGAGGGAATCAAGTTTTTAAAGTTACAGCAATTCAATATAGCCTACAAGTATATAAGTCTAATCTATGGATGAGTGTAGCCATTTTTTCCTGTTAAGTTTATTTTATTCAGCAGTAATATTACATCCATTTAGTACACTATACTTCTGGGACAACCCTCGTACTAATCAGCTTGATATCCTTTCGGATATATAAAGCAAGGAAAGAAAATGGAAAAATGAGAAATGCAGGTATTATATTACATTCAGCATTTTTTACATTATACTATCTTATTTTTTTACTCTATATTCATAATATAACATACAAAAAAATAAAAACAATTAAACATTTTAGCCTAGTCCAATTGCTGTATAGGGTTTCATCAGACCATTAAGTTCAGTGTTTCACTTATTCTTCTATTTCAAATCATTTTCTTGGACTTTTGACCCACTTCAAGAAGAAAAGTGTCAGTCTTACAGTTTAGTTTAGTTTAGTTTGTTTATTTATAGTGGTCAGTCTTACAATTCAATTATAAAATATAAAAAATTAATTACAATTTTACCCAAGTTTGGAGGTGTTCCACTTACAGAGGTTCAAGTAACATTAAGTCAATGGGTTTATAAAATGGGACTTTGAAAAAGTGTTCCACTTGCAAGGTGTTCCACTTAGCAGGTTCTACTGTACATGAAAATCAACATCACAGGTTGTAAATGAATTGCCTTCTCCGCACAAAAGCCATCTTTTGTGTACTATCCCAAATACAACAATCCCCCGGACACTGGATTTGGACTAAAAAAGTGATAGATGAAAACTGAAACCTGCTTCGGGTACTCTCATGATCAGTATTTATTGAATGACATCGTACACTTGATAAAACATATATACTGTAGTACAAAGTAGTATTGTAAAAAGTAACATTTAAGAATTCATCATTATTTTAGATTTGATAAGAGCAACATGTGAATGCGGAGCCCCTTGCTTTAAAATGGAACAGACGGAAAGTGGATGTGCTTGTGTGCCCACTGGAGAGTGCTATGGCTAAGATTGAACACTAAGAATACATAATAATGAACCTTCATGAATATAATATGAAGTAACAGATAAATAAATAAATTCATTTTATTGAGCATCAGTTGAAATTTTGTTGCTATGGTAATAATAGAGGGTGTTTGGCAAAAAAATAGACGAAGGGTTACGGGTATCTCACTTCAGGAAATCAAATCTTGCTCTTTGGCTTCACATCAAGTTTCATGACATAAAGATAATGATGAACTTCTCACATTCCCAATTTTCATATTCAATTTTAGGCCTGAACACTCAACAGCTATTCCTGGAGAACTAAGCCCCGTTAGAATATAATTATGACTGTTAAGTGCATCTACTACTCTTCACACCATTTATTAGTAAGTTAACATGAGATAAGAATAATAGGTAATGCCTGGGTCACATATGCTCCGATTCATCGGCCGGCGCCCAGCGGATTGAGTATTCTGTTCAAAACTGAATACAATTGTGAACAGGATACTCAATCGGCCGGGCGCCGGTCGATGAATCGGAGCAAATGTGACCCAGGCATTAATGAGATACAGATGTTTATAAAAAAAGATGACAGTGTATTCAATCTGTTTAGAGATAATTTTAAAAAAAACTCTGCTGCCCTCTATAAGTAAATAGGGATAAAAACTTGAATCGTTAGTTATTTACTTCCATACTTCAATAAATAACAACCAGCTATATTCACTGGTAACTATTATATCTTTTATTCACCCGAGAAAACCATTCAATTTAGAATACAATCCAATTCTAAAACTAACACTATATTCCAGTATTCTGGGCAAAGTAAGTGAGTCGGTGGCTTTAGTACAAAACTACCTGAAGAAAATAAGTTGTAAATCCTAGTGGAACAATTAATTCTTCAAAAAACTTGTAAAAGTTAATTGGTAGTAGATCAGTAGGTTATAATGGTAGTCTCAGTGTTTCACTAACAGAGGTATTACACAGGTAGCATTAGCATTGGCAATAAGCAAGAAATTTAATTGTAGTCCTGATGCCATAACTCATTGTAGTCTACTCGGTCCAAATTCTCCGTTATTATGTAAAATATGGTCAATGTCACCCATTAGTTGGGATGTCTGTTTTAATGCATTATGAACAAAATCTGGCATTTTAGAGCTATGATTTTCTTTGTCTCTTTGGGTATTTTCTCGCCCTGGTTTCCAATATCCAGTATTTGTACCAGTCAATTTTCCAATTGAGTTTTGTTGTAGCATTGGTTTTGTTCGTTTTAATCCCAATTGTTCTAATGTTGGACTCCTTGGTATGTTCACATCTTTTATCTGTAGGATATTATGAGTTGGTTTCGGTTGTTTAGCTGCCAGGGGATCCTTTTTCGTTTTACTCAAAACTGAATTCTCCACTATATCTAATACAAGTTAAGGAAGACAAAATATTTTTAATATATTGACTCCTTATCGGAAATTGAATTGAAATTTAAAAACTAACCTGAAATAACAGCAAGGTAGCAAAACCCTATACAAATCAGGAATTTGACAAATTGTGATTTTTGTTTATTCCAATTTCAACATTAGTCCTCTAACAATCAAACCTTCACAGGGGAATGAATAGGTGGAACAGAGATTTGATGCAAAACTACATATAGCTAGTTTTTGTTGTAAAAGTAAATCCTAAAACTGAAGTAGATACATATTTCTAATAGCCTACAGCAATCAAACTTCATACCCTAGAGTCTTGTAAAACAAATTGATTTTAGTAAATTACTGATTATGATTTTAGCGAGAAAGGATACAGTTAAAGCAATGTATTTTCTTCAATTCTGCATCAACAGCGCTCGTAACTCCAGAAGCATGAACACTTTGAGACTCAGGCTGACAACGAGATGTGGCATACAGTGCATCTTGGGATTGATTGGCTGTGGCGGTCAGTACATCTGACACGGGTGGTAAACTGTTTGTGCCTGACACTATACCCTTGTAGAACATATATCTTTCACTAGGTCTCATTTTCCCATTTTCTTTCCTTGCATATCCAAAAGGATATCAAGCTGATTAGTACTCGTATATTGTATTAAATGTATGTAATATTACTGCTGAATAAAAATACGGCTACACTCATCGATAGACTGAAATACTTGTATATTGAATTGCAGTAACTTTAAAAACTTGATTTCCTCACAAATGAGAAAATGAGAGTACTTGTATCAGTATTTATTGAACAATCTTTGTATTCTTCGTATTCTTATTGGTTAAGGCTAAATCAAAGGTTTATCTATAACTCAAAGAGCAATATCAATGTATTGGAATGGGTATTCATTTCAAGGAAAGTAAGAAATATATACTTACTTCTATTTTGTATTTCTAGGAAAGTAAGACATATTATATACTTACTTCTATTTCGTATTTCTAGGAAAGTAAGACATATATACTTACCTCTATTTCGTATTTCTAGGAAAGTAAGACATATATACTTACTTCTATTTCGTATTTCTAGAAAAGTAAGACGTATATACTTACTTCTATTTCGTATTTCTAGGAAAGTAAGACATATATACTTACCTCTATTTCTAGGAAAGTAAGACATATACGAAGAAGTAATAGAAGTAAGTATATATGTCTTACTTTCCTAGAAATACGAAATAGAAGTAAGTATATATGTCTTACTTTCCTAGAAATACGAAATAGAAGTAAGTATATATATATATCTATTTTGTATTTCTTATATGTCTTACTTTCCTAAGACATATATACTTACTTCTATTTCGATAACTAACACTATATTCCAGTATTCTGGGCAAAGTAAGTGAGTTGGTGGCTTTAGTACAAAACTACCTGAAGAAAATAAGTTGTAAATCCTAGTGGAACAATTAATTCTTCAAAAAACTTGTAAAAGTTAATTGGTAGTAGATCAGTAGGTTATAATGGTAGTCTCAGTGTTTCACTAACAGAGGTATCCCACAGGTAGCATTAGCATTGGCAATAAGCAAGAAATTTAATTGTAGTCCTGATGCCATAACTCATTGTAGTCTACTCGGTCCAAATTCTCCGTTATTATGTAAAATATGGTCAATGTCACCCATTAGTTGGGATGTCTGTTTTAATGCATTATGAACAAAATCTGGCATTTTAGAGCTATGATTTTCTTTGTCTCTTTGGGTATTTTCTCGCCCTGGTTTCCAATATCCAGTATTTGTACCAGTCAATTTTCCAATTGAGTTTTGTTGTAGCATTGGTTTTGTTCGTTTTAATCCCAATTGTTCTAATGTTGGACTCCTTGGTATGTTCACATCTTTTATCTGTAGGATATTATGAGTTGGTTTCGGTTGTTTAGCTGCCAAGGGGTCCTTTTTTGTTTTACTCAAAACTGTATTCTCCACTATATCTAATACAAGTTAAGGAAGACAAAATATTTTTAATATATTGACTCCTTATCGGAAATTGAATTGAAATTTAAAAACTAACCTGAAATAACAGCAAGGAAGCAAAACCCTATACAAATCAGGAATTTGACAAATTGTGATTTTTGTTTATTCCAATTTCAACATTAGTCCTCTAACAATCAAACTTTCACAGGGGAATGAATAGGTGGAACAGAGATTTGATGCAAAACTACATATAGCTAGTTTTTGTTGTAAAAGTAAATCCTAAAACTGAAGTAGATACATATTTCTAATAGCCTACAGCAATCAAACTTCATACCCTAGAGTCTTGTAAAACAAATTGATTTTAGTAAATTACTGATTATGATTTTAGCGAGAAAGGATACAGTTAAAGCAATGTATTTTCTTCAATTCTGCATCAACAGCGCTCGTAACTCCAGAAGCATGAACACTTTGAGACTCAGGCTGACAACGAGATGTGGCATACAGTGCATCTTGGGATTGATTGGCTGTGGCGGTCAGTACATCTGACAGGGGTGGTAAACTGTTTGTGCCTGACACTATACCCTTGTAGAACATATATCTTTCACTAGGTGGCGTGTTGACCCAATTGCACCATTTCTGGGCAAGTTTAACATATCTTCAAAAAATAAATACATTTAATGCATTATGATAATATTTCATTAGTATTAAACCAGTTGTTCACTAATAATTTCCAAAGATCAGTTGATGTACAGACTGATAAATAGATGGCAGAGTAGACACAGTACACATTAGGGATCCCACGATACATTTTTTTTCGATTCAATACGTATCTCGATATTATGAAAACGATTCGATACAAACGATACGATACACATATTCATGTTAATGTCTGTGTATACATGGGGGGGGTTCGAGTCCCCCCGCTAAAAAAATTTTCAAAGTTACCCTTCTGAGCATAGAAAGTTGTGTTGTTATTGAATGTTGGGTTTTTAAAAGACCTCCACACCTCAGACTTACCTTTTTGGCTGTGTTTATTGCGCGTGATGGTGTTCTCCATATTACGAATGTAAGCAAATTTACGGGATTTAAATCTCGCCGATGTTTCGCTATTCATTAAATATCCGAACGTCATGTTTGATTGTCGTTTGCTCAATATAACGCAAATTGGAAAGCTACTATTAACATCTTAAAACATTAAAATAGAGATACGTCTGGTGCCCTATCGCATTTATTACGTATTTAGATAATTAATGGTATAATGTTTGGTGTGGAAATGCACATAGGGCATCTAAAATCACAAATGTTCGCAAAATTATTGAAAATCTGTTTATTGCTAAAAAGTTCACGTTCGGTTTGAATCACGAAAATTTGTGGCGCGTCATGTGAGCTCTTCAAAATATTTTAATTTTTAATTTTTCCCGGAGTTTTGCTGCGTCAATTTTGGTTTAAATAGAGCTCTTTTACTTACTTAACGGGTAAGTTGATTTGAAAAACGATTATCGATAATATCGAAAATAGAGGATCCATATCGATTAATCGAATCGGAGGTGATTTCTAGCGATTATATTGGTGCATCGAGCAATCGTGGGATCCCTAGTACACATACACAGTAAATTGATGAAAATTTCTGCAATACAATAACCAGATTAGAAATTTTCATAACATTTCACAATGATTCACAACAGTTCTTAACTCTCAGGTATGTAGTCCAAAAACTTGGATTTTTAGTGATTTATTTCAATCTTTAGACAAATGCGAGTAGCATGCATGATAAAAATTTAACTTTTTTTGACAAATTATTTCTGAAAACAAATCAGGTGCTTTGGAATAGTCTTTTCAATTGCACCTACCTTTGGAATTCCATAGGAGCATCCACACAGACTTGGGTGTATTGTCCATTAGGGAGAAGTAGCCTACACACGCCTGGCACAAGGTAGCCTGGTACGACATGTCCCTGCTTCAAGCCTTGGCCACTAGTTGCCATTGTCTGAATGAACAATTCATTTAAGATGATGAGTTTATTTAATGGACAGGATTGAATATGGATTTCATTCTGAGTGAAAATATGTTTCTAAATAACCCAGATAATGGTCAAAAATGACTTGGGGCATTAGACGTTAACATTTACCCTCAACCAGAATCAAGAATTTTGCTTAATATATTTGAAAGCCTAAAACTTTTCTATTACTATTAAAGTATTCTTAATACTTTACCAATTAAGGAATCTGGATGCAAGTACCACATTAAAAAACTTAACCTGAAAAACATCACCACATATAAACTTTACCTGCTGTAATTTCTCAGGACTGTGTCCTTTACATCCTTCTAGCCTGCCAGTGAAATCCCCGAGCATGTCTAGGCATGTTCTGTCATTGAAAACAATCCTTATATGGCCATTCGAGAAAGCCTTGAACTTCCCTATATGGTCAACGAAGCATTCTTCAAGTAACATTGAGGTCAGAGGCTGGGTCAAAGGTCGGGAATGCTCCTGGAGTAATGAAAGTAAGGTAAGGTTCAAATGTGGATAAAATTCTACTTCTCAAGTCAAAATACAAGTGATAAGCAAATATGCAAAAAATGACCTGTCAAAATTGACATCTGCTTTATAAGTGTAAAAATATTTAAAATATGAATCCATAGTAGTTTAAACATATCTTTTTATTTTAATTTCAACTGCACTACACCACAATACACTTCACTACACTACACTACACTACACTACAATACCTTCCAGCAGCAGAGGTCTTTTTCAGTTGTTGACAACTCAAGATGTTCCATCAACCTAAAAATGAAAAACAAAACACTTTTGAATTATGGCACTGGCAGTATTGTTACTATACCTATAACAAAATATTGTATTAATTGATAAATTATATAAGCTAAACATATTCTCCTAAAAAATTCAAACTACATCTTAAAAAATATTAGTTTAATTATGAACAGACTATTGATTGCAAAATATTGAAACAAAATAATGCTGCATCTCATATTCTCTTACTAAGTAACCTTATAGTTGGAAGTGAAAACTGTATTACCTTTTACAGTGTTTTCTCAAGTTTTTTTTTTGTGTGAAGCACTGCATCTTTGTATAGGCTACTGTAGAAAAGATAAAACATTATTTTTAACCAAATCTCACCTTTCACCTCTTGCAAGTATCTTAGCAATACTTTGTGACTCTCCACGCTTAGAGGGAGGGGGTTTCTTGGCCATGTATGTCCTTTCTTCTACTGAGCATACTCCCTAGAATACAAGAATAAACATTAGATATAGAAATAGACATATAGACATAGAAATCTGAGATATATACGAGTAGTATGTTTTATGAGTGTGTTCATTCACCATTTAAAGTTGATGAAACCACACTTTTTGGTGTTTAACTATTCAATAAAGATATGGACTTGGGAATTTCACTTTCATAACCTGTTGTATAAAATCAACTTATAGGCCTCGTAGAACTTCCCACTATCCATGATAAACCCATCTAATATTCCCAACGCATGTGTGTATTTCCGCCTCCTGTTATTAACCTACCTCATGTTTAACCTTACCTCGTGTGTAACAGGAATGATATGTGTGAAATACTGTCCTTTAGTCCCTTTAGACTTCAACATGCTTCCATCTGGTAGGTAGATCTCAACACCTTTTATATCACCTCGAAGTATTCTGTAAAAGACCCATTCATATTTTAAATAAAAAGGGTTTAATTCAAATGATATATCCAGATACATGTACATTTCCTATAATTTTTCAAATTGGTTGCAAATGCCTTACTTTATAATTTTTAGTTTGTAAAATTGTTCAAAACTGTAAAACTAATCATTTTTATTTACATTTTTAAGGAGGGTTCAAATATATTTTCAGCTGAATGCAATTCTAATTTTTCAATTCCCAGTAATTAGTTAATTTCTGCTCAAAAATATATCTTGCAGATTTGTTGAATTTAGCAGAAATCAGCTGCTCCCCCTCTGTTTATTTTTTTCTGGTTACCGGGTGTTATATAAGTTTATTACATTCATCCATAACTGACCTGTAAATGACACCATCAGTATTGAGAACAGCCACATTTCCATGATAGAAACCCTTGGACATCTCGGTAGAATCATTTCTCCATTTATGGAGGTGCTGTCTGTTACATTTCAAACAAAGGCTATCTGGTATTGCTGAGATGATCTCACTTTTTGATGTATTGCTTTGTACATTCAATGTTTCTGTTGATTTTTTGGCTTCCTTGATTGTTTTATTTGCAGTCGTTGTTTTGTTTGAACTATGATTTGTTTGGTTTGATTCTGACAAATCTGTAGATTTTTTGGGATCATACTGCATTAATAATTTCAGGGGGTGGGTCCATTTATCTGAACATCCAGTTACACTATGCCGTTGAACTAACCAAACATACTCCCACCTTGAATTTGACGTGTCACTGTCTTCTGAATTATTCGAGCTATTAGAACTTGCATTAGAATCCTTAGAGCAATTTGAATCTAAACTTGAGCATCTAGAAGAACTCTGATTTTCCCTGGTTCTTAAATGTCCACTCTGACTAACACGAGCTAGATATCTCACATGAAACTCTTGATTGTTTGGCTGTAACGTTATGTAAGCTAACTCCTCATTGGTTGCCATTTTGACACTGCCGTCATGATGACATTGTAAAGAGGCAGGCTGCCAAATCACTTGGTTTACATCTGCATATAATTTCTGAAAATACAAAGAACTGTGTTGAAACAAAATTTAACACACTCCAGCGTTCCCCAAGCTTTTTTGTGTGGAGGATTTTGTACTATATTCAACATTATGCATTTTCTTATATTTAGTGTGAGATTTTAGTAAGGTCAAAGAATAATTAGAGGAGCATTTGAATTAAATGGGCATCAGAGATTTGAATGTGGGAAAAACACTGCACTTCTTAATTATCTCTAGGTGTTGGTAATTAGTAACTGTCATATTTATGCATGGACAATATGCATTATTATAGCCTGCAGTAACACGTGTATTAAGTGCAACACCTCATAATATCCCAGATGCGAGTAGAAATAATCTTGATTTACGTCATTAAAAATTCACAATTCAGTCAAACTGATGTCATATTTGGAATCTACATGTAAAATTACATTTAGAAATGTGGTTTTGAAAAGAGTTTATCAACTTTGAAAATTTAATTTTCTTTGAAAATGTGACTTCTAGGTCGGGGAAATTCTCCATAGAACCCATGTTGTAAAACCACAAAAAGTGAAATATCTTTTCTTTTGTTGGGCAGATAATATTTTCTTTTACTGGACATATTTTGATTTGTATAACTATTAGATACATAAAGGTAATATGAAAAGTGAACCATTTAAAATGATGCATATTCAAGTTTAAGGGAATTTTGCGATACCCTGCCATGTTAATTCCCCCGAATCAGCCACCTGGTGGCGAAACTGGTAACTACCTACTAGCATCTGAGTAAGTTGAAAACTTCAAAGTCTTCTCAAGTGGAACACTATTCTGAGGTTGTACCAAAGGTGTTTCATTTACACATATACAGATTTTATTGTGCATGTAAGGGGAATGTTAAAACTGTTAGGCTTTATGCCCAATGCATTGCCTCCCTCGAGGCCTCCCGAGACTCTGAGACAATCGGGCCTACTTACGATGATATTCTCCGGTTTGTACATATTCTTGGTGATATATGGTCTTTCTGTATAAGTGTTCCTAAAATCCAACAGCTCTTTGACTCGGGTCAGGTACTGACTGGTTGTGAATGCTGTCCTTTGTTGGATTCTTTGACACCCTGAAGAAGAATTGAGGGAACCTATAAGCGATAATTATGTTCATCTATGGTAGCTATTTTGACTTTGATTTGGTGCTAATAGAAGCCGTGTTTGAATGAATTTTGACCCTAATAGGGGTTCTCTCTCAATGTATACATTCAAGTATTCAACTACTGTACAAATTTTTGACATAAATTACCTTGAAGAGGATGCCTGTCACCAGGTGGAGTCTCATATACAAACACAGCCCCACATGGTGACAGCTGGAATCTAGCTCCATCTTTGTATAGTCCCTCAACACTTTCATTTGCATACAACACCATCTGGACACAGTCCATCTGCAAATATAAGTTGAGACAAGAAAATGTGTAAACAGGAAACAGGCTTTTAGACTCCAGAGATTCTCCGGACTGGAGTCTAATGTCTTAAAAGTCTCTTGCTCCAGAGTCTAAGTGTTTCTTCCGGAGTCTAATTTTACATTCTTGTCACATTATTTATGAGAAAATAATAAAACTGGATACAAACAAGGAATAGGAAGTCAGAAACCTTTTAGAAATAAATATTGGGATTAAAATAGCAAGATAATCTTAGAAGTACGTTAAAAAGTATATTAATAGGATATCTCTGATTTTACATGGGGGAGAAGTAGTCGCGATACCGCGAAAAAGTAGTCACAATAACTAAATATCTGGGGTCTAATAAATTTCCTGGCGAGAATCCTGGGAAAGTCTAGAAATGACAACCAGGGATTGTAATTGAATGTATGGGAATAATGGTTTCCTCAGTCATTAAAGGTTCTCTTGGCGTCATAAATGACAAAATATTGCTTCCCGGACGAGATCAAACGACTTTGACATATTCTTTACCCTACCTATTTTGTATTTTAACAATCAACACAAGTATACATACCATTTAAGCAGATATCGGACAAATTGATAAAAAATATTTTTTGATTGATAAAATCATTGGTTACGATAAGGGAAGTGTGTTCTGTGACGTCCGGGAGTGAATATTTCAATTATTATTCAAACTTTGCCGTGGATTAGTGTAATCTAATAATAGTCCACAATGTAAGTGGGGTCGTAGCATACGATAACAGTAGTGAACACCATCCAAGAGATCAATGGATGCGGTGTTCACTATGGTGTGGCATATCATTAAGTTGAATAAGACCTACATTCCCAGAACCAAAAACAATATGAAAGTGATCAGTTAATGACAACGAATGATCATAGCTAGACTAGATCCTAATTTTCAGTTTCTAATTTGAGTGAGATCATCACAAACAAACTGTAGACTAAAAACTCACTTGTTCAGAAATCCAAAGAGGTGGATTGAATATCAAAGTTCTCTCAAGTTTATCATAATACTACGTTCATTGTTTTAATACTCGGAAAGACAGAAATCATGCATAATTCCTCTTAAATATAAAATATGAGAAAAAGTTAGAATTTTAATCTTACCGCTTCATCCGCCATTTTATTTATGACCTTGAGAATAAGCCAATCAGAGTGCGCCCTTTCTGAAATCCAAGATGTCGCTGTCTTGAACCAAAATTTTACAAATTTCGCCAATATCTGCTACATAACGAAGGTATGCGAGCTTATATCATCAGATTAGTGTTTTAAGATCACGAGTCAGAAAGTAAAGATCACCCCGAACAAATATTAGAAGTTATAATTCAGCCTGCACTCGGCAATCTGCGAATCATTGTGAAAATGAAATTATTTTTTTCCATTTTGATGCAAACATTTTGAATGTGGTTTTTAACAAAACTTATCCCTGGATATCAATTTGATTAAACCAATGGAGACACTTCAACTATGACTCTTTTTGGACACTATATTATTTGTCCTGTTTATTTCATAGTTGTTATTTCTCTTATTATTGTGGCTCTTTACATCAGCTGAAACTGAAATACTGAATTCTGTTGCTTATTCTTGTATCTCCAAATGTTTCCTACATCTCCATTCTCTATCAGATATCAATTGCTTCTGTCCTTCTGAAAAAGAAGGATTTCTTTTTATCCACGAGTGGATATTTTCTACCGAGAAACCAAAATAGCAGTTTTGACAGAAATTCATGAAGTAGCATTCAAAATCTCCGGAAATTTCTGAATGATGTAACAAAATGCTGAACTTCCAGTGTCTTAGGCATGAAAATTAATTCAAGTAATCATATTTTCATAAAAAGCGAAGAAATGTTGCCCAAGTTTAATTGTCAGACAAGCTTTAGGTAATTACATAAATGATGTTGCGACCTTGGTTTCTATTTTGCTTTGCTACTCTTTGCCATTTTTATGATGCTGTAAAGTGATGACATTTTTATTATCTCCATCTTTTTTGTGGTCAATATTCAGCGGTCGACATTTGCCATTCAGTGGTCAGTGTCTGTAACCAATGGCAGGGTGGTGACATTTTGCATCTTAATGCCTTATATATGTGTTTTTTCAGATATGAACTTTGAACATAAAGTATTAGATGGAGGCCTGGCAACACAGTTGATAAGACAGGGATACGATAACTTAGATGTAAGTTTGACCAACATACTGCACAAATACTAGTAATTTCATTTTTATCATATAGGGGAATTTTTGTATTTGAATTGAAGCCAGGCAGTTGAATCTTGTACAGACTTGTAACAATTGCTTTGTCCAAAGTAACCTGTTTGCACCCAGTTGAAACTTTAAACCCATGATTTTTTTACTTTGACCCAATGTAACTTAATGGAAATTTCTAATTGAAAAAATTCTGAGCGGACACTCAATACATATAAGACTCATTAATATATACAGTGGCCATAAAGGCTTTGAGGAAAAATTAGTCCATAGGCCCTATAAGATATTTCATTTAGCTAATGCTTGCTCCTGCAACACGATTTTCACCATACCATAAAATATTTAATATTTATCTTGAGTATTTCACGGTATGGTAAATGACAAAAATACTGCTTTAATTTATACAGTTCTATATGTGTATTTAAATAAGCTATTGATTCCACATAACATCACAACCATTTCTTGGTTTTGTTTATGAAGGTCTGTCCAAGAAAGATTCATACTAAGTGTTGAAGTACGTAAATACACATACCAACATTTCAATGAGCAAGATTAATATTAGCCAGCCAAAACATTAGTTAAATCATTTCATTTTTACAATGAACAGCAAATTCCAAAATGTCATATTGGTGTCATAACAGTTTTTGTTCGATACACTGTACTCCAAGTAACTTTCACATGCTACCATATTTTGTTCTTTTCGTGAGTTTTGGAAAATTTGCAAAATATGATTATAGCCTTAAAATTCCAATAGTAATTCAAGGAATATTAATAGCCAAGAAATTTAGAAAAACTAAAAATTAACGAAAATGTTAATAGTCGCAAAATCATAGCGTCAAATACTAGTGGGAGTACAGTATGTGCAAATAGGCATGGTCGGTAGGATTTAATAAGAGTGATTACGTTGAAATTATCCTTTTAATATTATATATTGTATATCAGGTAAAAAATTGTAAGCTTTTCCATGTCTATCTTTTCCAGTAACGACTAACGAGTAGCTTAACTGCTTAAGGTGCTTAAGCAAGCAAGACAGGGACAAATAATCTAGGCATATCGAAACAAAGCACAATACATCAGAAACCTCCAGAAATAAAAAACACTTTTATGAAAAACTGTCAGGATTAGATTGGAATAAGCAAATTTATACTAGAACTAAGAAAGGATATTATTCAAGTTCTGTAATTCACCACAAGATGGCAGAATCAGATGCAGCTGCAAAAAGGAGGGAAGCGCGGCAACGGAGAATTTTACAAAATTCCGAAAGTCGAATGAAAAAAGTAATGGGACTTGAATCGTCTCAAGGAAATGAAGCCCCTGAACCAGTTTCGGCAAAATCTGAAAATAAATCTGCTGAGATTCAAAATGAACCATGTAACATTGCGGATCAGTCTCAAATTGAGGAGAATGCTGAAAATCAATTTGGAAATTCTGAACCAGCAAAATTAAGCAATGAGAAAACTGACGATGAAGTGTTTAATAACGGCCCTAGGATTAAAAAAGAACCATATATAGAGGGTGCTCCAGCCCCATTCAGTTTTCCGAAGGATACCATCAGCTTTGATTCAGTTGGAAGAAAACCGAAAGAAGAATCTCCAAAACTGGATGAGCAAAAATCTACATCAAGCAATATAGTATTCCTCAAATCAGGAATCCTTTTTATGGTGGCCTTTATTACTCGTTGGATGTTATCATTTGGATTCTCCGTTTTTTACACACAGTCTATATTTGTGCCGTTTATTCTCATTGAAGTGGCCATGGTTTACAATAAGGAAATATTCTTTGTTGGATCGCAACCTGCGAGTGCTCTAACGTCACTATTAATGCTATCGGGAGTTAAGACTGAAGTGTTGCAGACGTATAATAAAGTGTCTGGAATCATGACGTACATCATGGAGGATTTGGCGATCTATGCATTTGTGTTCGTTTCTGTGCATTGCCTTGTATTTTAAGCACAGTGTTATCATGATATGGGTGCTGTTGATATAACATTATTACCATTACTCTGTTTTGAGTACAGTTTTATCCTGATGACATGAAAAGACTCGTGCCGTTGATATAACCATTACTGTGTTTTGAGCACAGTGTTATCCTGATATGAAAAGACTAACGCTGTTGATAACCATTACTGCATTTTGAGCACAGTGTTATCCTGATGATATGAAAAGACTAGTGCTGTTGATAACCATTACTGCATTTTGAGCGCAGTGTTATCCTGATATGGATAGACTTGTGCTGACATTACCATCAAATTATTCACTGCTGTAAAGGTCCTTTCAATTTGGAATCCAAAGGACATTATGTATGCTTTTTAACCCTTCTTGGACTGTTATGAAATCTCACTTCACTTAACTTAATTTAACTTCACTTAACGTGCATGGAGTTGAATTATTGTACACATTCATGGTTCACTTTGGCTTTAATAAGTGTTTACTGGAGATACACTTGATTTGACGCTACTTAATTTGGCAGATTTTGTTCAATTTCAAATATTAGCGGCTATTTAATTTGGCAGAGTCGGGACTGAGCTCAAGTTTTATCATTGATCTGGAAATAAACATTTCAGATTCATGTGTTCTGCTTCCAGTAAGTCATGGTATAGCACTGACTTCCAAATAGAAATACTTACACAAGTGAGACAATTGCAAATTACAAATTCTCTAGGGATTTTCCAAAATAGATCTGAAAACTGGCGGATTTTTAATTTGACAGATTTTTTCAATCCGCCAATCAGTCAAATTAAAATGGTAGCCAAATTAAGTGTATCTACAGTATTTACTGTACGCCCGGTATTATTCGCGAGCTTTAATTTCGCGAAAACACGGTTTCGCGGCTATTAAATTTCGCGAATACTGTATTTAATCGTATTCGGGGATTCCCCAGTATATGATGTCCAATCAAATTGCAGGCTACGATCACGTGAACAATTGTGCACACATGCTCTTTCATTGCCTCGCATGCGCATAGTAAAGTCATGGAGTTGCAAAGTACTATTGAAGTACTATAACTCGATCCAAACTAGTAGACAAAACGAAATGCATCAGAGCCCCGGGTAAAAACAAATTCTCGGGGATTTAATTGGCAATTTCGCGAAGATAATTTTTAACACCCTCACGAAAAGCGCGAAAGTTAATCGCACGCGAATAATACCGGGCGTACAGTATACCTCGAATTGGTTGTGGTATTATACAACATGTATTTAGTCAAGCTCAAATATTGTGTACAGGATATGACTAATCAAGTGCAATATGCATACATGTATCTTCAATCGGACTGTTGGAGCATTTAAATATTTGTACCAAGAGATCTCCCCAGATTCCTCTCAACAGAATACTAAATGCTATGTGTTTCAGTCAAAATAGCTCAGTATTAATCTTATGATTTTGCAGGGTGCAAACAGACTTTCAAAAATGTGTTTCTGAACATTTTACTGCAGGTGGTTGGTAGCAGACTTTCATGTTCTTATCTCAGAATTTCTGATGTTGATAACAATCTTGGTCAATGTTAGTTAGATCATCAGGAATTCTGAGGAAAGAATGCAATGCCAGCAGTAATTATTCATAAAGTTAAGTGTGGCATGTAATTTTTACAGCACTGTACCTAGTTGCTCAAATCCTGGGGAGATCACTGGAATATATGTGTTCAACCGGATTGTTTATTATTTGAAATATAAACATGATAAAAAATATCCAAGCTGAGTTAATGTTTGAATGTTGTGAATTTCACCTGTTTTTTTGTGCCCACCACATAGTGTGGACCATATTGTTGGCCTAGGCGCATTTGTCTGTCTGTCCATAGATCCGTCCGTCCATCCGGGCAACAACTCCAATACTGTTTGCCCAATATCATTTATATTTTATATACATATGCTCCCAGTTTGAAAGCCAATTTTCAGAATGGCCACCTTCGTCCGTCCCTCCGTAACTCAAATACTGTTGGCCATAGTTTGTACACGTATACCCTAAGGGAGTAGAAGTTCTGCTCGAAAGCCGATTTTCAAAATGTCTGCTCATTTAAAAATGGTGACCATTTTAGTGCCGACTTTTGAGTAATTTAGGTACAATATTAAAGACATAAATAAAGCTATACATGTAGATATCGAAGAAGCACATGGCAGCCATCTTAAAAAATGGCGGCCTTTAAATGCTATTTTAAGATTTTTGCTGTAACTTGAAAAGCAGTGGAGCAATTTTGTTCATATTTGATATGTGGATACTATAACATGACAGGCATGGCACACAGTCTAATGACACTTTTGGTAGAAGGTGCCCGTTTTGAAAAATGGCCACCATTTTTACATTTTTTTCTATAACTCGAAAAGTAGTGGAGCGATTTTGTTCATATTTGATATGTGAATGAGTATAAGCATGCCACACTCTCTAATGACACTTTGGTGAGTAGGCGGCCATTTTGAAAAATGACCACCATGCTGTGAATATGACAGTTTACCCTTTACTATAACTCAAAAGGTAGTGGAGTGATTTTGTTGAAATTTTATATATGCAGGCATTCACAAATAAAACAATCACAACAGTTCTTTTGATGTGAAAAATCTGTGGAGTTACCATATTTATTTCAGAATGATCCTCTGTGGAGCTGCAGGCTTCTAAATACTGCCCCATGGGCTATTAAACAGGCACATCTCAGGTTTGTGAGTTCATTCTTAAAGCGTAACTTTTAAATCAATATTTGATGCACAAGAAAACCTTGAAAAGATAATATTGAAGATTTTTAAAGTTTCACGCCATTTTTTGTATCAAGTAGTGGACTTTCAGCAGATATGGGTAATCATATTATCAACATATGACATGGTAATTATGGTGAAGTTAGGACTTTGATACAGTGAATATGATTTAACCATTCAAATTTATTTTATTTATCATGAGAATATTTACAAAATATGCAACATGTCAATAAAATATCTGAACACTTTTTATGTACCTGATATCTTTCTTGTCCTAGGATAAGTATAGGATCCTATGATTTTGAGTGAATATCTCCGTATTCCACAGAAGCTCTTTTCCGTGCATTTCCAAAATATCATAAATATATTTACACACAGATATTTATCATACAGATTTGACCTCAACTATGGGATAATTTACCAAAAGCCCCTCAAACATATCCATGACTCAATTTGTTTCAGTTTTCTTGAGGGTGGTGCTGACATAATAGAAACAAATACCTACCAAGCATCTATAGAATCATTCATTGAACATTTCACAATCTCGGAAGAAGAGGCAGTTGGCCTTATCAAAGATGGCGCTAGGATTGCTATCGAAGCACGAGATGAATTCTGGCGATTGAATTCAGAGAAGTGTTCAAGGGAAGGTGAGGATCTTGTTGATATTTGAATGCACAGTTCAACCTGCCTGTGGAAGTGAAATACATTTGGCACAAAAAATAATGTTCCACTGAAGAGGTGTTTCACTTTCAGAGGTTGATTAAAAGTTAATAAGCAACAGGACAAGTGTCCCAGTTATGAAGGTGTTATACACTCATGTGTAAGTCAAACACCTTTGGTACCAAAAATACTGTTCTACTTGGGGGATGTTCCACTGACAGATGTTATTTTAAAATTAAGTCAATGGGTAATAGAACACTGAAGTGTTCAACTTATGGAGGTATTCACTTCAGAGCTTCATTTGAAATTAACTTAAAGGTAATACAACGTTTAATTGTCATATGGTCTATTCTCACATTTCCTTTAACCTTCAAACCCATCAATATTGACATTGGCTTTCAGGTAGACAACGCCCTCTGGTGGCAGCCTCAATTGGCCCATATGGAGCAACATTACATGATGGATCAGAATACAGTGGTCACTATGTGGATACAATGAGTATTGAGGTAAGTGTTACACTCCACTCCAAAAGGGTAGACAACGCCCTCTGGTTGCAGCCTCAATTGAACACCCATGGTTATTGTGTGCCATAGGAGGGTATACAATAAAAGATATGTTCGCTAACAACCATGGTTATTGTGTGCCATAGGATGGTGTTCTATAAAACATACGTAAGTGAACAGTGAACACCCAAGGCTAATGTGTGCCATAAGGGGGTATACAATAAAACATATGCAAGTGAAGACCCATGGTTATTGTGTGCCACAGGAGGGTATACAATAAAACATATGTAAGTGAACACCAATGGTTATTGTGTGCCATAGGAGGGTAAGTGAACGGCCATGGTTCAGCTGAATGTGTTCCATTAAGGACTTGCTCCAATTAAAGAGGTGTAAATAGCATCGAGCCAATGGGTCATGGGACTCTGAAAAGTGTTCCGCCCACAAAGGTTATTTCTTACAGAGGTGTTCAAATTGGTAGGTTTTCTGCACCCACAATTATTAAAAATAGGTATCACATGGATGGGTACCAACTGAAACCCATGATTAATTTTGATAAAGCTGTCATATGTCAGATTTTTCAGTATTATCTTGATAAACACACTTAATATCCCATGTTATTAATCTCGATCCAGGTTTTTTACCATCTCTCTTATAGTTGTAAATAGATTAACTTGTGTCTGATTAGTCCTACCAAATTAATATTATATTTTCATTATGTCTTAACTCATTCAATACTGGGGCAAAACGCACTGTAATACTGATGAATTTTTGAAAATTGCCAAATATGGTACCTCTTAAATAATATATAAAGCATATACATGGGCATACATATATAGTGGCATGGTATATATCATTTAAAAGCATACAATATGCTTTTTCAGAATCAATAGGTTTATAAGTCCCATTTTACAGGGTGGTCAAAAAAACGGAAACCCTGGATTTTCCTCATATCTTTGTTATTTTAAGAAATTACTCCCTGATATTTCACACATTTGTAAATCATTCAATTTCCTACCACCCTACCATATTTCATGACCATCAGACTTGAACAACATGCTTCAGGTTTGGCCATCATCGCGCTGGAGGCAAACCTGCACAGCTGTCAATGATCCAAATGATTCCTCAGCAGGTATGGCCTGAATGATACAGATGATCTCACTTTTGAGGTCTGCAATTGTCCTGGGGTCATTATTATACACTCTATCTCTGCCATATCCCCATAGGTAGGGACATTTTGGACAACATGTGCAGGTTGGTCTTCAGCGCAATAGTGGCCACTGGGAATGTTCTTTTAAGTGCAGTAACACGGTGACTATCAATCAGATGGTCATGAAATATGTTAGGCTGGTAGGAAATTGAGTGATGTACAAATGTGCAAAGTTATTTCTCAAAATAATTAAGATATTAGGAAAGTGGTGTAAGGGTTTCCAGTTTTTTTGACCACCCTGTATAAGTTGTCATGGTGACAAGACTCCAGTCATGGTTACAAGATTCCAAAAAATACATTGGGTTTGTGCTTGGACGTGATATCACATCCTTCGTAGTCAACGTATAGACGTCATATCACGTCATTCGTAGCGAATGAGTTAACCTTTTACACTTTGTGACGTTTCATCAAGCATGTTCGCTTAACTTTCTCAGACTGCTTGAAGTTTTAAATTGACCTCAAGAATTAATTAGCACTTTGTTTAAAAATCTTTATTATAATTTCAGGATTTGAAGGCATGGCATAAACGTAGAATAGATTTACTTGCTGATTCAGGAATAGACATCCTAGCGTGTGAAACTATACCAGCGCTACGTGAAGCTGAGGCCCTAGTTCGCTTGTTGTCAGAGTACCCACATCTGAGGGCCTGGATATCTTTTTCTTGTAAGGTAAATAGGCAATATTCTCTTATTAGGACCTCCTCCTAAGATTGATGTGATTAAAATATACAGAGTCTGACAAGTGGAACGCCTCTTTAAGTGAAACACTACTTTAATTGGACACCTAATTGTAAGCGAAACACTTTTCATAGTCCTATAGCCAATTGACTTTAATCAAACTTCTATAAGTGAAACATATAAGTTTGAAAACTTTAAGTGGAACTTTTGGGACTGCTTCTCTATGTTCAATAATGTGTTGAATTTCCAAAGCATTTAAAAATACTGCATTGAGAAAATAACTGCATTTGGAAATTTCATATCCAATGATTGTCTAAGGTATGATTTTCATTCACTTTTTTAGTAGCATTTCTTTCAGATATTTACTCACTAGTGGATAAAAATCATATTCCCAAATGGAATATCTTCCAAGATGCCAATGACCAAAAATTTTTAATTTTCTAAATTTCCAGGATAATCAACACATCAACCATGGAGAACTTTTCAGTGACGTTGTCGCAAAAATCCTCAGCTATGACTGTAAACAAGTTCTTGGAATCGGAATTAATTGTACGGATCCTGAGTTTATTGAGCCTCTTTTAAAAAGTGTTCAAAATTTTAGGGATGTCACAAAATTTGTAATTTACCCCAACAGCGGTGAGACATGGACTGCGGAACATACATGGACTGGAAAGGCGTCACTTAAAGGTTTAGATGAATATGTGGATGATTGGATGGATCTAGGCGCCACCTATATAGGAGGCTGTTGTAGGGTTTATCCTGAAGATACCAACAAAATTAGATCCAAAATGAATCAGTACTTTAAACTCAATAACAAAACTTAGTTTTTGGACATTCTGAAATTCCAAATCAAAAGACTGGTTCTGTATTTAGAGGCAGGCATATTAAGGTAGTTCTGCACTTTCATTCAAAAGTTCAAAAATTATTAGTATAGTATTTCATTGAAATAACGTGATTTTAAACTATGTATACCATAATATACAAAATCAACATTAAAATGTGAAAATACTATATTCTAAGTATTAATTATTGGTACCTGTAGCTACAATCATTGTAATCATAAAAATACCTTAAACTAACCCTTCTTGTATTTCACCTACTTCAGACAATCAATTAATTTATTTATGTGACACAAAAATACTATCCACAATTCATTTTATAGGAAAACATTGGCGCCAGTTATAATATAGAAATATGTAAAATAAAGAAGCATACAAAAATGTTTAGGTTTTAAAAATAATCAATATATTATATGCATTCATATATATGAATTTATTTTATAATGCTGGTCAATCATTGTACATGTGTTTAATGTCATTATTTTTATTAATTTATTGTAAAAATAAAGAAAGATGAATAAAAAATACAATAATAACAAATATATAACAAATGCGATCTTTGAATATTACACTTCAAAGTGAAAATATTAAAATATATTATTCACTGTCATATTCCTCACTCTCTGATTGGTCTCTTACACATGACTTGGAAAGAAGAAGTCATATTCCCAAACTCTGAATTCATCCAGTGTAATATGAACCATATACCCCAGCTGGCATTTATATGAATTCATGGTAAATTTCCATTCAGATAACATGGCAAAGGCAACTAAAACATCAGTGAAGATCTTGAGAGTGAGAAGTGTTAACTGGATAATAAAACAAATATCTCATTCTATTTTCAATGAATACCTGTGAATCTTTCGAAAGTTTAATGTTCCCCAGAATCGCTATTGTGAAAGATGCACAGGGATTCACCTCAGATGAGTGAAATATTTGTATGTTACACAGTTTGCTACAAATTAGTCATGAATATTCGATAAGAATATTGAGATAAAAAATACTTGTAAAATGACATCTCCATGTATTTTAAGCTTGAGAGAAAACAATATTAAAGCCAATATCGATTTTTTAACATTTTGTATATTAAAGCTTTTATACTGACATCAAAAGATAAATCATCAAAAATTCATTCCACTCTTCCCACCTAAGTGGTCACAATGAACAGATAATCAATAATGGCACATGGGTATACATCAAAATCATATTGCACAAGCTAAATGTCCGTAACATTTTTCAAAACAAAGTTAATTTTCGAAAAAAGCTTGTAATTTCCCACTTTTTTATCAGCAAAATTTAAAAAATTTATATCTCTATTAACCTTTAGCAGACCACCGGCGACCGCGTCCGCCCATTCAAAACTACCCCCAGAATCCACCGGCGGATCCGGACGACACAAATCTAACTTTTGAAAACTTTACTTTTTCCCGCCGTTCTTATGATCCAATTAGATTGCCCGATTTATTCAGTCCTTAGTAGGTGACTTCCTGTTGACCTAGAAATGGCGATGTTTCGAAAAATATTTCTCAATTCAACAATTCAACAGTGTTTAAGTCGTTTTTAGTGAACAAATCGTACAAAATGACGGCCAAATACGATCACAACGAAAATGTGGAGGAAATGGATTGCGATTTCGGGCTCTTTAGGCTCTTGGAAGCCGATAATGGTCATCGAAAATAGAAACTAGAATATTTTCTGAACTGAAAAGAAGAACATTCGATCTCTGCAAATTCAGTTTTGGATTCTGACCAGACGTTGAATCTCCCGAGGGGCGAAACTGCGGGTTCTGGAGGAGTATTCATGGTATATTCAAGCCCAGTCGTGTTTATGTACGAAAAAAATTCATGAGAACATTTTTCTCATGAGCCACGCTAGTGTATCTTCCCTTTGTGAAAATTTTATCCAGATTCATTCAGTAGTTATTGAGATATTAATTATTTAGTCCAGGCATATCATTTTTGAAAAATAAGTCAGATGCGTGGGATATATTTGCTGAAATAAGTCGGAGTGCAGAAGGTTAAACTCATCTTAAACATGAGTTGTTCGCAAATTCATCTTAAACATGAGTTGTTTGCAAACTCATCTTAAACATGAGTTGTTCGCAAACTCATCTTAAACATGAGTTGTTCGCAAACTCATCTTAAACATGAGTTGTTCGCAAACTCATTTTAAACATGAGTTGTTCGTAACTTATTGAGTATATCCATGATCTGATCTTTTATCTTAAGGCGGTCATTATAGTGTGGAGGGTTTGCACATTGCTCCAATAGCTTATCTAACTTATAATCCTCCTTAACATAATCTGGCATGTTATGTAAAAATCCCTCAGGTTTGCCTACATCCGATGCATAGTTTGATAGCATGTCCCGACAGATGGCGTAGTAGTTATGGTCTGCAAGTGTATGAGAGCAGAGTTCTGCAGTATCAAAGGAGAGGCAGTTGCCGTAATGTGGACATTCGTCAAAATTGCTAATGTGAGGGCTATCCCAGTTATTTGGTTTGTCTGAAAGAAGATAAGGTATGTTATACGAGGGTTGTCCCAAAAGTCCTGAACCATGAGACTTTACTATTCAAGGCTGAAACATTAGAATTATGTCTAAATGTCTCATTAAACTAATGACATCTCATTGTTGAACAATAAAAACTCATTAAACATGTTAAATGATTGTAGATAAATTAGTTCAAGACTATTATTTGAGAACCCTCGTACATTGCATTGGATCAGCAATAAATATCTGTAAAACCTAGTCTCCATGTAAAGTACTATCATACAAAGTTACAAACATCACAATACGTTTAATAAAGACTACATTTTTATTCATTTCTACTTCAAAATCAATAAGCTAAAATGACTTAAAAATTAATCAAGCCAAGAAATTAGAGGATTTTATAGAAAAACATGTGACCAACCTAAATTGTATTTTAACGGTGCTATCAAATATTTAATATTTAATGAAACCACCTTTGTGACTACATAGAAATGCCAGAAAGTAATGCATTTCTGAAAAGTTTTAGAAAAAGAAAAGTCACGAAAAAGACAAGAACAGCAGAGAAAATATTATGATGTAACAGGTTGATTGAAAAGAATATGGGGACAAGAAACAGTAACTCAATCCTCCATCCATTTTTCTACACTTTACCAGAATGAGTACCCATTTTTTAAAAACCTGAGATGTGACTCACCTTTTTCCACCTTTCTCTTATCAACTACAATAACATTCTCAAGATCAATCGCGATGAGTTTCCCAGCAGAATCTACCACCAGATTGTCATAGCTAACATCGGTCCAATAGAGGGCATAATCAGCATTTTGTGTCATCTTGTCGGCCAATTTGAACAACTGGTATGCTAAATCCACCTAAATGTAGAAATGATTTTACAGACTTCATACACTCATTTTTTATTTGTAACATCAAATACTTCACCACTCTGGCGTTATTGAGATAGAATACATCTAATTGCTAAGAAATCTTTATTTTTTCATTTTATTTTATCATTTTTTATATTATTTAGTTTTATATCAGTATACTGCTGAAATAGATATAAATATCCAAATGTTTTGAGTCAAGATTTTTTAAGTAACAACCTACCCTAATATCCCATTTGGAGTCGTAATAATCTCCTAGAATTGTCCCAGAATTCTCCTCCACAATCCAGCGCCCACAGGCCCCATAGTACTTTGGGACTGGCCAGCCCTCCTGTGCTGAGAATATCTGCAATTAGAATGAAATGTCTCCAGTAATCTCAACAGTATAAATCAACATGGTGCTTCACCCTGTTGGAAAATGAGAATGTCATGCAACCCTCGTTGAAAATCTGAGAATGTCTTGCAACCCTAGTTGAAAATCTGAGAATGTCATGCAACCCTCGTTGAAAATCTGAGAATGTCATACAACCATCGTTGAAAATCTGAGAATGTCATGCAACCCTAGTTGGAAATCTGAGGATGTCACGCAACCCTCGTTAAAAATCTGAGAATGTCATGCAACCCTCGTTGAAAATCTGAGAATGTCATGCAACCCTAGTTGAAAATCTGAGAATGTCATGCAACCCTCGTTGAAAATCTGAGAATGTCACGCAACCCTCATTGAAAATCTGAGAATGTCATGCAACCCTTGTTGAAAATTTGAAAATGTCATGCAACCCTCATTGAAAATCCGGGAATGTCATGCGATCCTCATTGAAAATCAGAGAATTACACGCCACCCTGTTGAATTCTGAGAATTAGGAGCCACCTATCAAATTAAAAGCACTTACCAGTAACATCAAATTAAAGCCACTCACTTATTAACATCAAATTAAAGCCACTCACCTATATCATCACATTAAAGCCACTCACCCGTAACATCAAATTAAAGCCACTCACCTGTAACATTAAAGGCTCTGGGTTGATCATCAACATTGTCATTAGTTTCATTTTATCTTGAAATGTAAATGTTTTCTTGTTTTCTGTCTGGAGATATGCTGACTTTATATCTGCAATCAGTCTCTCTGATGGACAAGTCACCAAATCAGAAAGTCCCTTGACTTCATCTATATAAATCTTGTCAGTGTGTTGAAATAAGCTTGATTTTTGTATCGCAGTTTTAATATCACAGTTAGCGTCAAGTTGAGCAGATTTACAGATCTTGTTGTCAATTGCAGCAATTTCTTCATCATGAGCTAATTTTTTCATGATTACTTTTTTATTATGAAACGTCCCAGTGTGGACGTTTTTGATATTAATCCAATGCCAGAATTTCAGTTTTGACCATCCTGTTGCAGTGACGTCACCATTTTTAAAGCTGTCACATAAGTTTGTACCGTAACATGCAGGACACGTGTCTATACCAAGTACATGGAGATCATCTATGCTTTGAGTGTTCAGATATAAGAAGATTGATGTGTATAAAATTATACTCAACACAAATGAGACTCCTAATATGGTTTTAGCCAATGGTGAGAGTTTTCTGTAAGTTCTATGCATCTTTGGTAGAAGGATATTAGGCTGTACCCTGCGGGATTCTCTTGGGATCTCTCTAACTACATGTAAGTCTAGCCCTGGTACTGATAATTTGAGATTTCTAAGCAGGATCCATTATTTTTGTAGCTGCGATGAACGGCTGTTCTTCCTGAAAGTATAAAAGTAATGAATAAAGACCTACACTTTATCAAACTAAAACTCCCTTAGCTTGGTGAGTATTGAAACGAATTTGCGTGTCTGTTCTTTGGTCGGCTCTAAGGCCTCGCATGTTCGCGGGCCAAGCAGCCGAGCCAACAGGTACTAGCTTCCGCTTGTTCGTATGTCAAGATTGCAATTTTCCTCCTAAGATAAGATTTGTTTTATTCCTTATTCTCGATAGACGAAGCGGCACAAAAGTAAAGTCTATCTGGGCGCTACGCAATTTATACCTTCTGAGCGGTTAAATGAAAGTTAAATGGCCGCATAAATTAAAGATAACAAATTTGGAATTAACCGCAAGAATCTGAAACTGATCCTAATTAGTAATCATGACTTTGTAGGAGAGGCTAAACAATAAACAAAAATCCATTTTTGTAACAGTATTATATAGGGCCAGTGGCGTAGCGTCATACAGTGTATACGCATAAAACGCCATAGCGTACTCTCAAAGTTTAGAGAAACGTGAATTTTTGATATTGAAATGACCCAAGTTTAATATTCTGAAGTAATGGCCTAACATTTTATTAATCCATATTATTTTTTCGTAGTCGGAATTCCGTATTTTAAGACGCCCCAGAACGCTTCAAATGCAATCTACTTTTTTTTGGGGGGAAAGAGCCCCCCCTCAAAGCTTGTTCGCTTCGCTCACTTGTGGCATACACTCATAAAATACCCACGCTACGCCACTGAGGGCTCTACCATACATGTACAATGTACGCCCTTTCCATTCCATAAAGCCTGTTTTGTGAACGTCAAATTGTAAATAACGCTGAAAATTAGTTGAGTTCAATACAAGTTGCCAACTAACAACTGCTACTTGTTAACTTCCTCTGTTCCTTAAGGACACATCATCTTCCAAGAAACATTGGGAACCTGGTTGTTTTTTTGTTTTGGAATAATTTGTGAAACTTGAGACAAGCTGGGTCGAAGAGCAAAATGTGGGTAAAATTCCATTTCATTTCACCTAAAATAGAACATAATTGCAACCATAGATATTGTTTAAAATATGTTCAAATCTACAATAGATTATTCAAGATAAGGTAAGCACCATATTTAAGCCTACATACCACCTGTCTTTTTTGTTATCTGTGTGTATTTGACGGTATGAAATTATCGAAGTTATCATCGGATGTCAACATGAACTTTGACCTCAAAATAGTCTCAAACCCCTAGTTATAACATGGACCTATATCCTAGAATGAAAAACAATAATTATTATTCTCTTATACGGTTATAATTTTGTATCAATATCTATGATTATTATTCTTTTTGTGAAAAATGTTGAATTTTGATACACTTTACTAAATATTGATGTAAATAATCAAATCTATTTTTGTGACTCAAAGAGCAAGTTCACCGGAAGTGTGCAGAAGATTGAAAAGTTTTGAAGTTTTAGTTCTTGAAAAGTTGATTATAATGTTTAAAAAAGCTGCTAGAGCGTACAAGTCAGCGGGACATGTTGATCTTGGGATGATTATCTATTACGAGAAATGTGTAACAGAATCCCTGGCAAAAGTTATAGCTGCTAAAACTGAAGGTAATTTTTAGTCTCATTCACAAATCATGGAGACTTCTCAGAAGTTAGGGATCTTATTCATATACTGTATAAGTTTTAAACTGTAGGCCAATGGAAAACTAGTATTACCTGTAGCTCAATTTAGAAATCATCTATGTCCCATATTTTAGTCTTTTTGTCTTCTTTTGGGTTCTTTGGCGTCATAGTGAAGCCGTCCGTCCATCAGTTCATCCGCACGTCCGTCCGGAAGATAACTCAAATACTAGTTGACAGATTTTCTTCATATTTAGTGGAAATATGTAAATTGGAAAATAGTTTTACGCAAAAAAATATTTTTTCAAGATGGCTGCTGCTCTACAAAATGGCAGGAATTTTTCGCGAGAATCTTATGTTTTTCATTTTAAGGTGCTATGGAACTTAACAGGAAATGACAAAACAGGAAGTGACAATTTTTTTTGCATTTTTAGACATTTTTTGAACAAAGATAACAGAGTTCTGTTTTGACCTCCAGTCAATTCAACTAGATCTAGTTCCAAATACCATTTACAGGTCCACAGGGTTCGTACACACCTGGAAATGTCAGGGAAATTGATTTATTTTTCCAGGTGCTGGAAATGTCAGGGAATTTTAAAATTGTGTCAAAAAAGGCCAAAAATGTCAGGGAATTTTGAAAGAGTAGATATGTCAGGGAAATGTCAGGGAATTTTATATCAGAATAAATAATGTTCAAGCAAAATACACTTTAGAGTTGACAAGATATCAATGAAATCCAAAATCAGTGTGAACAGTGTGAAAATTATACTGAAACCGAACAATAAAGAATATACATAAAGGTTCAATACAATTATGGTTCCATGAAGTTAGGTAGTCTTAGGCCATTCAAGGTTAATTTCCACCATTTTGCCATTTTTCATGAAAACCTTATCAATCGTTTGTGGATTTGGTCCAAATTTCAGGGAATAAGGAAATAACCCAGAATCAAAAGAAGAACCTTTCTTCATGTAAAGATGAACCTAGAGTTTTACTTTGGCTCAAATTTTATATGGCGATGCCTTAGGGACAAAAGACCTCTGCTTAAGAAGAAATATTCAAGATGGTCTCTGAATGCAAAATGGTCAGCATTTTTTATGAAATTTTTGATAATTTAAAGAAATATGATTCCTGCAATTGCCACTCTAGCCTCATAATCAGGGGAGTTGGTATTTTCTAGTATGATTTTTGATCAAAATTTTTAAGTTTCTGTTGTCATTTGGATTCATTACAAAACATTAACTAATCAGAGTTTGAAATGCTTAGAATGCACCATATACATTGTAAATTTTCAAAAATTTCCTGAGTTTCACTTCGCTTGAAGTGATGCATTTAAACCCCAAAAATTGCAACCCCTTGACATTTGCTGGCTATGCCCCTGTACATGTATGTTTACCTTTGGCCTTATGCAATGTAAAATTTAAAATTTAACATACCAGGAATAAATTGGTGAATAAGGTTTGGCTCCTAGAGTGCAACATCAATATTCTGTCCCATATATGGACATGTCGTGATACAAAATTCGAATTTTGTTCACTTCAACATTTGAAGCATGAATTTTTTTTTATTTCCTCACGAAAAATTCCAAAACTCACAAGAAATGATCAAGATATTGGTTCAAATCTTCTGGACCGTTTCTTGTGAATTAATTATTATCCCATCGAACGAAGTTCGGAGGGATATAGGGAATGCCTAGCTCCGTCCATCCATATGTGCATACATCCGTCAGTCTGTCCGTCCGGGCAATTACTCAAATACCGTTGGCCCGATTTTGTTCGTAATTTTGTACACATATACCTTATGGGGGTAGAAGTTCTGCTCGAAAGCTGATTTTCAAAATGGCCGCTCATTTAAAAATGGCGGCCATTTTAGTGCCGATTTTACAGTAAGTTAGGTACAATATGTAAAACTGTAATAGCAATATGTTTTAAATGTAAAAAAAATTATATAGGACATTAATAAAGCTAGAAACGTAGGTATTGAAGCACATGGCAGCCATCTTGAACTCGCTATTTTACGATTTTTGCTGTAACTCAAAAAGTAATGGAGCGATTTTTTTTCCATTTTGAAAAATTTCCACCATTTTAACGTATTTTACTATAACTCGAAAAGAACTGGAGCGATTTTGTTCATATTTGGTATGTGAATGGGTTTCGGAGAATTGAGTTTCGGACAACTGGGTTTCGGACAACTGGGTTGACCCCGAATACTATAAGCATGGCACACTGTCTAATTACACTTTTGGTGGAAGGTGGCCGCCATATTTGCTATATACTTTGTTTGGAAAAATGCCAGCCATGGCTGTTCGATGGGATTTGCTACGCTTTGGTGTTGCTGTTGTCTAGTTGGTTATAATTTCAGAAAATAATGACATTTCAACATTTTCATTGTTGGAAAATATCGAGTTTCGATCCTGGGAGCCAATCTTCCTTGGTGAAGTCATGAGAAATGGTACAAAAAGAAAAACCAAAAATGTTTCATAATAAATCCTGTCTTTCAAATAATACAGTTTTTGAGATATTTTAGTAGGCCGTGCAAGCAAAACTAAATCTGGAAATTCCTTTTTTGTCTGGAAATGTCAGGGAATTTTATTTTGAAAAAGGTGTACGAACCCTGGTCCAGGATCACAATGTTCATGGTCAGAATGACCCTAAACATGATGAAATAACGTTTTCAGCCCTATGAAAATGTGACTGAAAAATAGCTAAAAGTAGGAGGGTAGGAAAGGTCACTGGACAGAATCTTTTGAATTTTTCAGAAAATGTGCCCAATATATTGCTCTAAATGATACAATCTTTGAAAATTTGATATCATTCATGGAAAAAGAAGAAAAAAATGAAAAAACTGATTTTAAAAGCGATTTATTTTCCTTTTTATGACTGTCATTTTTGTTTAAGACAATTTTCTAAAATTTCAAAGATTGTATCAGTTGGAGCATTATATTGGGCACATTTTCTGAAAAATTCAAAAGATTTTGTTCAGTGACTTTCCCTAGCTCCTACTTTTAGCTTTTTTTCAGTCACACTTTCAAAGGGCTAAAAAGGTTATTTCATGATGATAGGGTCATTCTGACCCTGCACATTGTGATCCTGGACCTGTAAATGGTATTTGGAACTAGTTGAATCGACTGGAGGTCAAAACACAACTCTGTTATCTTTGTTCAAAAAATGTCTAAAAATGCAAAAAAAATTGTCACTTCCTGTTTTGTCATTTCCTGTTAACTTCCATAGCACCTTAAACCAAAGTAATAAATATTTTTGTTTGAAATTTTGGTAGTATACTCACAACATGTATCTGTTTCACATATGTTCCAAGTTTTTCACCCTAACCCTCAGGAGCCGTGTCGGGAAATTTTGGTTAAATTTGAGATCTTTCCGAACTATATCTTTAGTATACTCAAATGAAAGGCAATTTAGAGTAAATTGCAATTATTGTATAGTTTTTCTGATTCGGACCTCGAAAAAATTCAAAATGGCCACCTTATATGTGCTTATGCAATAATTTCCTGATCTATTTAAAGTATGGTTATTATTTACTATACTCAAATTGAAGGAAATTAAGCTTAGATCACAATTATTGTATCGTTTTTCTGATTCCTGCCTCAGGAAATTCAAAATGGCTGCCATGTGTGGGATTTAGCAAAATATGGCTATATTTAGTTATATGTCTGTCTTATTATCTGCAAATCAAGGTTAGAGTAAATGGTAAATATAATGTCAGACATATATATACAGATTAATAGGAATTTGTTCTTTGGGATTTGCTACTCCGTGGAGTTGCCGTTTTCTAGTTTTATATGATTGTGTATGCAGGCCTGTCACTTTCTTCAAGGGAGTGCATTTTTCACTTAAATTTTCAATTTTATGCCAAGTTAATCTACGTACTACTTTTTTCATGGCCTTACTGTGTTGGTAGATCTTGAAATATAAGAGTTACCTAAATATATTCATACTTTCTGCGCAGCATTTTGTTCAGACCAATAGTTCAACTTACTGTAGATCATGCAGTTCCTTCTATCTTAGAATAGGCCATCCTTCCCTGCCCTGTCCTATAAACTCGTCTGTAAACGACCGCAAAACATTCTTTTTAATATTCCAATTATTTTCATATCACACATGGTTGGATGACAATGACATGTCACAATTAAAGTTCAAGGTCAATACATTATTTTGTGATAGGGGCAATGCCTTCCCGAAAGTCAACATGAGGAAAAATGGAAAAGTCCAAAAAGCATTTCCACAAAAAAGCACTGTGCTTGCTTATGCTTCATCATGAACAAAACAAATATGATATGGTTTCATTGAAATGTGTGTTCTGACCTCTAGAAGGTTAAGTAAAGTAGTAGATACATGTATGGGTGAGGGGGAAGAAGGAGAGGGGTGGCCCATTTCTCTAGAAATTTTACATTAGTTAAGATTGCTATCTGGTTAATCCAGAAGTGGTGACATAGTCTCCAACTTTTTTTGCGGATGGAGTTCACCATTCTGCAGTTTCTGCTATTTCTGGACAAAAGAAGTAAAGCAAATAACATTCTGAAAGTATCTTCACTTTTTTAGGGGAGGGAGCGAGAAGTGGCTCCCTTTCTCTCGAAAATTACTGTTAACTTTTAAAGTGTTAAACAAAAAATAAAACTGAGAAAAAAAACAGAAAACTTTTTTGGGGGAGATGCCATATGGAAAGCAAAGGTTGGTCCCCTCCCTCCAAAACATTTTTCCATTTCAAGGTAATGAGAGGAGTGGCTTACGCCCTCTAAAATTTTACAATTTTAATTTGCTATTACTGTAGGTGATTTGTAGGCACTTTCAAAGTGTTTGATGAATCTAAATGGAAAAAGTGAAAAAATGTTGTTTTTTTCAAATCCTTGGGTGCCCTCCTCCACAACTGATGGGCCTGGTCTTCCAATTGTTTTAGTACATGATGAGGGCATATTTCTGAAAAGTTATTTCAGCTTTTGAGGACAAACAAGAAAGTGTGTACCATATATATATCTCCCATTCTACCACATAATGTTCTACCAATTGAACCTCAGGAAAACTACACCACTAACCTATACATTAGTATACAAATAGTGACTGCCATTGAGGGCTGCGGCTTCGGGAATAGTACATTGTAGAGGATATTCCCTCGGGGAAATCATTTACACTATTACTCGAAATTAGGCAGTCACTATTTGTTTTATTATATACCCTATACTGACTCTTGTCCCGTTTCCTCTGCGAAGGCCAAAAAGGCTTAGAAAGCCCCCTCCCCGGGTCCATTGTTAGCATTATAAGCTGTGACGTCATCAGATGCTCAACAGAAATTTTTGCCTCTGAGACTCTCACTTGACAATTTCAATCGCGTTTAACACGCGGAATAGATTATCATAACACTTGAAATTACACAGACGTATTGAGCTTAGGGAACTTTATACACGTTGCTTATACTGTATCGTTCACGCACGTCTGTCATGGTGAACGAAGTTGATTTGTGTTTGTGCTCATCTTCCATTTTTCTGTTTTTCGTCTGTGCAGTGATGATGCGCAGACGTTTCCAAGGGTAATAGAAGTTGCAATCGTGACGTCAGTGGGCAATAGTTCAAATGTATATTCCTGCTGACGTCACATTTGAGGGAATATAACTTTCCGAGGGAAATAGTAAATCTATTTCGAAACATGTGACTAGGTATTGACCAATCAGGATTAGTGTTACATATTGGGTATATAATAAATATAATTATTTAATGAATTGTCATTCAGATTTTCAAGGCTCTGCTGGGAGCCTGAAAATGATGATTTTGACCTTACTGTGTATAGGTCCCTGTTTGTCACTAATGTGAAGAGGCCAAACAAGCACTCATGATAACGTTGAGACGTTCATGTATTAAAACATCCACTGATTGACAATTTGGTTTTACAAGCTTCAGAACCAACTTCTGGGAACTGGAGGTGTGTTTCATTGAAAGTTACTTAAACGTTCAAATCTATTTTTGTCAAAGCCAAGAGCAAAGTAACTGGTAGTTTGCAGAAGATTGAAATAGTTTTAAAAGATTTAAGTGCTTGAGAATTTAGTTAAAATGTTTAAAAAAGCTGCTAGGGCGTACAAGTCAGTTGGACATGTTGATCTTGGAATGGTCATCCATTACGAAAAATGTTTGACAGAGTCAGTGGTGAAAGTTATAGCTGCTAAAACTGAAGGTAATTTTGAAGGTAGTTCTGCATCATGATATTTCATGATTCTTTTTAATATTTTTCACATTTTATGTGAATATTTACACATTATTGAAGAAAGCATAGAACTGGGATTAAATAGATTTAAAACATTATTTCTTCAACTTTTTTAAACAGTTTTTGTGAAAGTGCAGATCTTCTGATTCAAAAGTATGCAACTCTTGAATCCCATGTTCAGGACTTTTCAGAAATGAGAAGCAGAATTTTAAGCATTTTACAACAGTCAGAGTCAATCAGGTCTGAGTAGTCTATGGAAGGCAAAAATGCCAGGGAAAATGATATTATTTAGAAGATTTCTCATAGAATAGAGACTTTTAATTTAAGTAAAAGCTAATTGACAACTTTACAAGCTAAAGAATCAACTTCTGAGAACTGTTGGTGTGCTATTTCTAGATCTTATGAGCGTTTTTTAACAAAGGAGCGTTAGTACATTGCAATAAATATCTAGTGTCTGCAATATCAAGTTAATTACCAAATGATTTGGGACTTCCACAATACTCCAATGCATTCTAGACTTTAAAATTATACCTGTGCTATTTTCACTATATGAATTGAGTGATATTAAAATACAATGACAAAACATTGATTTATTAATTCAAATACATATACTTTGAATTGAGAGTGTTTAATAAGTGTGAAGAGTGTTTTAGTATCTTAGATGCGTGTAATATCTACACTTTAACCACTTCAATTCATGTTCAGTTGTCAAAGGTGATCTCTTAGTGCAGATTAAATTTAAAACATAAGCAGGTGTTATATCTCACTCATATTTCACATCAAAAATATTTTACTATGTATACAGAAATATATTAGTTTATAATGATATTCAGTTGTCAAAGGTCATCTCTGAGTTCAAATAAAATACAACTAATTCAACTTGGGTGTAACTTATATTTTCAATTAAAAATGTTTTACTATATGTTATATAGATATGTATATTATGACTTTCAATCATTAGAGGTCATCTTTGAGGTAGATAAAATTATGACAAAAACTCAAGAATTGCCAAGTATGAATACTTCTGGAATGTTACTGGATCTGTTCTATCGCCTTTAATAAAGGGTAGGTAAGAGTTAAGCACTTGAGTAAAAAACATTTAGATAAGTGTTTTAAAAGTAAGACTAATCAGATAAGTGGGTCTAAAAATTTTGGGGCCAAAATTTGCTCCTTCCATATAAACTGGGCAATTTAGATAACAAACTGACACTCACATAATTTTTTTGAAAGAAAATGGGCCCAAAATTTCAACATTTTTTGGTGCTTCCTTTCACTTTCAGGTTGCCTGAATTAACTCCCAGAATGTGCCCCAAGGATCATTTAGTAACATATCCTCAAAATGTTTCAATAGATAAAGACATATCATATTGTATGTATTTTGTTCACCACCATATTTGGTGAGCCATACATCTGGTTTAAGCATAATTTAAATATTTATCCCTGAGACAGATCCAGAGAGAACCTTCCTGAAAAAACTCGTTGGTCTTTCGCTGTTCTTGCATTTATACCATGCACCATTATCCAGACATACAGGCACTCAGCCAAAATACAATAGAGATGTTTGCCCCAACTTGGAATCAAACCTTGATAATCCAGGTACCACTTTCAACAGATGTACATGTACATCCTCTCTCACTAATCCTACATTAAAGGGGTATTCCTTGCCAGACCTATCTCTCCTAATATAGTAGCTATAACCATATACATACTTTGCAAGTTTATCAAAAAACAGAAAATTGTTTTGAAATGGTCAATATTGATCACTTAAAAATGTAGTGCTCAATTCCAGTAGGCTGCCATCTTTTAAAATTTCACTCAGGAAGTGATGTCATCGACTCTCAACTTTGCATATACCATTAGGTAAGGAGCTATTACAATTACTAAACCAGCTGAGTATTTTTTTCAATTTGGTCTATGATTAAAATCCTTTTGATGATCTCTTGATTAGTTTTAAGTTGACAACTCCTGAAAATATTTTTACACAGAAGATAAGGGCTTCTTGTTTAGAAGTGATTTTGTACTTCTTTCCTATACTGTAATAGACAAGGTTATAACAGGTGAGAGTTGATGACATCACTTCCTGAAAGAAATCTGAAAAGATGGAAGCTTACTGGGAGTGAGTACTACATTTTTAAATGATCAATATTGACCATATGAAAACATTTTCCCGTGTTTTGCTAAATATGTAAAGTATATATATATATGATTGTAGCTACCATATCAGTAGAGAAATAGTCTGGCAAGAAATGTTCCTTTAAGTACATAATCATACATCCCCTCTCAGTTGATTTAATACTGCATTGCCCTATTGTTCCAGCTAGTAATGCTTTATTGAGATGGGTCAGACACGAAGATAATCCATGGCTAAAGGAGACTGTGGTACGTTTTGCAGAGAGCAATGCAATATGGGCCAGCCTCAACCAAGATTATATAGACCAGGTACAGTAGAATCCTTCTTTTGAAAGCTAATGTGAAAAGACTGAAAAGACAGTGTTCAATCATAGTGAAAAGGTGCATGCCCGTAGCCAGGGTTTGCCAAGGGGGGTTCACTTTTTGAAAAATCCCTGGGGGTCACTTGTGACAATTTTGGTCTAAAAATGGCCAAAATCACTTAAAAAGTGCTCAGAATGGTGAAAAACTGCATGATTTTGAGATTTTTTGGCCAGGGGGATTCGCTTGAACCCATCGAGCGCCCCCCCCCCCCCCCTGGCTATGGGCTATGAGGTGTTTGCAAATGTGGGGTGAATGTTACTTCTCACGATGCACTAAAAAGGCAGGGATGGAGGGAGATTTTAGCAAAAATGAATTGGGCTTTCAAAGATTTGCACATGTGGTATTTTTTCAATAATGCAACAGATTACATGTGTTAACATGTCTAACTTCACCAAATGATTAAGTAAAGAAATATTTGATAAATGAATAAAATAACCTTATACATTTTCAGTATGAGGACTACAGGAAAACCTTCAAGGAAATTCTGCAAGGAGAAAAACAAATGGATGAATTCAGGAAAAAGGGCGAGATTTACCGGAATAAGAGTTACAAAGTCTGTAATAAGGTAATTAAAATGACCATACTGGTTATCAACAGAGCAAAAAATAACAATATTGATTTTAAAATGCTTATTTCCTTTAAGGAGGACTGGCTCCCAGTACTTACTTGCATCTTCTTTTGACTGGCATGTACCAAATTGGTGAAAATATTGCTATCGTAATATTCATGTCCCAACTAAATGCTCTGTTGGGAGATTTCTACATTATAGTAATACCAAATTGGTCCATGCCCATCAAAAGCATCCAGAATCTGTACCTCCTTCTTCCCCCTGTTATAACCAATTTGGAAGCGCCCGATTTAACTGAATCACGTGATCTAATTATGCGCAACGACTTATACATGATTTCTGTCACAGTGTTGCGACAGCCAATCAGATTGCGAGTTTTTAATCGGGGAAACGGTAACTGCTTATCGCAGGGGGTAAAAAGAAAGAATATATTCTGGTTTTTGAAACCCTGTGATCGGAGGATGATCAAAAGAAGATTGCAAAAAACTGCTGGGATCCAATTTTCCTTGCATTTCTTTTTGAATTAGCTAATTTTACCAAACTTATAAAAAAAATTTACAAAAAATCAGTGTTTATAACAACTGAATCAGGAATTCTTAACAAAATTAATGGTCTCAAAATGATGGTAAACAAAATTTAGGAAAATAATGTAAATCTTGATTAATTTTAACTTTCAGCTTGAGGCTCTGAGAAAGAAGGGAGATCAAGCAAAGATTGAGGAAGCTGAAATGGAATATTCTCTTGTAAGTACAAAACATTAATTTTTGAGTTAAAAACCCTGACATTGATTTATGAGTGATTTGCCTCCAATTTATAGCTATTTCAAAGAGTTTAAACAACCCAAAAACTCTGATAAACATATTCAAGTCAAGTCAACTTAGGCACATCAGTTAAGCTGTAGATGGATATCGAACTAGATGCAGTGAAATCTCTGTAATTTACCTGTTTGCCAAACATAAGTCAGGCACTTTAAATGATCAATAATATATTTTAGACTCTATCAGAGGAAGATGATTATAAAGCAAAGCTGAAAAGTCAGAATGAATCATTGGAGATATTCAAGGTAGGGCCCAAGTTTGATTTTCATTTTATCATAGATGTAGTACATCAATGACAGCTAATCTCGAGGCCCATTTTTGTTTTTGTTTTTTACCAACTATTTTTATAACCGGAAGGTGGTTAATGTTTGGTTATTAACATTCAACATCTGTAACAATATGTGTGACAATATGTTACACTTTAACCATAATTTCAATAACTTTCAGGTGGTTACATTTTGTCGTGTCACTGCCATATTGCTTAGTTAAAATCTGGGATCAATGTAGACTAAAATACCTCATATGCATTTATATTTCATACATAAACCAACCATTTATTTTGTTTTCTTGATTCTGAAATGATTTCAAGGTTATACATTAATTTCGAGCATATTTCTGGAATTAAAGCATGTTAAAAAGATTTTACATTTCAAGCATGTTTCTCTATTTTGACACAATAAATAATATTGCATTTATTCATTTTAGGCTTTATTACTTATGCATGTTTTAGGATTTCGATCATGTTTCTGCTTTAACATCTTGAATTCCAGGCTCTAAAATCAGTTGAAACCAGAGATATTTTTATTTTTGCCACCTTTTGACATTTTACTACATACCTATACAACTTGAGATGCTCAACTTTCATGTAGTAAAATTAGATGGCAGATATCATTTCTACACATTTTAAAAAACAATTTTGCGTGAAAATTGTTCAAATAAGAGCAATTTAAGTGAAAAATTGTGTGACGGATTTTCTCGTAACTCTTGGTTTCAAGGTCATTTCTGAGGTGACAAGAAATCTCTTCACTTCAGGTAGTCAAGAGGTTAATTGATTTCAGTTCAAAAGTAGCTAGTGCAAAAAACAACAAATGCATGGGCAAAATTTTTATTTATTTTTATTGTGAAATATCTTAATTCACTCATGGTTCTTTATTTCATTCAAGTATGCTTCTTTATTTCATTCAAGTATGTTTCTTTATTTCATTCAAGTATGTTTCTTTATTTCATTCAAGTATGTTTCTTTATTTCATTCAAGTATGTTTCTTTATTTCATTCAAGTATGTTTCTTTATTTCATTCAAGTATGTTTCTTTATTTCATTCAAGTATGTTTCTTTATTTCATTCAAGTATGTTTTTTTATTTCATTCAAGTATGATTCTTTATTTCGTTCAAGTATGTTTCTTTATTTCATTCAAGTATGTTTCTTTATTTCATTCAAGTATGTTTCTTTATTTCATTCAAGTATGTTTCTTTATTTCATTCAAGTATGTTTCTTTATATCACTAATGTTTTTAAATTAAAGCATGTCAAACTAAGAGAAGCATTCCAAGTACAGTGTGATGTTCAAACAGTTTTGAACAATAAGTGCATGTACTTAATGGACATGAACCACAATCTCATCAAAACACTTCTCCCTGATACTGACGAGGCTTTGGAAGACCCCACTGAAAAAGGTGCCAATAGTAACCTATAGTGACAGTCTTATTGTCATAGTGACAGTCTTATTGTGATGCTTAATGTAAATGTGTATAGTGAATTCCTCTTTGCTTTCTGTGTTCCCCATATAGTTTTGCACTCCTACTCATATATGGTTGTATACTCATATATGAATACCCCATTTGAGTGGCAGCTTGCTGTATAATCAGCCTGTTGATGCTATCCACACTCATATATGACTACATGTATATTATAAACACCTTATAGCATAGTGAATAGGAAACACAGTAAAACCATTGTATAGGGAACACCCTATCTAGATCTATATAAATGCATTTAGATTGTATCATTCCTGGTATTTGGACAATTTGGATTTTAATATTATAGATTAAGAAATAAAGAAGTAGTACTACACTTAAAGTGTGCGCCAAAGTTTAAAACTGCGCAGGCGCACCGCTCTCGCTAAACTATATAAAGAGATTACCGGGTACACGATTCAGAGGTAAGCCAGGAAGGCGAACGATCTTCGTCTCGTGATGATTTCCCATATAATCGTAACCAGGGAAGTTTCACCATTGAAATTGAAATTTCTATTAGATATACTTTATAGATGTTATTTATGAAGCTATTTAGTGTTTGCATCAATCAAATGGCTCATTTTGAACATATAAAAAGTATTTGTGTTTTGTTTCCCAGGGAATTGTATTGTATGTAGTACACACATAAATAGTGTACATTATACAGTACTTGAATAGCCTGGTTTACATAATATTGAAGGGCATGCTGATTACATGCACACGAGTACATGAATGAAGGCCTAATATTGATATACGTAGCTTGCATACCTAAATAAAAAATAAACTCTTCTAATCCCCTAATGTAAACACGGCGGTATACGTAGCCCGATTTATCGGGGACTTTAAGTGATTGTACATAGCAAATATGGTAAGGTGCACCCCTTTTATTCACCAACAGTGAACTGAAGTATCATAGTGACTCATTTCTGTTAGAACTTAGTGGACCCCTGATCATTTGTTTCACCATCACATAGGTTATAGTTACCCAGTAATAAGAGGTTTTGCCGAATTCTTTATCCTTTCATATCGGTATTCAGTTTGTGCAATCTAATATTTAAAAAATGTTTTTTTTAACAAATACCGATATGTAGGACCAAGAACCCATTCCAATCATTTTGAATCATAGTGTAATACAAATTGACAAGTCCCTATATCATTTCTAAAATTAATACAGGGCATTGATTTGATTGAGTTGATTGAGAATTTATTTGATGATTGCTTGTATCACGTTGCTTCATCAGTTTCTCATGTATTTATGTTGCTTAGAAATCATGTGGCTTGCTTTATTTTTTATTTACTGAACTGTACTTTTGCATCATGCAATACATTATTGAAAATAATTATTAATTGAAGGAGTTCTCAGGACTACATTGTGGTCAAAATGCAGTGTGTGATTTATGAATATACTGGGTGTCCATGAGTCTCTTTATTTTAACAATACAAAGTCTGTCTAAAGCGTAAAGAAACTTTTTGAAAAAAATTCAGATTGAGAGGTATTCAGATTAGAGAAGTGTTCAGATATACTAGTTTTACTCAAGAGAGAAGTACATTGTACATACATTGTATATACAAATGTATAATATATCTGTTAATGTATCTTTCTTTCTAGTGATGGTTGAGACAAATAGGATTCTAGCTGAAGTAGCCGCAGGTCTAAACCTCACTAGGAATGTTCACCAAGAGAAGATTCCTGTAACTGATGAGATTTATGAAGTAAGTAGGAGTCAAAGAAATCCATATCAATGCAGGCCTGTTAGATGAAGGAGAAGTTGTGAATTGGTCTGCCGCATCTCTTGAAGAAATCTCTGAAAATCTCTTTCAGGATGTACATGTACATGTACCTGGTACATCATATTCCAGCATTTAGTTCTTTTTTCCTGCAAGTTCTTAATTATCCCACCGAACAAAGTTCAGGGGGGATATAGAGAAGCCGTCCGTCTGTCTGTCCGTCCGTTCGTTTGTCCGTATGTCCGGGCGATAACTCCAATACTGGTTGACGGATTTGGTTCAAATTTTATAGGCTTATGCCTTATGAGTGTAGGACATCTGCTCGAGAAGGAATTTTCAATATGGCCACTCAATTCAAAATTGCAGCCATTTTTCGTAAAAAATGTAATCGTTGATAACTCAAATACAAGTTGATGGATTTGGTTCAAATTTTATATGCTGATGACTAGGGACAAAGGAGTTTCGCACCAAAAGAGATTTTCAAGATGGCCGCTTGATTTCAAAATGGCGGCCATTTTTCGTAAAAATATGTAATCTTTGATAACTCAAATACCAGTGAACAGATTTGGTTGAAATTTTATATGATTATGCCTAGGGACACAGTAGCTCTGTTCAAGAAATAATTTTCAAGATGGCAGCTGAATTTCAAGATGGCGGCCAAATTATGTAAAAAACATAATCTTTGATAACTCATATACCAGTGAATGGATTTGGTTCAAATTTTATATGATGATGCCTAGTTCACAATGGTATAAGTTTATAAGTTAAGTACGGTAAGTAGGCATAAATTGCCTGTTTAACCGATCAATACTTTTGAATTTGTTCATATTTAGTAACGGTGTATAAAGTGGTAGTCCACTGTATGGTCATACTTCATTGGGTGATTGTACCAGTGAGAGTCTAATCTGTTTTTGAACTGATTCACACTTGGTGCATTAAAGGGGGTGGCTGAGTATTTAAGCTCAGATTCAGTTAGAAATGGAGTCATTAGTAAACCATTAAATTTGAAAATAACTGAAACTGCTTGCTCTGACATTAAATTTGCCTTTTCCTATAGAATTAATGATTAGATTGCTACAAAATTTGTCACATTTGTGTATGAATATACTATCTTCGAATAAATGTACTTATTTCAATCAGAGATATCTTGAAAACACATTAAATCTTCATTTTTTAAACTGCTAATGGGAGGAGTTAAAAATTCAAAGTACAGCCAATCGGCATTGCAGAAATTAGTCACATGATACATATAAACAAAGGGACATGGCTGAATGTAAATAGAGAACAATGTTTTCTTCTTACCAAACATGTGTAGTATTCATCAATCCAATAACTTAATCCAACAATGCCAATGAGTATATATTCCTTTGATTTTAAATGATATTGTTTTCTTTTTTCATATAAGGTCATTTGCATGAGTTTATTGATAATCCTTGAATATGTTCCGTGTTTTGTTTTATACAATATGTTGGTGCTAATAATTGACCTTTTCTCAACATTGTGTATCAAATGCATTTGTATAAGTCACTAAACTGATATTGCTTAGTTTGCATTTTAATCCCACCAAGCTTATTATAAAGTCTCTGCTTTATAAATCGTCTCCTAGAAGTTCTACTTTGAATAATAACTTTCTGTTTACTTTTATTTGCTAGTGCTTGAGACATGATGTAGTTGATTTGAGAACTGACATATGGAAGTAAAGGGAAGTAGAGACATCCCCTTATATAATTGAATTGACCATTTTAACATTTTGAAGATGACTCAAATATTCTCATTGAAAATTAGTTTACAATTTCAAACTGTATGGTTTATGAGTGATATAGGTTAGAGACCAAAACATCCTGGGTTTGGTGTCTCCTAGAAGAATATCTTTCAACAACCCCACTGTATTACCCAACTTTTCCTGATTTGAACATTTAGCATGATTCTGGTTGTCCTGTGTTTGCTTTCATTTCTCTTGATGAAAGGAACATTACATTTCCAGACATTACCCTTGATTTGGGGGATTGTAGGAAACATGTCAGTATCTCAGGATTGGTTCATACCATGCTCTATAATTTATTTGGCAAATTTTTGAGAAGTTCCCTATCAACTTCTGCTGAACTATCCTAAACCAATTGCTAATGACACTCTTCAAGTAGATCCTGATTCTTTAGACACTCAAAGGGGTCATTAGTAAAGTTGTGCTCATCATTTATGGTAGAATTAGAAGATAACAAATTATGGACTTCTTGAAATTATTTGGATAATTAAAAGAATAAAGAAAACTATATCTCAGATGGCTATCTGTAAATAATAATAGTGGTTAAACTAACACCCAATTGTCATTCATAAACAAGGACCCTACAAGATACAAAACCCCGCCAAATATACCATGTGCATAGCTCATTATGTTCAGTAAACACTGCAGTAATCCATATAAGGAAAGTGAGCCCATCAGTGATAGGCTAATCCTTAATGTTTAATTATGTAATTTTTATCAGCTATCTAATTTCCTTAATGGGCTGCAGGGGGGTACTCGAGCACGGTCTTTAACTACCCATTCTGGTATACAGTTCCACTGTTTTATAACTCTCTGACTAAATGTTTGCTGTCTTAGGGTTGTACTGCAATGTGACTTTCGAAGATATTGTGTATTGCACCTTCTTGTATGGTGTTTGTCCTGTGGTTGTAAGCCAGGGAAAAGTGAATTGGAGTCTACATCATAAAGGTTGTTTATGTATTTGTAAGTCTCTATCATGTCACCTCTGAGTCTTCTGAAGGCCAGTGTTGTCATGTCTAGGACTTTGAGACGGTCGGAGTAAGAGAGTTCTCTGAGTGATGGGAGTATTCTCGTTGCCCTTCTTTGAACATTTTCAATAAATTCAATATCTTTCTTTAGATATGGGTTCCATACTGTATAAAGTATAAACTAACTTTGTGCCAAATTTCATGCTTCTATCACAAAGTGCACAAACATTTCAACATTTATACTAGCTATACACTAGCTAGTTTTTCTAGTTCATTCAGAGAACAGTTATCTTCATTAATTTATGCTGTGCTCTAACATTCTTGAAACGAATATGCCATTGAGGTGTTTTTTCGTACAGTGTTAGGCTTTTTCCATTATGCTTAGTTATATCAGGTCTTCTTCCATTAAAGATCTCAAAACTGCACTCTACTTTGAGAAAAGTATCTGATTGGCCTGCAATGGATCATTAACATACCTATTGAGGCTCAGATAGATAATGTTGCCAAAAACCCCTGCCCCTGTCAGTCCCTGTCCTGACCTTAGCTGAATTGTCATTTTGTAAAACATGTATTATATTGTTAGCTTTTTGGGGGGGTACATGGCAGTATTTCACGATTCTTGTCTGTGCATTTCCAATTTTTAGGGATTTTTCCATTTGAAAATTTTCAGGTAAAACATTTCTCGATACTAGATAACTAATAAAACCATTTATCCTATGCCAAGTAGAGTTTTAGGGAGATAAGTTGGTAAGATATATCCTGTATCCTAATTTTGAGGTTTCCATATCCTAAACCTCCATATCACCCGCCATATCTCCCGCTCCAGGGCATATCTTCCAGGGGCGGATCTGGGAACCAACAAGGGGGGGGCCCAAATTCCAGGTCCGAAAAAAAAATTGGGCCCTTAAAACCCAAAAGTGGGCCCAAATTTTGAAATTTTGAGGCCCATTTTCTTCAAAATTTGGCCTGAAATTAAAAAATAAGGCCTTAAAAGGCCCAGTAATGACCAAAAAGGCCCACTTTTTGGGGCCTGAAGGCCTTTTTTGGCCCAAAATTTTTTTAGGGCCCAAATTTTTTTTTCTGGGCCCACCCAAGGGGGGGGGCCCGGGCCCCCCCCCCCTAATCCGCCAGTGTCTTCCCGCTTTGAAAAAAAAATTAGAAAAAAAGAAAAAATTTGAAAAAAGAAAAATTGAAAAAAAGAAAAAAATTGAAAAAATTGAAAAAAAATTAGAAAAAAAAATTGAAAGAAAACTACTTGGTATAGGAAAAAGCAGTTATGTACGGTCGGTTTGGATATAGGGTTCATCCCTCGTGAGATATGCACATCTCCCTCTGGATAAACCCCATATCCAAAACCTCCCAGTACATAACCCTTATATACTTTAGTCTAATAGTTTTGTAAAACATTCCTTATGAAAAATATAACTAACTTATATTTTTTCAGACCTATTCGTACCAGTCATCTGATAATCTCGAAGTTCCACCACGCCCTACCAGTGCACACCCAGCGGCACCTATTAACAGCCCTAATAACAAGGCTAACAAAGCTGTGGGATTTTTCAATAAGGCAGCAGGCAAAATAACAAAAGTGACGGACCAAATAACAAAGCAATATGCGCAAGGTAGGCATGTGTTTCTGTAATGGTGATTGGATTAGAGGTCTAGGAATTTTTTCCAGAAAAAATGTCTGTGATTGAACACCCTTCTATCTGGATATCACCCAGGATATCACTAAGTCTTATTGACCTACATACATGTAAGGACCAACTGTCTACAAGGAGCTCTTTTTGCCAGTTCATAGAGTATCACATACATGTTAAATGGAATTAAATAATTTATTAACCTCTTGAATCCCAGGCTCTAACGAAACCAGAGAGTTTTTCATTTTTGCTACCTTTTGACATTTAACTACATCCCTATACAACTTCAGATGCTCAACTTAGTACATGTACAATTAGGGTCACATAAATAGGATACTTAAGGACTGACTCTAGGATGACTCCCAAAGGGGTCCCTTTATTAAATGTTAAATAAAATACAAGAGGAACAATGAGACTGCTTTGCCAAAGCCATTTATTAAATAAAATACTTATAATTTTAGGACATGCTGGTAAAAGAACGGGCTCTGATGTAACCCCCAACAGGGCCCCTCCTTTGCCTCCCCCTCGGAGTGCCATTTCTCTGGGAGATCTTCAGGCAGGTGTTTCTGAAACCCCCAGTGGGGCCTCAAAAAGGCCAACAGGCAGCCTTAAGAATTATGATTATGTGGACTTTGAAGAGGATTCTGATAAAAGGGCAGTGGCAACTGCACCTCCTTTGCCAGGTAACTATGGTAGCAGATTTTGTTTTGTTTTTTCAAACATAGTTTTATTTCAATTTATGACATAGAAAAGATTTGCCAATCTTTTTCATCATAGGTTTCATTGTCTGAATAGCAAAACTCACATTCCCATTTCTTTTATATTTCAAAAAAGATGGGAGCATACATTTTTTACAGTCCGAACGATTCATTGTATTTGCAGCAAAATTGCAATCTATTTTTTTTGTTTAAAAAGTAGTTGTTTTTATGTTGAAATAATGTTGCTTGAAAAAGATTTAAAGAATAAATTGAATTAAATATTGCAAAACAAAATCAATTTGTTATTTTTTGTTTGATAACATTTGTTTGAATGTGAATCCGATCTCCTCACCATTGAAGCAGGTGTTGCATTATCACTTGAGATTTTGAAAAGAGGCTTACACTGCACCCTCATTGCACACACATGAACGTTAAAATCATGAATAAATTGGCGCAAGGAATCTATTGATGGACTAAGATTTTATGATCTGATGCATTGACATTTTGCACTCACCTGAAACACCTTCTGAGAAAAATCATAGACTGCACAGAATTGTGAAATTAAGCAGTTACGCCCACTTTAAAAACTGAGAGTTTGGTAGGTTATTGATTTTGGGTGTTCAAATTTCACCATTATCACCCTTGGTATACGCAGCTAACGAAAATTGACCGGTACGGGTCAAAAGCTGGACCGGTACGGGTTAACGGTTTTATTTGAATTTAAAACAGCCATAACTTGCTCAATATTGACTTCCTCATGTCTAATTTGAAATATATGATGCCTCCCGATGCTTTTAAGTACCCCAATTTTTTACAGATTTTTAAACGGACCAAAACTCTCTAAATGCGCATTTATGCTCTTTTCTCTCGAGAACGACTGTCTCATTTTCACGATAACTTTTATTTAGTACTTCTAACATATAAGATCTATTTTTCCCCATCAAGGTATGATGTAAATGACATACTATTTACATCTTGTGAGTTTCAATGACGCGCATTTGATTTTATAAAAAATGCCAAACTTTGTGACAAAGAATTTCATCCTGCTTGCAGCGAGAAGATGGACCGGTTCGGGGCAATCTGCTTGCAGCGAGAAGACGGACCGGTTCGGGGCAATAGCTGATGAAACTCTTTGTCACAAAGTTTGGCATTTTTTATAAAATCAAACGTGCGTCATTGAAACTCACAAGATGTAAATAGCATGTCATTTACATCATACCTTGATGGGGAAAAATAGATCTTATATGTTAGAAGTACTAAATAAAACTTATCGTGAAAATGAGACAGTCGTTCTCGAGAGAAAAGAGCATAAATGCGCATTTAGAGAGTTTTGGTCCGTTTAAAAATCTGTAAAAAATTGGGGTACTTAAAAGCATCGGGAGGCATCATATATTTCAAATTAGACACGAGGAAGTCAATATTGAGCAAGTTATGGCTATTTTAAATTCAAATAAAACCGTTAACCCGTACCGGTCCAGCTTTTGACCCGTACCGGTCAATTTTCCTTAGCTGCGTATACCAAGGGTGATTATGACATTTTCTATATAAATCTTGTAGACCGTCCATCATCATTGAAGTCTGTGAGTGAATTGAAGACTGAGAGTAAGCAGGCACTTCCTCAAAGACAGGCAACTGGACCAGCATTGAAACTTAACATTCAAGGTATTTTACATTAATTTGATAACATGGAAAAGTTTAAGTAATTCAAGTGTCCATATTGCAAATATTCTGTAAATATAAGAAAAAAGCAGTCTTTCAATCTGCCATTATATAGTCCAACCATATAGCTCAGTGGTAGCGTGTGTACCTCTTACGCAATAGGTCCCAGATTCGATCCCCGGTTCAGGCAAGACTTAATTTGCTTGTTTGCTTGAAGTACTTCAGGGTGTTTGACTGAGTGGTCCGCAACTCGTACAAAAGGTTGTGGTGTGTACTTGTATTACTATGTATAAGTGCACATTAAAGAACACTGGAGGGGTTTCTGGGTCTATCTTCAAGGTTAATTACTTAAATTACGACCGTATATATACAGGATATACCCAAAAGGTATTGCTCCCCTTAATTGGTGGTAAACAAAATACAATACAATATAGACTTCTATGTTAAAGAATCTCCAAATGTGAACATCTGCCAATTTAAACACTTTTGGCTCAGTCCCAATGATGTTTGTATTTGGTTTTACTGTACCATTGAAAATGAACACCATTTCTTGTTAAGATGTCCGTTTTTATTCTAGCATCAGAAACAATTTATTTTCCAAGGTTCAGATAATTAAAAACTTTCAAAGACTTACTGACGATGAGAAATTCTATACTTTGATGTCATGTCATGATATTGCTATTGATGTGGCAAAGGCCTGTGGCCAAATGTTTAAAAGAAGAGAACACAAACTGTACAGTTAATTTTGATGAATATCGTTTTATACGTATGTATTGGGTGAGAATATTGAATGGTTTTAATACGTTTGAAGTTAATATCATTTGTATTTTATCTACATGTTGTATTGATATATGCCCAGGACACTTTAATAAATTTTACAAATACAAATACCATTATAATTAACTCATACCTGGCTATTGATTTGGTGCTTCCAGGTGCAGATGCAGATATAGCTGCTACGAAAACTGAAGATCCTCCAAGTCCAGATTATGAACAATTATTTTTCCATCTTAAACCTCCTTCTCAAAAATATGACAACAAGCCTTCATCAACTGAATTATAAGATAATGGATAGCTATGTACAATGTACAACAGAATGTTGACCTGTGGATCTGATTCTAAAGTACAGTACATGTATTTATAAGTGGTATCCTGGACCTATTGTACTTATTTTCAATGAAAACAATATGCAGGGACATACATGTATATTATTGTATCCAGGGAGGGAGATTATTTTACCCAGTGTTATCAATATGTGATACAAGAAACTCTTTTTTCACTACCTAAAGTTATTTTTATTTTATGTACTTTTTGTATATATTTAAATACAGGTACAGAAAAATTTTGGTACAATTATAAATATAGAGCTCAGACAATTTGTATTTAGAAATGTGATTGCTATACAATGAGAAATCCGCATTTATGCAGCAAAAATAATGACAGTGTATTATTGTTATGAAATGGATAAATTGATTCAATAAAATCTATGATAATTCAAATCAAATCAATTAATACATTATTAGTAGTTACTTTGTGTATCTTGGCATAATGAATTGAGGCCTCATGTTAAAGTTGCTCTTCTTCAAGAGCTCTCCAAACTTTAAAATCTAACCAACTGTGCTTTTATGTCGTCACCACAAGTGGTGACATATTGTTAGAGTCTCCAACTTTTTTGTGATGGCGTCTGATGTTCAGTGGTTGGTGGTCGGCATCTGTAACAAATGTCATGGCATCTGTAACAAATAGCAGGTGGTGACAGTTTTCATGTTAATGCTTTGTATGAAAATAACATAGGCCTAGCTTGGAGAAAGTCTTTAAAAGAGGTGTTCCAATTAACTGACTGGTAAAGGATGTTTTCCAATTATCAACAGTTGTAGAATAACGAAGTTAGTTTCCATATGGGGATGGTGTAAATTATGGTTTTGTTAGTGAATAAGCCAAATAGTGTTGATTTTTTAAATATTCAAGACACAGACATATCAACATTTTAAAATTTCGTCAGATAAGGGGTGGGGGGTTAGACTATCACAAAATTAAGTGTTTTTTTTATGACTGCGTACATGTTGATTATTAGACATCATCCCTAAATCAAACTACTGGATGAAAGTATCTGGACATCTTTGGTAAGCCTTGGTATTTACTAAAAAGACTGTTAGTACAAAAGTCTATTGGATGGTGTGAATTGCCATCAGAGTGAGATTTTGACCTACTTTAAATTCTGATATGATTGTGGATTTTATGGCTTGGCTATCAGTCAAGTTCTACACTGTATTACAGTGAATCCTGCTTAGCAGAATACCTCCTTTAGTAGAACACCTCCTTAATTTAAAGGGGAACACTTACGTGTATGTCCAAAAGTTGTTCAACACACAGATTTTACAATGGTTTTCGTAAAGGATGCTAATAGATATCATTGATTTAACAATGTGAAGAACTTATGTAGCTGGATGTTGATAGGTGAAGATAACTGATAGAAAGATAAGAAACACAGATAAACAGAGTGCTAGATATTAAACATGAAGCAAAAGTTTAACAGGACACTTGAGAAATATGTTACTGAGGGTGTTACTTTTATTCGTGTTGGGATTGTGTAAGTACTGTATTTAAGACTCCATTTATGCAGTTAATGATACATCTATAGAATGACAGTCTTTATACATATTCACAAACCTCACAAACTCATATTTACAAACCTTCCGTTTCTAAATATTTTAAATAACAAACGTTCTGAAATATGGCATTGTTTTATAAGGCCATAAGAAGTAGATTCTTTGTTTTGCGTCCTGGCAAAATCCAAATCATGCAAGGGTACATGTACAAGGAAAACAAACACAAACTCAAGAAAAAACACAAACTTATTTGCTTAAGAAATGTATACATTTTATGGACACACCAATTTCCAGTGATTACAAAGACATATCTATACATCATATACAATATATTTAAACATAGCTATTATTCAAATGTAACCAAAATAAGAAAGTACACAATGTATGCCAAAGTAATCAATAACACTGTCAATTTTGACACACATTCGATTGAACGAAATGTGATGGTACTTTCAGACCCTTGTGATTGCTATTTTGATGTGTTTGTTTTTTCTGATTTACTCAAAATCGTGCAAGCAAGGGGATGCAAAACGAAGAAACTACTTCTTATGGCCTAATGGCATATGATGAAGAAGGATGACATCAGATTTAGGCTTAACGTTTAGGTTATGTCTCCGGGAAAGTTCTATGGAGGCAGCCTGCATTCCTTAGTAGTGGGGATCCCATAAGAAAGTGGGGACTTCAAGGCCGAGTGAGCCGTCCAGAGAATATGAAGGTTGTGAAAGACCCGGCAGGTGGCAGCACCAACGTATTGAGAGTCCTCTATAAGAAAGGCATTGCATATGTTTTATAATTCTGTTAAGGCGAAAAATGTTAATTGTTTGTTTAACAAAATTTGTTCACAAAATGGACCAGGTGACCTTGAATATATTTTTAAAGTGACAATTTATAAGTTTGATTATAGATTTTAGCTTGACCAGTTAGGTACTAATGGTAAAAAGACATTTAATATATAATTTTTATGCCAGATAATGAAAGTAAGCGTAGGCAGGATTCAAAAGTAAACAAGGCAAAAATGTAATCGTCAAAAGGCTAAATGAGGAATAGTACTAGCTCTAGACTTCATTTCCACGGTTTGAGTCAACAAAAATTCAAAAAATACTTTATCATTTAGGAACATATAGTGGAAAGAAGGCTGGTGGTATTGGGTTTAAAGCGAGGCCATTCTCCGCACTCAAGTCAGGTCTTGACTCTGCGACACTGTCCTACAAGGTCTATTTCAGTCCTAAGTTTGATTTTGTCAAAGGAGGTAAGCTCCCAGGGTTCTTTGGTGGAACTGGGTCATGCAGTGGAGGAAGGGCGCAAAAATGCTTCTCAACAAGATTGCATGATGGGAACATAAGTAAAGTTAAACTTGTCTTTTGAACACCTTGGCTTTGGTACCTCTAAAAAGTGTTCCATTTGGAAGGTGTTCCACTTATGGAGGTTCATTTTACATTAACTCATTTTGGTTTTGGGACTCTGAAAAATGTTCCTCTTACACATCTAGCTTCATCAAGCTTCGGACACGAAATAGAGGTGTTCCACTTCAAAGGTTTCACTGTTCATGTATTCAACTTGAAATGTATATTATAGACTTATAATCTAATCCATAAATATTTCCAATTATGATGAACTCTCTATTTCAGAATTTGAATATACAGGGTGTTCCTAAAGTCTACACTATACACAGACTTTGGATTATAATTGTAAAGATCTTTATGAGCACCCTGTATATTCTGTCTCCAAGGTGATGGACAGACATACGAAAGCAGCAGTAGATTGACCAATAATAATGGTTCTATATGTATGCTTTAGATACATGTGGCGTCGCCAAGGAGACGGGGAAATGTATCTCTACAGTCCTATGTCTCAAGCCAGTGATTTCTGCAAACGAAAAACTGTACACTGTAACTTTTCATACGGTCATTCTATTGGGAGAGGAACTTTTAAATTCAAACCAGGACGCTGGCATACGATTCAACAATATATCAAGTAAAATGCATTTATATTTTACACATACAGTATACACTTTCTTTTATAAGTTTGGTCATTTGGAACTCCTGTGAGAAAAATGTTATTGAAAATGCAAGTACATGGTAAATCAAAAAATGAGGAAGATAAAGTGTTCACCTTCGAGAGGTGTTCTGATTAAAAGGTGTTCAGATGTATCATTTTATTACCTTTTATTTTTTATCATTTTGCAGGTTGAACACGACCATCGACACGGAATTTGGAGTTCCTTGGTCGAGAAGTGTGCTATCTAGCTCTATTGGATTCTCACTTTATCCTATTCACTTATTCGATTTATTATATGTAATTTATATTGTTTGAAGTTCATACATAAATGTAATATTTATATATATTGTAAATCCCAATATAGGTAAATTACATTATAGGTAAATAAATATACAATACAATAGCATTGAAGCTGAATATAGATAGATGAAGAAAACTGATGTAAAGATAAGAAACAAAAGATAATTCGAAGCAAACGTTTAACAGGACACTGCAAAAATATGTTATTTAGGGTGTTATTTCTTTTTGTGTTGGGAGTCTGTAAGTATTCTAGAATCACTTATATGGAGTAGGTTTGTCACATTTGCTCTACGCCGGACGTATGTCAGCCGTAGCTTTACAAAATCGATATAGAAAATCTACATCATACTGTTAATCCCTATATTTTATCTGCATATTTTTCTCTCGATGTTGGGAACCTACGGCCGCCGTAGTTGCCGTAAATTAAATGTGACTGTAGGCATAAGATAGCGACATGGCAAGACGTCTAAAATATGACATTGTCTAATTTGGCATAATGGTAACTATGAACAATGACGGAAAAATATAACTATCTCAAAATATTTTGAATACCTAATATCAAATTAAAACATGAGGAGGGCGTCTTAACTAGCCTCGGCCATATCTTTTTGCCGAAACCCACTAAAAAGAAATAAAGGTTTTCAAAAAATAGAACTAAATTTTAGGTTATGTCTCCGGGAAAGTTCTATGGAGGCAGCCTGCATTTCCTAGTAGTGGGAACCCCATGAAAGAGTGGGGACTTCAAGGCCGAGTTAGCCGTCCAGAGAATATGAAGGTTGTGAAAGACCCAGCAGATGGCAGCACTAATGTATTAAGAGTCCTCTATAAGAAAGGCATTGCATATCTTTCACTCTTGCGTTTTTCAATAAGGCCCCAAACGATCAATTTTTCTGTATAACAACAGAATTTATTTATGAAAAACAGACTAAAGTGGAGGTGACCAGATCTTTTTTGATTTCTAGTTCTAATTTGACAAGTAATTTTTTTAAATAGACTAAGTTTTGGCCTAATACTAACCAAGTAGGCAATGCTAAAACAAACATTTTATCTGCCTCATAAATAATCTTACTTTTTTTATTTTTACTGGAACATGAAAGACGACAACGGGAATATAACTGTAATCTAAATACATTGCATTTTCATGTCAAAAATAACTGTTTTGATTTTCATCAGTATGAGCTTTATGTCAAACATTTCTTCAATTCCTCAATTTGCTTTTAACGAACAGCTGACACTCAGTTCTTATGTTAATGAATAAGGAATCTTATCCTATGCCTAGTAGAGTTTAAGGGAGATAAGTTGGTAAGATATCCCGTATCCTGATTTTGAGGTTTCCATATCCAGAACCTCCAGATCTCCCGCTTCGGTGCATATCTTCCCGCTTCCGTTGCATATCTTCCCGCTTCTGGTAATGCAATAAAATGACTTTGAATATGAATAATTTGTTTATTTTAACACCTTGAACTATTGAAATGGCCATATGCCCCTGGAAACTCTACTTGGTATAGGATATACTGTCCCTACTGTCCCTCGGGAAGATATGCATATCTCCCTCTGGATAAACCCCATATCCAAAACCTCCCAGTACATAAGTAACCCTTATATAGGTTCCCAGATATGAACCTATTGAACATGATTGTAACTTTCAAAGCAGGTGTAGCCAGGATTTAGAACTAGGATTTAGACAAGGCAAAAATTAAAAGATGATGCAAAAGGTTTCATTTCCTTGTTTTAGTACCTGGCTACACTCACGAGTGCTATGCCCAAGCAGTAGGTAGATTACCACCACAGATATCGTTCCAATTTCGACATGTTACAATTTTAATCATATTTCACATATAAATCACATTACATAATTACATTAGAATTACAAATGAATACTGGTTGAACATTTAGGAACATATGCTGGACAGAATGCAGGAGGTATAAGATTTAAAGCGAGGCCATTCTCCGCACTCAAGTCAGGTCTTGACTCTGCGACACTGTCCTACAAGGTCTATTTCAGTCCTAAGTTTGATTTTGTCAAAGGAGGTAAGCTCCCAGGGTTCTATGGTGGAACTGGGTCGTGTAGTGGAGGACGGACACACAAATGCTTCTCAACGAGGTGAGTGTAGTGCATGATGGAAACATCAGTCCTTGCATTCAACTTAGATGTACATTGTAGATTTGTGTAGCCTAATTCATGTATGGATGATGATACTAATTAAGCTTGTATTTGCAAGTGCAGCTAACGCCTGTCGGCTACCGGCTTAACTTACTATTTAATGGGCAACTCCTTTAAATATGAAAAGTGCCTGCTGCTATTCCATTTATAATTTAATGAGTTGGTTTTGAATTAGTAAGTTAATCCGATAGCCGACAGGCGTTGGTTGCATTCGTGAATACAAGCTTAGTTACAAATTCATTCATCATTGACACTACCAAAATTGTTATTTGAATCATGCAAGTTGCATTTGATCTATAGCAACCATACGGTGGCCGTAGCTTTCCAAATTCGAGAGAAATGTGCAGCATAGAATATGGGGATGAGCTACACGACGTACATATTCTATACTAGTATAGTATCGATTTTGTGAAGCTACGACCGCCGTGCGCCCGCCTTGCGCCCGCCGTAGAACAAATGTGCAATTTATGTGTCATTCTAAGTGAAGTCATTTTCTTTTTCTCCGATTTCGGAGAGGTTTGAGCATTTATTCGAAGGTAAATCGATATAAACATTTTGACCATCACCTTTGACAACAATGATTGCTTTAGATACATGTGGTTAAGTCATGGAGACGGACTGATGTATCTCTACAGTCCAATGTCTCAAGCCAGTGATTTCTGCAAACGAAAAACTGTACACTGTAACTTTCCATACGGTCATTCTATTGGGAGAGGAACTTTTAAATTCAAATTAGGACGTTGGCATACGATTCAACAATATATCAAGTAAAAAATATATTTATATGTACACTTTTCAAGTTTATAGTTTGGAATCGTCCCCTATTTTCATGTTTGAATCGTTTACTTTTTGGTTAGATATTAACATGATTAAGTACTATGATAAGTGAATTGGTTGCCTATTAAAGACAAACTGCTTTAATTGTTAACATGTGGTCCAAATGGTATTCCAGTTGCCAATCTTTTGGAGGAGAGTGTACTGTATAATACTTTTAAGTCCGTGTTGTTTCATTTAAAATCTGTTTTATCAACCTTTGATAAGCAAAAAGGCCCAATGTGTACACTAAAAACATGATAAATTCGTCTTAATTCAAACTTCATTTTCTCAAATATCTTTCTACCAATTTTGCAGGTTGAACACCCCAGGCAAACGTAATGGCATAGCCAGGATATGGTTTGATGGTAAAGAAGTGTATTCCATCAATGATCTCAGTTTCAGAAAGGATTCCAGCACCAAAATCAACGCCATAATCTTTTCCACATTTTTTGGTGGAAACTCCCCAGATTGGGCTACCCCGAGAGATGTATGGTCGTACTTCAAAGATTTTGAAGTTTGGAGCCATCAGCCTTCACCAGTCTCAAACAGTACACAAACTGGAGGAAGCTATCATTACCTCTCTTTAGTGTATGACCACAAACTTCAGCTTTCTCAAGAATAATACAATGCAGCAGTGTCATCTATTTATATGTTTATCAAACAGTGTTTCAAATCCTGAGTGAGTGAATAAATTCAAAATGGCTTTAGTGCATCCTGAAGGAACTACTGAATGTTTCTTAATTATCAAACAGTCTTTCCAGTCTCTCACTTTCAATAATTTCGCACAAGTTAAAGTCCCTATGTATCAACGAACCAGATGTTTGCAGATTGTATTCAAGTGTTAACATGGGCATTTAATAGAGAAAGCCCATGATGTTAATTGTTACCAAATAAGTAAATAAAAAGTGAACATGATTTTAAAGAATGTATGTAATCTTTAATGTATTACTTAAGCTTTGAATAACTGACTGTGATTGGTCAAATCACATAACATGACCTGTTGCCTATATACATTATTATCATATAGTTACATATGATAATATCATAGCATATTTGGCAACTTCTGCCACTGTTAAAATAATGCCCATTGCCCTCTTTTTGATAATGTATATCTACTAATAAACATGATTTTTTTAATATTTTGATATATCTACATTAGATTAACTAACATGTGCATGCAAGATTCTGTCCAACTCATGTTGAATTTCACTTTATTGAATGGTCTTACATTTTGAATAAAATATTCAAAATGTTTATAAATAATTTATCACCACATATTAGCATACTCTTCCTTTGCTAATTAAATAACTTTAGCATTTTGAGCCAGCAAAACGCCAACATTGCTATTTTGTAAGCGAGATAATAAACTAAAAGGTAAATTCAGTTAGTATAGCTATATAGACCCTGGAATATAGATCAGTTTGATAAAATAAAGAATCATTACAATATGTTGTATATATTTATCCAAGATGCAAGTTCTTTAAAGGTTCTAAACCGATAATGAACCAATTCACACAGGAACATTTTCTCCCTCTTCATTTGTAACTTCTTCAAGGGGTCTCTTTTTATTAGGATATTCTGAAGGGTTGCTCCATAATTTCAAGATAGGTTTGTCTTTCGAGCTCTCAACTGTTTGTGTTACAATGGACTTTATCTCTCCATGAAGATCTTCAATGGACTTGCCAGCATTCACAATCTGCAAAAAATCAAATTCAATAAAACGTTGCTACAATGAGCATTCATAGCTTCATTTACTAAATATGAATAACACAATGCCTCAGATAGAATACATTCTTACAAATAAAGTAGCATAATTCATAAGAAAAGACATGCTTTGAAAATATTGATGTCTATTTCATGCCTTTTCTCTTCAAATTTGAATGAAATATCTGAAAGAATACTTTAGGAATTTTCCATTGATTAAGGAATTTTCCATCATTTTTTTTTTATGAAGGTCACCTCACCTTCCAATCATGCTCCTTGAGAATTTCAAAATTTTTTGCCACACGCTCCTGGAACTCTGTATTCTCATATCGCTCAGTCCCAAATGCAGCTCTCTTAGATGCTTCCTCTGGGCTCAGGGTCAAATAGAGGACCTGGTCAGGTTTAGGAAGCCCAACATCTGGCTGTTTGCACCATTGAAGGTCAAACCCCTAAAGAATAATGGAAGATTGGTGAATTTGGACTCAGTCAGTTTTTGACAATTCTAGTTTGAGATTATAGACAGGGTTCTCACTGGGCTTTTAGACTCCGGAGATTCTTAAATCCCTCTTGCTCCAGAGTCTAATAGCTTTTCCGAAGTCTATTGTTTTTTCCGGAGTCTAATTTTACATCTTTGTCACATTATTTGCGGTAAAACTTTTGAGAAAATACATAAAACTGAATACAAACAAGGAATAGGAAATCGGAAACCTTTTAGAAATAAATATTTGGATTAAAATAGCAAGATAATCTTAAGAAGTATGTTGAAAAGTATACTAATAGGATATCTCTGATCGCACATGGGGAGAGATAGTCGCGATACCGTGAAAAAAGTAGTCACAATACCGCCAAAAATCCAAGGTCTAAAAAATTCCTGGTGAGAACCCTGATAGACTATTAGTAGGGAATCTCAGGTTTAGGGAGTCCAACATTTAGTTGTTTGCACATGAAATAACATTCAAAGCATTAACATGCAAAATGTTACCACCTATCATTTGTTACATATGCCAGCAGCCAAGCACAACTACTTAAAACCCATCCACAAAAAAGTTGAAGATTATAACAATACCACTTCTGGTGGTGACATAAAAACTGGACCAAAAAATGTCCCCCATTGAGAGGATTTCAGATTGGAAAGGTGTTCTGATGCACAGGTTTAACTTTAAATTAACAAGGCATCAACCAACCAAAGGGGAGGCAACTAAAGTACTTCTACTACAGGGTGTCAAATAAGTATGTTCTCCTACCTTAATTCCAAAAATATGAACTTTTGTGGATGTTAAAGCTAAGAGAAGGATATATTTATTTGACACTGTACTTTTAATTTTTACTTGGGCAACTTACAGGTTTAGCTCCTGTGAAGGCAACACCAGAATAAGCATATCTGTCCACTATCAACGTAGTCCCACTGTTCAACAGTCTAAGCATTTTTGGACTGAAACACAGAATGCATATCATTAGTAGTACAGTAAAACCTGTGTATATTGAACATTTTTTACTTAAAGAAAAAATTTTCAGTATCGGTAGGTGTTCACTACAGAGAGGGTAATTTATACAGAAGTCAGTAGAGTATACACAGAGATGGGTGTCTACTAGACAGAGGTGTTCACTAAGAAAGGTTTCACTGTAACTGTACATATTAACATGCAAAATGTTAACAAATAACATTTGTTAAAAACACCAGCCACTGAACACCTTGATGTCCGATCATGTCCAAATGGTGTACGGGTAGATTTACAGTAATGGCAGTATTGGCAGAGACCAGGTACTTACACTAACTCCCATCTATTGGCAGAAAACAGAAGATGTACAGCATGGTCCTCTAGCTCTGATTTTTTCTCTAAGTATCCACTTATAGTTTGACCAATGGCTGTTGATCTTTCTGAAAAAAAGAATAACACAATCAAAGAGCACATTCCCCTATGCTTCACAAGAGTGAAAAGCATGGGGTCATGGGTTCAATCCCCATCAGGGTAGACAGACTTTTTCACATCACCGGCCCTATTTTCACTTGTTTCAATAACCATAGATTTTGTCCAGCTCATTTGAATATTTTTCCAGAGAACAAAACATACATAGACTTACATGTATGTTTCTATTTCTTCATATACTGTTGCAATATAGTCATTTGATTGCTTATTTTTTTTAATTTAAAGTGGTTCCAAACATTTAAAAGTTTACTGTCTGGAGGGTTCTGATATGACATTGATATTTTGTCATTTTGACTACTGGATGAACTCACTACGTTAATAAATATGGATGTTTCTTGATGATTTGGCGAAATCTGAGACTAATATACTCTAAAGGGATTGGAAGCCTCCCATTGACCTCCATATAAAATTTTCAAATTTGGCGCGCCATACGAGATATTGCGAGATTTCCCCTCGAGATTTCGGACATCGTGGATTGTTGAGAAAATAAATTACATTTTTCACAAATTCTCGACAATTATGACGTAAATACCCATTAAGGTATGTATTTAATCGATAAAATGGTTATCATGAATGCACATTTGTTAAAATTTAGAGGGAATTACTTACGGAATCACCGTTCTCTTACAACAAGAAAAAGTGATTGAAAAATGAGGAAAGCCAAAAAATTGCGAAGTCCAAGGAATCGACATTTTTATTAAAATTAAACGTGGATTTTGCCGTTTAGTGTTAAAAGTAAGGTTCCTTGTACATAAATCAGTATTGATATTTCATGTATGAATATGTATAAATGACTGGTGCTTTACTTCTTACTTTTTTGTTAACTTTTTTCATTCATTTTTCTTCAGATATTTCTGACCTAAAAAGAAATTTCTCTAAAGTTTCATCATCTATATAAATTGATCCGGACATCCCCTTGATGTGGTTCACATATCACTGAAAAGAGCAAACTATGTAGATCACAAAGAACTATTCATTTGAATGATAATTTTCCTCTTTTAAGTGTCATAGTCAGCTGAAATCATGGTATTGGCCCAACTTTTCCCTCGTGTCGCGATAATCTCCGAAGATTTTTCTAAAGTTTCATCATCTATATAAATTGATCCAGACATCCCCTTGATATGGTTCATATATCACTGAAAAGGGCAAACTATGTAGATCTCGAAGATCTATATATTCATTTAAATGATAGGTTTCCTCTTTTTTAATTGTCATTGTCAGCTGAAATCATGGTGTTGGCCCAACTTTCCCCTCGCGTCACGGTACATCTCCGTAGATTTTCTAAAGTTTCATCATCTATATAAATTGATCCAGACATCCCCTTGATATGGTTCATATATCACTGAAAAGGGCCTACTTTGTAGATCTCGAAGATATATTCATTTGAATGATAGTTTTTCTCTTTTAAGTGTCATAGTCAGCTGAAATCATGGTATTGTCCCAACTTTTCCCTCGTGTCGCGATAATCTCCGAAGATTTTTCTAAAGTTTCATCATCTATATAAATTGATCCAGACATCCCCTTGATATGGTTCATATATCACTGAAAAGGGCCTATTTTGTAGATCTCGAAGATATATTCATTTGAATGATAGTTTTCCTCTTTTAAGTGTCAAAGTCAGCTGAAATCATGGTATTGGCCCAACTTTCCCCCTGTGTCGCGATAATCTCCGAAGATTTTTCTAAAGTTTCATCATCTATATAAATTGATCCAGACATCCCCTTGATATGGTTCATATATCACTGAAAAGGGCCTTCTTTGTAGATCTCGAAGATATATTCATTTGAATGATAGTTTTCCTCTTTTAAGTGTCATAGTCAGCTGAAATCATGGTATTGGCCCAACTTTTCCCTCGTGTCGCGATAATCTCCGAAAATTTTTCTAAAGTTTCATCATCTATATAAATTGATCCAGACATCCCCTTGATATGGTTCATATATCATTGAAAAGGGCCTATTTTGTAGATCTCGAAGATATATTCATTTGAATGATAGTTTTCCTCTTTTAAGTGTCATAGTCAGCTGAAATCATGGTATTGGCCCAACTTTTCCCCCGTGTCGCGATAATCTTCGAAGATTTTTCTAAAGTTTCATCATCTATATAAATTGATCCAGACATCCCCTTGATATGGTTTATATATCACTGAAAAGGGCCTACTTTGTAGATCTCGAAGATATATTCATTTGAATGATAATTTTCCTCTTTTAAGTGTCATAGTCAGCTGAAATCATGGTATTGGCCCAACTTTTCCCCCGTGTCGCGATAATCTCCGAAGATTTTTCTAAAGTTTCATCATCTATATAAATTGATCCAGACATCCCCTTAATATGGTTCACATATCACTGAAAAGAGCAAACTATGTAGATCACAAAGAACTATTCATTTGAATGATAGGTTTCCTCCTCTTTTAATTGTCATAGTCAGCTGAAATCATGGTATTGGCCCAACTTTCCCCTCGCGTCGCGATAATCTCCTAAGATTTTTCTATACTAAGGATCTAAATACTGTACGCCCGGTATTATTCGCGTGCGATTAACTTTCGCGCTTTTCGCGAGGGTGTTAAAATCGCGAAAAATTATTGTCGCGAAATTGCCAATTAAATCCCCGGGAATTTGTTTTTACCCAGGGCTCTGATGCATTTCTTTTTGTCTACTAGTTTGGATCGAGTTATAGTACTTCAATAGTACTGTGCAACTCCATGACTTTACTATGCGCATGCGCGGCAATGAAAGAGCAGGTGCGCACGATTGTTCACGTGATCGTAGCCTGCAAATTGATTGGACATCATATACTGGGGAATCCCCGAATACGATAAAATACAGTATTTGCGAAATTTAATAGCCGCGAAACCGTGTTTTCGCAAAATTCGCGAAATTAAAGCTCGCGAATAATACCGGGCGTACAGTAAATTGATCCAGACATCCCCTTGATATGGTTCATACATCACTGGAAAGAGCAAACTATGTAGATCACAAAGAACTATTCATTTGAATGATAGGTTTCCTCTTTTCAATTTCATAGTCAACTGAAATCATGGTCAAATGGTTTACATACCATTTCGTTTTTTCAACATTAATATTTTGATTTGTATTTTCCAGAGTTTGTTAGTACTATGGATGTGAAGAAACCCAAGAAGAGGAAGAAGAGGAAAAGCCTTATTGTGCAGAAGAGAGATCATCATAGCTACAAGCGGAAGAAAGAGACTCAAGATGCTGGGCCAGGTCAAAGGTAATGCATTGTACTACTTTTATTCATGATGATGCCTTTCATTCTATTGGTAGAGTTAAACAAACAGATCACATGTACATTGGTCTTTTCACATTGTTACCATGATATGTAACTTAGGTTCCTATTCTTATACAAAATCATATTTTGATTCTAAAGTCTAGTTATGGTTGCAGGAGTCAACATCCTGGAGTCCATTACATGCTGACATTGAGCCCTATGACTCTTTTCTACAATATGATATGATATGACCTGCTGCAGTTACATGATACTGTAACACAAACAATCTGAGGTATGTATAACATATCACATGATATGTAGTAAGTTAAAACATAGAATACATGATTTGTCAATGCATGCTTGATACAGGTGTGAATTGTGTAATTCTTATACAGTGTGGTCCAGAAACTCTTTACTTTTAATGCTGTGACTTCTGGGCTTGCTTGGGTCTAGGTGTGCCGAGGTCCTTCACACACAATCCTTAATTTAAAACAAGTTTTATAGAACCTTTGAGATATTCTAAAATATCTTTGCTATTTCTCATGACACCACATGTCCAAGCCAGTTACTATACTGAGTGAGATATCATCTTTATTATTAAAAGTGCATTCAAGACTTAAGTATCAAATGTGTGATACTTGAAAATTCTATTAATTCAAGTGTCTTTATTTTTGCAGTTCAGTCCACAAAAATTCAGATGATGGTAAAATGATTATTTGTGAAAATGTTAAAGATACAAATATGTATGTATGAATGTTTTTGGCTTGTCATGGTCATAATCTGTATTCTGCATGTGTCATGAAAAATTTCCAAATTTTCTCTGCTTGAGACATCACTGCTGAAAATGCAGTGTCTTTCATACCATGCAATATGTACCCTTCAAATGGTCTCAACACAATTTCCATCAATTAAATCATATGTAATTGTCTTTAGGAGAAGCAAGACATGTCTCTATTGAATGATATAGCTTAACTGACCTCAGCTCACCCTGTATCTACATTTAGTTGAAAGACATGAAATGTTAATACTTTTCATTCTTATCATGTTTTTTTTGCATTTGTAATTGATAAAGAAAATGAGCTTCTATGTATTTTCTATCAAATGTGTACTAATGCTGTGATGAAACTTATTTTTTCAGTAATGATTGCATCTTTGAACGTTGGATGAGACTGGTACGGGGGAATGCCCATATTTTAGAGCTGCATCTTGCAGTCCTGGTCTACTATAATTAGGTACATTTCTAACTAGTCTAGTTCTCCATGTATAACTTCAAACAGAAATGTCATTTCTTGGAATCTTGAGTCTTATAATGCCTAAAAACAGTAATATTATATAAAAAAAACTTGTAAAGTGGTGATCACAAGGAATTTTGTTTTTAAACAGAAAGTAACAAGGAACATCCTTTAAAAGAACACAAAAATCATGAATTGCTTGATATTGAAAAAGTTGAACAAAAAATTGTAAATGTTTTTCTTTATTTTTCTTCAACCCTGCATAAATTTAATACTGTTATTTGTTTTCAGGTCACAGCACATTCTGCTCTCATTCCTATCAGCTTCATATCAGCATCTACCTGATACACTGCATTGGATGTTTGTGGATTAAAAACATGTAGCCAAGAATCTTATACTAAGGACTGAGACTAACATAAAACATTTAGAGTATATTAGTCTCAGACTAAGGACTTCAAAACAACATTATTTAAGAATGTGATAGATCTTGTCAAAAATATAGTATCTTATATATTGAGTATAAACTGATAAAGACAGCCTAAGCAAATGTGTGCTTTTTACATTCTATAGGGACTTTAATTAAGCCACCTCCAGAAGGTACAAGATTTGATGCTACAAACCTTGCACCTCACAGTGTGATCTAAGTGTAGTATCAGTTGTATTTGATGACAATTGTAGTCTTAAAATGAAATAAATGATTGATGATTTCCCTGATAAGTACATGTCTTGTGTGAGTGCTATCCAGTGAGCCTTTTTTAGCATTACTTGGCCTCCTTTTTTAGATTAAAAGACCAAATTATCAAAAGATTGGCATTAAATTAAAAAAATTGGGCTCAATTTTGTTTTTTGGCGCCCAAATATCAGACAGATTTAAGCGGTGGTTATCTCCAAAATTATTTATCCCAAAGCAGCCCCGTAGCCAGGATTTGACAGGGGGTTCATTTTTTGAATAATTAAATCCAGGGGGCTTCACTTTTGAGAATTTTGGCCCAATAATGCCCAGAATAACTTAAAAAGTGCTCAGAATGTTGAAAAACTGCATGAATTTGATAAAAACTTGGCCAGGGGCACTGGCGGATATGGACCCCCCCCCTTGGGTGGGCCCAGAAAAAAGGGCCCAAAAATTTTTTGGGCAAAAAAAGGCTCAAGGCCCCAAAAAGGCCTTATTTTTTAATTTCAGTCCAAATTTTGAATAAAATCGGCCTAAAATTTGGGCCCACTTTTTTTACGCAAAAGCACGAAATTTTTTTTCTTTCACCTGAAATTTGGGACCCCCCTTGTTGGTTCCCAGTTCCGCCCCTGAGGGGGGTTGATACTAAATGTGGACACTGCCCAGCCAAGGGAAATGGGTCGAACTCATCTCCCCCAGCCAAAAATTCTTTCAAATTCATGCACTTTTTCACCACTTTGAGCATTTTTCAAGTTAATAGGCCAAAGTTGTCAATAGGGAACCCCTACTGGAATATTTAGAAAGTGAACCCTCTCCCCCTTAGCAAAGGCTAGCTATCTACGACCCCGCTGCTCGTTGATGAAATAGAGAGTAAACTCTTATATGGTCAGCTATGGGAATCACTTCCCCTGTTTCCAACCTGTACAATTCATCCATTCCCGGTAAAAAACGGCATAACGCACTAGACGAAAATGCGAATAATGGATAACTCTATTGTAAAAACGAACCTGACGGCAAACGAAAATTCCGCTCGATAATGTACGTGATTATGTTTTTTAGCTTAAACATTATCGTAAGTTTAATGATTTATAACAATAACATGATTGTTGTGAACGTAGGCCTATATAAAAAGCTCTCGGGGATTCAACCAAAAATGGATAATTCTCATTACACATTGCCACGGAACATGATGAAGTCAAAATAATTTTGTTATTATTTTCTCGAACTAGTGGGCAAAAACGATGATAATAAACACGAAAATAAGGTTTTTGAGTAATTTCCTTGACCAGTTTGCTGTGGATCAATCCCGAGTTGTCTTTATTTGAAGGGTCAATCTTCTTTTTGAAGAGCGCTTTGAAATACAAGTGGCGCCACCATGGCATCGTGGCGCGGGTGGCACAAGTCTCGCATAGAGTTTCCAATCCCTTTTATGTTAGTCTCAGGCGAAATCTAAGCAAATTTGGCAAAAAAATTTAATTTCCCCAGCTTGGCAAAAATTTGGCAAAATTTGAGCAAATCAGCCAAAATTTAGACAAATTGTACAAAAATTAACATGATTGGCAAAATTGAAGCAAAATTTTAAGATTAGGTCAAAATAAGCAAATTCAGTAAAAATTTAGAAAATTTGGTACAAAATTTAGAAAATTTGGCAAAAATTTGGAAACTTTGGCAACAATTAGCAAATTTAGCAACAAAAATTCGAAGATTTGGAGATCTAATCCCTCCGATGTTGTTAACTAGATTAGCTGAATAGCTATGGTTAGGCTACACAAGGCACAAAGAAATTTTTTCCTGATTTTTTTCCTACCTGGAAATCTCATGAACTCTGCTTTGCCGCCATCTCTGTTCAAGGCATCGACTAATTTCTTGCATTGCGTTGTTTTACCACATCTATCGCATCCTTCAAATACAATTAAGGCACCTCTTGTCATCTTGTGGAGCATGTATAGGAAAAAAAGAAATGTTTTGTCGGTTTTGTTTAGGCAAATATTCTAAAATTGCGCCAACGTATGAGGTCAAGGTCAAGATGAGCATACCACTTTTAGTTTTCATATATTTTTGAAAAGTAAAGCTGAAAAGTAATATTGATTTACAATGTTTTTGTTTTATATGATAAAAAATAATATATCTTTATTGTGAAACATTTCATTCATTCATATTTTTAAAGATATCAGTTTAAATAATTAGTTGAAATAAATATAAGGAACAGTCCGAAACAAGAAAAGTGAATGTGTGTGAAATATTTGTTTTTGTTAATTAGTCGATCGCCTAGTAAAGTAAGAACCTTTTAGTATTTATTTTATGACTCAAACAAAGCTATTTTTACGTTTTTAACTTTAAATAGGTAACTTGATATCACATCTGGCTCATTTGTTCTATCGAATTTCAATTTGGCTTTTGGAACATTTTTGCACAGTTGAGTTACTCATTTTTGAATCCAGACTAGGGAAAACATAGAGCCATCTGGATGATACTAGTATACTACTTTTTTCTAAAAAAATCGATGTTTTGTTTAAGGCGACGCTATATTAAGGCGACGCTATATTAAATAATAAGTACAAAAAATGACTGCCATATTTTTTTGATAAAGACACATGTTTTTAAAATCTGTTTACCTTGTATATGAATTGTGTATCTTGACTAATGAAACATGTCAAAGTTAACATCACACATAAACGCATTTTTCCAAACTATGAAATGGAGGTGCATGGATCCCCAAATCTAGCATGAAGAGTGCGAAGTGAGGCTAATTTTTGAAAGTTTCAAGGAGTAGCCTTGCAACAGTCACACATTTGCAAGAGTCTAAAATTTCCACAAATCATCTTACCTTTCCCAGGAACAACGAAGGAGCATGAAAATGTGCACTTCTTGCATTGTTAGAGTATAATAAAGCTCAAACCATTGTAAATTCTAAATATTTCATGTCCACATTTTGTTTGCCGGAACTACTTCTAGACTTCCTGATTAATCCTCATGCAAGTTTTGTGACTACACCAAGTGGCATGGATTATCACTTGTATGTTTTATCTATTACAGTGTAATTATCATGATAGATACATGATAGAGGCTTTATGAATGATAAACAATGGAAACATGAATGAAGATAACTCTGGACTAAAAAATAGTTCCAGGAAACAAAATGGTGGACATGAAATATTTAGAATTCACAATGGTTTGAGCTTTATTATACTCTAACAATGCAAGAAGTACACATTTTCGTGCTCCTTCGTTGTTCCTTGGTAAGGTAAGACTATATCTAGAAATTTTGAATTCTTGCAAATGTGTGTCTGTTGCAAGGCTACTCCTTGAAACGTTCAAAAAATAGCCTCACTTCGCACTCTTCATGCTAGCTTTTGGGAGCCATACACCTCCAATTCATAGTTATGAAAAATGTGTTTAAATGTGAGGTTTTCTTTTATGTGTCTCTTTAGTCAGGAAATGCATTCACATACAAGGAAAACAGTATACAAAATCTTCTGACTTTATCAAAAAAATATGGCTCCCATGTTTTTGTACTTTTGATGAACTTAAATGTCACCTTAAGACATCGATGCATCGCCAGAATCAGCTTTGGCGATCATCGCGATGTATCGATTAATCGTGACAACACTACTATGCATATCAAAACTGGAAGTAGAGCTCTTGCCCTCATTTTGGTTTTCAAAATATTGTAGAATTTTCACGTTTGGAGCATGAAAATGCATTGAATGGTAATTTTTAGAAGCTTATATTTCTTTTAAATATTTAAATTTATTTGGTCAATTGTTGTCAGTTTCCCTACGGCATTTTTTCTCACAAACATACATAAGTATCATATGTTTTAGAAAATGTTCATGTTTGCGAAAAAATAGCTCAGAAGACAACAGAATCGTCGATTTAATTCCTCACTTAAGTTACATAAACGGTTTAGGTTAAGGTGCTATGGAAGTTAACAGGAAATGACAAAACAGGAAGTGACAATTTTTTTTGCATTTTTATATATTTTTGGAATAAAGATAACAGAGTTCTGGTTTGACCTCCAGTCAATTTAACTATTTCCACATATCATTTACATGACCAGGATCACAATGTGCATGGTCAGAATGACCCTAAACATGATGAAATAACCTTTTTAGCCCTTTGAAAGTGTGACTGAAAAAAAGCTAAAAGTAGGAGCATAGGGAAGGTCACTGAACAGAATCTTTTGAATTTTTCAGAAAATGTGCCCAATATATTGCTCTAAATGATACAATCTTTGAAAATTTGATATCATTCATAGAAAAAGAAAAAAAATGAAAAAACTGATTTAAAAAGCGATCTATTTTCTTTTTTATGACCACCATTTTTGTTTTAAGACAATTTTCTAAAATTTCAAAGATTGTACTAGTTAGATCATTATATTGGGCACATTTTCTGAAAAATTCAAAAGATTCTGTTCAGTGACTATCCCTACGCTCCTACTTTTAGCTTTTTTTCAGTCACACTTTCAAAGGGCTAAAAAGGTTATTTCATCATGTTTAGGGTCATTCTGACCATGCACATTGTGATCCTGGTCATGTAAATGATATGTGGAAATAGTTAAATTGACTGGAGGTCAAACCAGAACTCTGTTATCTTTATTCAAAAAATATCTAAAAATGCAAAAAAAATTATCACTTCCTGTTTTGTCATTTCCTGTTAACTTCCATAGCACCTTAAAAGTGCAGATCTTAACTGTTTTTCGAAAAAACCGTTTATGTAAATTAAGTGAAGAATTAAATCGACGATTATATGTTGTCTTCTGAACTATTTGTTCGCACATTTGTACATTTTCTCAAACATATGATACTGATACACGTTTGTGTTAAAAAATGTCGTGGGCAATTCTGCCTACAACGTGTGAAATAAGGAAAAGAGAAAAATCGTACCTTAGTTCGATGTTCCGACATTTTGTTACCAAAACGATCCGTTTTGGTAACCAGCGTAATCGAGTGGATCACCAGTGACTATGTTCTTGTAGTGTTGTCGCGATTAATCGATACATCGCGATATACATCGCCAAAGCTGATTCTGGCGATGCATCGATCACCCTTTCTTATCTTATTTTTAAATTGATAAATTTTACCTTTTCTGAGCTATCGGGGCGAAGTTTGGTCCAACATCTTCTTCCTTATTCCTATTTTATTAAAATGTATGCATATGGCAATATTCATCAACCAGTAGAACTGGCAAATCGTTTAGAATCTACAATTCCATACAAGGAGTCCCACTCATAGATTTTTCAAATTCTTTCGAAATCGACGTCGAAACACCTAGCGGGTGAAATTAAAACTAATTTTTCTGGCTGCTCAAATCGATAAAATCTCCGATAGTGTGAGTCTTTTTATGAAAACTTTCTTAGAGAAATCAATTGACGATTATTAGAAAGCATAAAAAGTTGAATCCGAAGCGTAATCTGAAATAAAAGTGAAAAAATACTGCGCGGACATTAGAGAACAAACTTCCGGTTTAATAAAAAATGGCTGAGTCGAAGAAGAAAGGAAGATGGAAGAATTAGAGGATTTTCCTTTGCCATTATCGATCGTTTTAAGGTATGTGCACAAATTCTAGTTGCATGCATGGAAAATAGATACATTTTTAAAGGCAACAACATATTCAAAGCTTTCATTTTACAAGAGGCCCAGGATCATTGGATACGACTCAGCAATCGATGTTCCCACTTTAATGTTCGGTATTTTAGTGCATTAGCGTTTGGTATTTCAGTGCACTTTTCTCTGACTTTTTCTTGATGTACATCGCGATGTGCATCGTTGTTTACGACTAGAAATTGCTGATGCATCGATGTACGATTGTGGCACATAGCGACAACACTATGTTCTTGTTCATCTTTTGTTAAAAGTTAGGCAGTTATAAAATGATTTCACTAAGAGTTAAAGTGGTAATACCAATTTTATTAAGTGAAAATAATGTATCGACAAATTACCAGATAGCTCTGTCAATTAATGAAATAATGAGTTTTAATTTAACATAAAATTATATATAAATATATTTTTTCAGATGTTTTTTCAACTTAAAAGTAATAAATTCCTTTAGCTCCCTGCTAAATTAGGTTTTTCCTATTCTTTCAGGTTTAAGACAAATGCATAATAAAACTAGATTCATAAGACAGAATGAATAGCCTTGGGTGGGCATTACAATTACAACAAATAGCCACAATTTGATATTACAACAAGCAGCCAGCCATGGGGCGATATTCAGACTCAGACGAAGACAGAAAGAAATACAAAAAGAAAAAGAAACATAGATCAAGGTATGGTAACTAATTAATTTTCAAATGGATGTCACTGATCAGGTTTTTATGTCACCACCACTAGTGGTGGCATATTTTATGGTTTTTATAGTTTCCAACTTTTTTGTGGACTGTGTTCGGAGGTTGGTATCTGTAACAAATGGCAGGTAGTGACATTTTGTATGTTAGTGCCTTGTTTTATGACAATAAAAAGTGAATATTTCCTGAAATTCCATTTCCATACATTGAATCAGTGTCATTATGAATTTATACTCAAATACATTTTTTTACAGCTGCTATGAATACATGATAAAGTTTCATTGTGAAAGCCCATGTAGTAACCAAAATCATGAAGGACTCTGGCGTAATATCTTCGGAAAATTTTGTATGAATGACTTATGTTTTAGGTCCCGTAGTCCTGCAGACAGTCTTTCATCACATTCAAGTAAACACAAACACAAAAAGTCCAAGAAAAAACACAAAAAGAGATCTAGATCTCGAAGTCGATCCTATGATAAATACAAAAGATCCAGATCTCGTAGTAGGAGTCGTTCAAGAGACAGATCAAGAAGGTCAAGAAGTAGGGATAGATATAGGTCAAGATCAAGGTCATATGAAAGAAGACGAAGGTCAAGAAGTTATGAAAGAAAGTCGAGGTCAAGGTCATATGACAGGAAGAGAAGGCGCTCGAGGTCTAGAAGGTAAGATATGATATCTGTCAGAAATGACCAAAATCTCTTGAATATGCTCAGAATGGTGAAAAATTGCATGATCTTGAAAGAATTTTTGGCCAAGGGGTTCATTGTCCGAGTTAACCTTTAACTTTCACTTTAATCCTGTTTTTGGACATCCTGTGTGTGCATGATTCATCTCTACATATGTTTCACTAGCAACAGTCTTCTCCAGTTGTTTTTAACAAAATCATCTGTTTTTTCGAGGAACTTCACTACTGTTTCAATGTTAAAACTAAAATTTCCAATAATTTTGCCTGATGTTTTTGTTTTCATTTGTTTCCCTGTTTTGAGACATTCTAGTTGAACCATGGGCTTTCAATATAATAGAATATCTATTCTGTCTATTGAATGCCCATGATTGAACCCATCTATTTATTTGTAGTTATGAATCAAGGTCACGGTCTGGTTACTCTACGCCTAGCAAAGAGCAGAGATCACGAAGGAGCTCAAGAAGTCCTACCTCTAAAGGCAGTAAGGCTAGAAGCAAAGATGACGCATCACCCAAGTAAGTGCAGTTATTTACAGTTCTGATCATACTAGACCTCTCTGTCTATGTACTAATCTATTAACCCCAAATGTCCTATTATGGTGTCCCTGTTATGACAGATACACACAGAACAAATGAGATCCTTCACCCAAGTATGTGTAGTGGAGTTCTTTACTACTGATCGTACTATACTAGACCCTTTTTGCTATCGACCAATCCTCACCTTATATGTCTTTATAGAAATGCATCTATAAACACGGGGTACCATCGAATAATTTTGGCAACGTACCGGAGAACGACATTTTACTAAGAAATGGCAATAATTTAGCACAATATATTTTTTAACTAGAGTTCTATTTTGATTTTGACAAAAGTAAATATTCCATGCAATGGCTTTTTCATTCATGAGTTTGTAGGAATTCTGTTGGAACCCAGTTCTGATCAAGTACGAATTTATTGAAATCGGCGCAGTCGGACTTTACTCCGAAAGATGGTTTTTCGATTATAACTTTTTACAACATTTAAGTATAGACTTTGGAAAAAAGTACACAATAGTCCTTATACTATTGAATAATTCTATTATTTCTGATTCACACGACTCTGATTTGTTTAATTAAAGAAAAAGTTTTAAAAATATTACTTAGTAACGTAACCGGAGCTGGGAACGTAACCGGAGCAGATCAGTTGAATTATATAATTTAAAAAAATAAAATATATGATTTAAAGCATATATATTATTTACAAACACATATGAATGTTAAAATGAGCATTTATTACCCTTCACTTACAGGAAAATCAATGCATGGCAAAACATATAAATTTTCTAAAGATATATTTTTTGCACTTATATTTTAGAAGTAACACAAGGAGATACATGTATAGTACAAAGTTCTGTCAAAGAAGAGGCAGTCATCAGTCGCATCGCTAATTAAAAGCAAATAGGCCTAATACAAAAGTGATGCCATAAAATAGTTATTTTTCATGAGTTAATAAATTCCTAAATTGTTCAGTGATTTTTTTTAATGTGATTGATCATGTTTGCCCTTTTCTTCCATGTTTTTCCACAATGGGGACATTCAAATACAACTTTTTTTGATTGCGGTTTTATTTTAAAAAAACAGCCTGCAATCAACAGGATAATTTGTATCCTGAAAAACCTTTTGTTTTTCTCATTTTGGAAAACAAGGGGTTTTATTTTGTTTTTTCTATTTCATTTTTTATCCCATCGAACGAAGTTCGGAGGGATATAGGGAACGCCTCCGTCGTTCGTCCGTCCGTACGTACGTCCGTCCGTACGTACGTCCGTCCGTACGTACGTCCGTCCGTACATACGTCTGTCCGTCCGTCTGTCCGTCCGTCCGGGCAATAACTCAAATACCGTTGGCCCGATTTTGTTCATATTTTGTACACATATACCCTATGGGGGTAGAAGTTCTGCTCGAAAGCCGATTTTCAAAATGGCCGCTCAATTCAAAATGGCGGCCATTTTAGTGCCGATTTTACAGTAATTTAGGTGCAATATGTAAAACTGTAATAGCAATATGTTTTAAATGTAAAAAAATTATGAAGGACATTAGTAAAGCTATAAATGTAGACATTAAAGAAGCACATGGCAGCCATCTTGAAAAATGGCGGCCTTAATTCGTTATTTTACGATTTTTGCTATAACTCGAAAAGTAGTGGAGCGATTTTGTTCATATTTGGTATGTGAATACTATAAGCATTGCACACTGCCTAAAGACACTTTTGGTAGAAGGCGGCCATTTTTCAAAATGGCCGCCATTTTAACGTATATTACTATAACTCGAAAAGTAGTGGAGCAATTTTGTTCATATTTGGTATGTGAATACTATAAGCATGGCACACCGTCCTATGACACTTTTGGTAGAATGCGGCCATTTTGAAAAAAAATTTGAAAAATGGCCGCCATTTTAACGTATTTTACTATAACTCAAAAAGTAGTGAAGCGATTTTGTTCATATTTGGTATGTTTCATATTTCATATGTGAGTACTATAAGCATGGCACACTGTCTAATGACACTTTGGGTAGTAGGTGGCCATTTTGAAAAATGGTCACCATTTTTATGTTTTTTACTATTAAACTTGAAAAGTAGTGAAGCGATTTGGTCATATTTGATATGTGAATACTCATGAGCCTTGCACACTGTCTCATGACACTTCAGATAGTAGGCAGCCATTTTATAAAAATGGCTGTCATTTTTACATTTTTTACTATAACTCGAAAAGTAGTGGAGCAATTTTGTTCATATTTGATATGTGAATACTTTAAGCATGGCACATTGTCTAATAAAACTTTGGGGAGTAGTCAGTCATTTTGAAAAATGGCCACCATTTTTATGTGTGTTATTTTACAAGTACATGTATGCGATTTTTCAAAGATTTTATAGGTGGCTACTTAAAAGCATATTATTTCTTCTGATGACAACTTGGCTAGTGAGCAACCATTTTGAAAATGGTGGCCTTTCTGGTGTGTTGTTTTATGATGTTTGCTATATATTTCGTTTGTAAAAATGCCAGCCATTTCTGTTCGATGGGATTCGCTACGCTTTGGCGTTGCCGTTGTTCTGGTTTACCTTAATATAGGACTTTTGTTTATTACCTGTGTGTGTGTTTATAGAATGAAAGTATGTGTGCTTATGACCTGGATATTGATGCTAAAATGCAAGCATGAATGTGTGTTATGGATGAAAGTGATAATATGTAGTTATGCAACAATTAATGATATAAAGTGTGTGAATATTAAAAAAATCATGCATTATATATGGTTTTTTGAATATAACCAAATAATGAAAAAGCTGGAATCAGACAGATACAAACATTCATTCTAAATGGTTTTTAAATTCAAAATTATTTCTGTAAATACTAGAGGTCTGCATAGAGCAAGAAAAAGAAACAACATATATAGATGGTTAAAAAATAATGCAGCAGACATCGTGTTCCTACAGGAAACCTTTAGTGTTAAAAAAGTTGAAAATCAATGGAAAAATGAATGGAACGGTGATTGTTTTTTCAGCAATGGCACTAATCATAGCAAAGGGGTAATGATCATGATAAATAGGAAGTTAGATTATGAGGTTAAATTTGTGAAGCAAGATCAAAATGGAAGATACCTATTAGTTAATATAGAAATTGAAAATGAAATGTTCACTCTATTAAACATATATTCTCCTAATGATATTCAGCAACAAGTACAATTTATGATAGAGGTACAGGAGTTATTAAAATTACATGAGCAAGATAATATTATAATTGGAGGAGATTTTAATTGTGCTTTAAATAAAATAGATAAAAAAGGTGGAAGAAGAGTAGAGGAAAAAATGAAAGTGATTGAAGCAATTAAGAACATAAAAATAGCATTTAACTTAATAGATATATGGCGAAGGAAAAATCCCATAGGACAACGGTTCACTTGGCATGACACAGCATATAAAGTTCAATGTAGATTAGACTATTTCCTTATAAGTAATCCACTCACAGATGAAGCTTCTCCAGATATAATTACATCACCATCACCAGATCATATGGGAATTTCAGTCAACCTCCAGTCAAAACAATTCAAACGAAAAGGAAGGGGATTTTGGAAACTTAATACGAGTCATCTTAAGAATGAAGCTTTCCAAGAACAAATAAGGGAAGAAATAACAAAAATGAAAGAAGAAAATAAAGATATAACAGATCAAAGAATAAAGTGGGATTTACTTAAAATGAAAATAAGGAACGTCTGCATTAAATTTTCAAAAAATAAAGCAAAAGAAACAAGAAATGAAGAAAAACAATTACTTATAGATACAGAATTAGCGCAAATAAATGTTGATAAAGAACCAACAGAAGAAAACATGAAAAAACTTAAGCAACTAAAAATGAAACTTGAAATTATACAACAAGAAAGAACAAAGGGATACATAATAAGAAGTAAAGCCAAATGGTATGAGGAAGGGGAACGCTCATCCAAGTACTTTTTTAATTTGGAAAAAAGGAATTGTTCAAATAAAGTGATAAGCAAACTTAAACTGGATCATGGAAACATAATCTCAGAGCCAAAAGATATACTGAATGCACAAAAGAACTTTTATGAAAATCTCTATACATCAAACCAAACAAATAAAGAACAAAGAGCAGAACAAATTGATCAAATATTTAATAATCAAGATATACCAAAATTAAAAGTAGAAAAAAGAGTAGAACTAGAAAAACCATTGACAGAAAATGAATGTTTTAAAATTATTAAATCATTTAAAAAAGGGAAAACTCCTGGAACAGATGGGCTTGCTATAGAATTTTATGTTAGCTTTTGGGATACCATTAAAAATGATCTGCTAGCCTGTTTCAATTATGCTCTAGAAAATGGAGAATTATCTATGTCACAAAAGAGAGGAATAATTAGTCTCATCCCCAAAAAATCCAAAGATCAATTAAATCTTAAAAATTGGAGACCAATTTCATTATTAAATTGTGATTATAAAATTTTAACAAAAATATTTGCCCACAGGCTTAGCACTATATTACCTACCATAATAGATAGTGACCAAACAGGATACATTAAAAATAGATTTATTGGGAATAATATTAGACTTCTCAAAGACATAATGAAATATACAGATGACAATCAAATTGAAGGATTATTTTTGTTTTTGGATTTTGAAAAAGCGTATGATACTGTTGAATGGGACTTTGTTGAAAGAACTTTAAAAGCATTTGGATTCGGAGATCATTTTATAAATATTTTTAACACTATACACAATAATAGTGAAAGTTGTATCATTAACAATGGCGAAACCTCACAATATTTCAAATTACAAAGAGGTATGAGACAGGGTAGCCCTTTATCTGGATATCTGTTTATAATGGTTATGGAAATCTTAAGTATATTGATACGCACAAATAAGCAAATAGAAGGTATAAAAGTAAATGATCAACAAATAAAATTATCACTATATGCAGATGACATCACATGCATTGTAAAAAATAATGAATCTGCACAAAATATCTTGAAAATAATGGACACGTTTAAAGCTTGTTCAGGTTTAAAAATAAATATAGCAAAATCAGAAATAATGTGGATTGGATTGAGTAAAGAAAAAACTGAGGATTTAAATGGAATAAAATGTTCTAAGCATGTGACAGCTTTAGGATATTGCTTTACTTATTCTAAAGAAGTTGATGAAGCCAAAAATATCAAACAGAAAATTGAAAAGATGAAAAATAAATTAAATTTATGGACAAGTAGAAAATTAACTTTACAAGGTAAAATCCTACTGGTTAAATCAAATGGGATTTCACAGATAACTAATATAGCTGCAGTTTCAGAGATTCCAAATAAATATATTGCACAAATAGATGACATAATCTTTAATTTTATTTGGGGGAATAAGCCTGCCAAAATTAAAAGAAAACTATCATAGGAGAAATTCAAAAAGGTGGATTAAAAATGGTTGAATTTTCAACAATGGAAAAAGCATTAAAAGTTGCCTGGATAAAAAGATTTTTAGAAAATGATGAAGCAAAATGGAAAGTAATACCATATTCCTTTTTAGACAAGGTAGGAAAAGATCTAATATTTGAATCAAACTTTAATACAGAAAAAATTGACATAAATGGTCTACCAAATTTTTATAAAACAATGTTAAAAGGATGGGAGCAAGTAAAAAATTGTGAAGATCCAACATGCAAGAATGAGGTCGAAGAAGAGTATATATGGAATAACAAAAATATCCTAATCGAAAATAAATCAATATTCATAAAAACATGGAGAAATAAAGGTATAAATAAAATAAAAGATCTTATAAAAGCAAATGGCTTTTTTTATAACATAGAAGAATTACAACAAAAATATGGCATTGTACTAAAAGACTTAAAGTATAACTCAATTATAAGTGCAATCCCGAGAAGCTGGAAACAATTGCTAAGACAACCAAATACTTCAAGTACAAAACAAGATAATACAATTGAAGCAAACAAGATAACATGCAAAATAGCATACAAAATTTTAAATGAAAAAGAATTCCAACCACCAACAGCTTTAAAGAAAATAAAAGAATACATAGAAAATGATGATGAAATAAAAGACTACTTCATGATGCCAAGAAGAATTACAAAAGATACAAAATTAATTGAATTTCAATTTAAGATTCTTCATAACATTTTAATTTGCAAGGAAAAGCTACAAGTTATGGGTGTAGAACAAACAGCAAATTGTCAACATTGTCAAATGAGACACTCAATCAAACATATGCTAATAGAATGTGAAACATCAGAAAAATTATGGAAAAAGTTTAAAGAGGATATGAAATATTTGTTTGATACAATTCAGCTCTCAGATAAAGACATTTTATATGGCCACAAACCCAAAGAAGATGACTATAAGGAATACAATCTAACAATATTAATAATGAAATTTCATCTATACACCAGCTTTCTCAACAAAACAAAACCAACATATTTTGATTTTAAATTACTTTTTCAACATCATGTAGAAATAGCAGCATACTCTGTAAGTCATGACAAGTTGAGAAATATACAACAAACGCTTTTATAATACACACTTCTATCTTTTCTATATGAATGTATTGTATGAATCAAAATAATGAAAAATAGTATGAATGAGTGAATGGAGGAAAAAATGGCGGTGGTGTGAAAGACATATTGTTTCTAAGAATAGGTTAGTAACTTTTTCTTTTTTTCTAAATTAATTATATCACCTCAAATAAGAATAAAGCGCAGACAATCTAAATTTTGGGCTCTAAAATATGTTTAAGCTTAAATTTGACTGACTCAATTGAATCAAGAAAATGATCATATGAGCTAAATGATGTAAAAACAATGTATTGTAACTAAATATGAAAATGTACTGTAATATGTAAATGATGTGAAATAAATAAAGTAGAAAAAAAAAAAAAAAAAAATACAACTTTTCCGTGGGTAATCCTTTTGTGTTTTTCCAGATATTCCTTGGTTTTAAAGGATCGTACTTCCATATCACTAAATCCATTTTCTTGACATATGTCACAATAAAACTCAGTGTTTGCATGTGTCTTTTCGTGTCTGCGCAAACGTCTTTTAGACAGAAACTGTTTTGGGCATTTAGCACACACAAACATCTCATCTTGATCACTGGATCTATGTGCTATCGTCATATCAATCAGATATTCCTTTCTTGTGATAGAATTATAGAACACTGTCTATTAACGACTAAAAAGCAATGTTCTGTAGTTTAACTAGAAAAAATCATTCACTTTCTTACTTGCTTAATGACCCACCCCTAGGTTTATCGAAACAAAGATGGATAACAACTGGTTTTGCATAAAACAATAAATGGGCACTCACTCAAACATCTTACCTTTATATGGAGTGGGGGGTTAGGTGAAGAATTTCAGAAAGCATATGTTGATTCGATTTGGTCGAGCACATGACAAGTACTTAACACACCTACGCTATATACAGTTCGTTGTATCCTAACTTTTTTAATAATCTTAGCATTTAAATGCTTTTATTTCCCCTGAAAAAGAGAAGTTGTCTTAGAAGTATAATACATGTATGTATAAACAGTATATATATACGAAATTAGTATAACAGAGTGGGTTATGATTGTTCGCTGAACAAATACAATGGGTGAAATCAAATGGAATTATTTGCTTACTACATTTAATCACTTCATTCTCCATACAATGATTGTTCTATGTTTGATAGCCTTTCTAAGGTAAGTGCACTAATGCATGGTAAATACCAAATTTAATTTTTCACAATGGATAAATTTTTTTCTTTAAATAAAATGTAATAAATACGCATTCGAACAATCCCGTATGTTTTTAAATTAGTATATGTGCTTTAAATCATATATTTTAATTCTTTGATTAAATAATTCAACTGATCTGCTCCGGTTACGTTCCCAGCTCCGGTTACGTTCCTAAGTAATATTTTTAAAACTTTTTTTTTAATTAAACAAATCAGAGTCGTGTGAATCAGAAATAACAGAATTATTCAAAAGTATAAGGACTATTCTGTACTTTTTTCAAAAGTCTATAATTAAATGTTGTGAAAAGTTATAATCGAAAAACCATCTTTCGGAGTAAAGTCCGTCTGCGCCGATTTCAATAACTTCGTACCTGATCAGAACTGGGTTCCAACAGAATTCCTACAAACTCATGAATGAAATAGTTATTGCATGGAATACTTACTTTTGTCAAAATCAAAATAGAACTCTAGTTAAAATATATATTGTGCTAAATTATTGCCATTTCTTAGTAAAATGTCGTTCTCCGGTACGTTGCCAAAATTATTCGATGGTTCCCCGTGATAAAAATAAACTCCAAAATAGACCAATCAAATGGAATAATCTTCCTCAACCATGTCAAAAAGCCTGTTCTTATGGAGTCTCTGTTATAACTCTTCCTCAGTAAGTACTAAGTCACATTGTGTTGAAGCAAGTAATTTTCCTTAGATAAATAAATATCCATTTTCTTGTATTTCTAGAGAGTCAATAGACCCATTTGCAGATGTCCCAGGGTTCGATGATCTACCAGCTAAACAGAAGAATCAATTGAGACTGCAGGCCGCTCTCAAAGCTGCAGGTAGGTAAAGAACAGTGGTCCCTTTCTTGTTGACATTAGGGTATAACAAGTCAAAGATCTTCCAGGGCAACCTTGAACCGAACTTGATGGTAGATTCACAGAAAGCTTCTTGATCAATCAAAATTGTGTACAGTAAATCTGTGTATTACTAAGTTTAACACAAGGGTACATCAAAATAGTGTTCCATTTTAAATGTGTTCTACTTACAGGGATTCATTTTAAATAACCTTAATGGGTGAGATTACTTTTTAAAAGTGTTCCACTTATGAAGTTGTTTAATCTTCAGAAGTGTTACACTCAACTGTATTTTGATTGAGGTACTGAGAGACGTAAGAGTCCTCAGTTAAACTTTGATGTATGGGGTAACCGGTTATTTCATCCAAGGGCTATTTGCAGTATTTTGACCACATGGCTATTTCGACCTTGGCTTATATTTTCAATTCACATAGTTTGCCATGTTTTTTTTGAATATTTTAAAAATGAATCAAAACCTCCACTGGGCGGTATCTCAATCAAAAATGGGTGACCCCCAGAAATGTTAATTATCAGCAATGGTCGTAATAACCCTATAGTAGAAGTAGGCTCAGGACGAAGTTACCCCATAAGTCGAAGTTTGACTAATGACACTTTTAAACGATTAAGTTTCATGTTACAGCTGCAGCGGATGACAAGTTAAAGATTCAAGGTAGACTTAAACCAGATTTGGGGCTAGATGAAGAAGAGGAAAAGTTTAGGAAGAATGCGATTGAGTGTATAGAGAATGAAGGTTTCTTTCAACAACAATTTTCATCCAGTACATGGGACCAGAAAGACACTAAAAAGGTACTCATCCAGGGGTTGAGCTAAGGTTCTTAGACCAGCTGGGCAAAATGGTATAATGAACCAGTTGCAATGTTATTTTCCTATGCCAACTGCAAAAATTAACTAGTCTGTATCAAAAGTGACCTGGCAAATGACCAGTGCACTGGCCCTCAGCTCTTGAATCCCAGGCTCTAAAATCGGTTGAAACCAGAGATTTTTTCATTTTTGCCACCTTTTGACATTAACTTCATATTGTTCAAATAAGAGCAATTTTAGTGAAAAATTTTGTGATGGATTTTCTCATCACTCTGGGTTTCAAGGTCATTTCTGAGGTGACAAGAAATCTCGTCACTCCAGGTAGTCAAGAGGTTAAGGGATGGTCTACAAACACAGACAGTTGTGAAAAACAGAGTTAATTTTGTTAATATTTATTCCCCTCCCCTCCTGATGTCATGTAGCATGAAAATGTTGATGTTGTAAAGTACTCATTAAAAGGCAGAATAAGATCTATGGGGGTGACAAAATTACAAGCAATGTGTACAATTGACCTACCAATCTGTTCCTTACAATCTCAAATACAACATTTCCCAAAAGATATGATAACGATATGTTATAAATTGATGAAGTTATATACAGTCAAAACAGAAATGTTTGTGACTACTTTGAATTTAAAAAATAAGCAATCAAATGATCATATTGAAACATTTTATGTAAAAATAGAAACATTTATATTTATCCTAACTTTTGTATATTTCAGATAGTAATGTATAATGTGCAGCAAAGCTGTGGCCTTTTGTAATTTAGGGAGTTTCAGCCATGTTAATTTTTCCGAAAATAACATGGCAGAGAAGTATCAAAATATAAGAGGATACGGATATGATAGCTAAACTACAAAACAAACTAAAATATACAAAAGTTAGGATAAATATAAATGTTTCTATTTTTACTGTTTCAATATGGTCATTTGATTGCTTATTTTTTTTAAATTCAAAGTAGTCACAAACATTTCTGTTTTGACTATAGTCTAATAATGGAAAGATGGCAAAAAAGGTATAAATGAGTGAAAAATGTTTAAATTCTCCCAAAAAATAAGAATGGTAACCATTCTTATATAGAAATAATACATCATTGTAAAAATGTTTAGTTTTGCTGAAATAAAGTGTACACTGGGGATTTTAAGAAAATACACATGAGAAGGAATGATATGAGCCAGAAATATTCTAAAATTGAAACAATTTTTTGTTGGCCTGCTCGCTAGATCGGATTCTCTCTTTAATTGTGCAGATGCGATATCTCTTTAAATTATAGATGTAATGCTGTGTTGTTGGTCAATGTAGTCAGATTGAGACTGATTGTCTTTCTTTTAGTTTATCCGAGGACTGAAGTTTTCTGTCTTATATTTTATAGAAAAAAATCACTACGGAATTTGAGAAGGAAAATCAGCACAACAAAGCAATGTTTGGTCTGGTCGGCCAGGTGAAGACTGAACGAGATGAGATAAAAATTGAGCTTCCGATATCGGGAGAGAAACCAAAAATAATTTTAGCAGATACTGAAAGAATATGCCACCCAAGAGTAAGTACATGCATGATAAGGAAATATATTATTTAAAAAGTACTTGAAAATTATGGCCACTTAATTTGAACCAGGAGCTTTTCTATTTCAATTCATTTTCGTGGGTATATGCTGTATTGCCATTGTGATACATATTAAGCATTTGATTCCTAAGGCAAAATCAAATTTTCAACCATGTACCTTGAAAAGTGCCAGAATTAGGTACAAGGCCCTTTAACATGACATGAACGCTATGCTGAGCAAGACCCTTTAGATTAAATTGATGATTTGCGATCACTGGATGAATTCTATCTTGTTAGGCCACTCAGCTTTAGGTGTTCGATTTTGAGAGATAATCTTCTATATTTCGTGCTTTATTGATTTATTTTTCACAAAAGTGTTCAATTTGACTAGATCAACATTCATTCTAAGCACATGTCAAGTCTAAGATCCTACTGACATGATTTAGATAGCGGTTAAGTGCCCCCCGATTTTGATAAAAACAGGGGGCACTTATAGGCATCGATGTTTAGTATGAATTTCACCGAAACTTCACACATATAAAGATAAACTCATGATCTAGTCAAATCGGCATACCTGGTAAATATCCGAACCATTGCTTTCATAAAAGAAACGATAATATTTTCAGCTCAAAACTGTCATGTGTCCTTCATTTTGTCCCTCCATCATGTTGAATTAAACGCTGATGCGCTGTTACCCCAATTCATTCCTAACTCACGCTGCAGCTTCTGAAAACAATATGCATGAATGGTGCAAGACCGGGTGGATCCGTAAGCGTCTTCTGCTGTTAACTCCCGCCCATTATGGAACCCATAATGAGACACCATGCATGTATAAAGAGAAGCTTAGGGGTGGTCGAAATGAGATGGTAATTACTAATGGGGCAACCATGCAGCACTGCTTCGCAACCATATCCATCTGGAGCATCTCTCCGCTACTGTTGCAATCTGCATACTTGCTCGCTTCCGCTTGGTAGATGGCATTCCAAGGGACTTCAGCATCAAAGTCACTGACTTTCCAGCAAAACCCCTGCATCCTACTTCAATTGGGAAGCTGTGGGCTTTCCAGTCCTTCTGTCTTGCTTCTGTGATAATGTCATCATATTTTGTTTGTTTCAACTCATGGGAAACCTCAATTCTATCCTCCCATGGAACAGTCAGCTCGACCAAGATAACACACCTTTTGTCATTTGATGTCTAATATCATTTTATATGACGTCATACCAATAAGACAAAATACATGACAACAGTATCCACAAACAAAACATTTGAATTCTGATCGCAAAAGGTCAATTGAATAAGCATCCATGATATCTTTCAGTTATATAACAGCATGGAAGAAAGATGGGACAAATGGAAATTGAAATTAGCGGCAATGCGACGACGTAAACTCGAAGGCGAGGCAATGGCATAACTAGTAATGGCGATAGGATAGCAGAGCAATTTTAGCGGGAATTCATCATTTATGATAAATGGTAAAAATGGAGTTGGCTAATGGCAGAAAGGACTGAACATTGAAGGCCTGGCTCATTGATGATCTATTTGTTTGTGTATATCACTATATTCGTGAAATAAATGATGAAACTAGAAAAAGATGTCTCTAGTGTGTATTTTAAAGGAGGAAATATTGTAATTTTTGAACATTGTAAAAACCTCATTCTATTACATTGTGTATATTTCTCAAAACTCATTACAAAATTTTAAGTCCAGAATGTTTAAAGCTTGTATTCACAATGCTATTTTCGGCTTCTAGATTCACTTATTATTTTATGGCCAAATCATTTAAATATTAAAGGAATAGGAGCAGGTACTTTTCATATTTAAATGAGTTCCCCATAAATTAGTAGGTCAATCTGGAAGCCGACAGTTGAAAGTAGCATTCATGAATACAAGCTTAAGTTTTTTTGAGAAACATACAAATGATGATAGAAACTTAAGATGGCCTGAGATATCTAATGGTCTCTATAATTATACTAAATGGGAATTTAAAGAAACTCTAAATGACAGTGATGAAAAAATGGTTGAAAATACAGTTTCTGACTTTCAAGACATATGCTTTATTTAAAACCTCCAATGACTCTGTTTTCTATATATGCATTAAAACGCATTCAACATATTCAAGGAGTGCTAATGAATCTTCAAAAGCCTAGTTTAAAATATACATGTAGCACTCTAATCAAGCGAAGGTATGTGTAGGCCACATGGGGAGAGTAAATGCAGCAACACAACAAATTGTATTATATTCTTTCTACTGGAAATAAATAAAAGTTTTATTTACAACTTTATCAATCATTTATTTACAAAGTTGTTCAAAACAATTAGTGTCACATAATCTTTACATAAATAATTTATAAACACCTATTGTAATGGGTCAAAAGTGTAGTATATTATAGTAGTATTATGGAATAAATTATTACTAAACCAATTGGAAAACGCTACTTTTCATGAATAATTAATAGTGCATGTTAAGTTCACCAATTTTTGTACGATAATAATTTCAAAAACAGAATTTAGTTGAGATGGCATTCACTAGCCTATTCGATGAAATAATCCTTCGAACAATTTTTGGTTTTATCACTTTGTAAAAATTTTGAAAATTTTCCCTTAATAATAAAAACCAATTATGAAAAAAACAGTCAAAAACAAAGAAAAATCAATGTTTTGCAAATTCAAAATGTTATACTGTACAGCATAGTATTCCTACATTTTTATAAGTTTTATTACAAACAACACTCTTGTTATTTACAAGTAGGAACAATGTTTGTTCTTGTGGCAGCTACATATATATTATACAAACAAACCCCTAAAAGCACTATCAAATTATTCAGTATTCCAAAAACAACAGAATAGGATTTGACCAGCAAATTCAAAATTTACATCTGAAGTCAAAATAAATAGATATGTGAGACAAAATTACTCGTACTTCAGAATGTAAAATTATATTCTGTCTTTGTGCTTTTAATATTTGTGGCCTTTTGAGTTGGTGAGGTAACCCCTTGTGGCTTTTACATATTAAATGTAAACCTTGAAATTTTTTATAAATTTTTTGAAGGGTACTTGTTCAAAAATTATTGTTCTTTAACATTTTCATACATATATGTCTCTGAGAAATGAAAATCCTGAGGCCTAACTAATTGAGCAACTACTACCAGAGAGATTATCTACTAGTCACTCCTGGGTCTAAATCACAAAATTATAAACTCAACCCGATTAGGGATGGCTTCCAAATATCTACAGTAACAACAGTGGACAACTAAAAATAACACATTTGATTTGACTCTGTTCACTTGATTTTTACAGAAATGTGCATTTTCAGAGTGAAAAACGTACAATTTCTCTACACCCCCCATGAAATTATTATGTTCCACAGTTGTTGATATTTGGACTCCATTCCTTACTTTTGATATATTTCTGATTGACAACCATTGCACAACGAGGTAGAATATTTCTACAAAAAATTTCTGGCATATCATTTCATGAATTCATTCTTAAAAAATGTTCACCAAAAATTCACCAAAATTTTTGTAGATGTATGTCTTAAACTTTTTATTATAAAATGTACATCACATTGGGAGTTTCAACTCTATCCATTGTAGACATTTGTTACTATTGACACTTCACATCTTGATTTTTGATTTGACAATTTTGAGGGACAATTTACTTTTTATATAGTTTTTGGGAGTCAGGCCGAAGCCAGGATCTGCCAAGGGGGGTTCACTTTTTGAAAATTTCCAGGGGTTTCACTTTCGACAATTTTGGCTCAAAAATGGCCAAAATCACTTAAAAAGTGCTCAGCATGGTGAAAAACTGCATGATTTTGATAGAATTTTTGGCCAGGGGAGGGGTTTGCTCGAACCCCCCCCCCCTGACCCCCTTGATGTGGGCCCGGAGTCATTAATATGACATTACATGCATTGATTCTAAGATACAATTCAGACCCTTTTCATTTCAAATGATTTACAAGGAAGGTAGGTTAATATCCTTAGTACAGTAAAACCTGTAAAGTGGAACTCCTCAGTAAGTGGAACAACTTTTAAATGAACACATTTAAAAGGTACCACTACAATAAAGTGTTGTTCCAGTTCAACAGGTTTTAATGTATTATTATTTGACATTTTGAATTATTCAACTAACATCCTCAAATGTAGTTATCCCTCGACAAGATCTTTTTTAGATATGTGATTATATTGGTACTGTATTTGAGATTCTTATTACACCAAGGGTCTGTTTATTGAAAATGTGAATTACGATAGTTTATTCCAATTGTGTTACAATGGCAATAGCACAATACAATATAATTTCAAAATTTGTAATTCATATTTTTCAAGAAGTAGACCCGAGAGTCAGGTCAGTATGCCAAACTGAGTTAAACAATGAAAATACCAAACCTCTATGTTGAACATAGTGATCTGACCCCACATAATGGTGCGATCCTTTAGCAAATGTAACCCAATAATGGTGTGGCCATCCTGTTGAGTGACTCCTAATAATGTTGTGACCATTCTATGGTGTGACTCCAATCTGGTGTGATTTCATTATGGTGTGGCCTTTCAGGAATAAGACCACAAAATGGTGTCACCACAGAACTAATGGTGTAAACCTTCATTGGTGTGACCCAATAACAGTGTGAAGTGTCAATAGTATTAATACTGCCTTATTAGTTGTTTCCTCAGCATGTTGTATATATCTGACACTGACTCCACTCCAGATGCACCTGCACATCTCACATTCTCAGAATATTGGCACATCTCTGGTTTCTATCTTTAATCCTCATCTTTGTATATGTACATATTTCTTACTTCTCCTTGTATATTCAACTCCTCCTCTTTGTATAGATTACTCCTCCATGTATATAGATACTCCAATATTTAATAAGTTTGACTCTGTTATTTTTAAATTATTTTTATTCATAATTGTCTTTGGCAACTTTTTGTCTTCTAATTTTTACATATTTATACTTTGTACAAAGGATACAGAGTGTCCACAAATTGAGAGAATTACTTTTTATTTATAATTTTTGTTCCCATTTCAGTCAACACACGGTTGGTCTTTCTGTAACCATATGTCAAGTGAAATATATACTGATTGTACCAAATTCACGTAGAAAATGTAGAAAATTCACCCAGTTTGAAATCAACACCACTGTGAAATATTTGTAATTTTTTTTTTGAAAATGTTTTAATGTCAATTTCTGGACACTCTGTAATCATTCTTAACAGCTGTGGTCACAGACAGCATCCTGAATGAAAGCGTATATTAAAAATACCACGTAGAGTATTGCAAATGAAATTCCGATCCACTTGTTCAGTCTGAATCGATTTAGCCCAAATATGGTCAATGTACACGCTAGAATAAGTAGTAAAATGAATCCAAATTTTGCATGGGGTGTGACAGGAAGGTTGCCAGCAGCTCGCAAACTCTGAAAAAGAAATTTAGATATACAGGGCGTTCAGTAAGTAAAGCTAATTTTGCTCTCAAACTTTTATTTTTTGTCATTTATCTTTCAAATTTCCAGTGAAGAAGCATTTGACATTTTTCTAACTACCCTGAAAATTTAAATAAGATATGATGAATAATAGCAAAACAATGGTTGTCATAGTAACGTGAATACAGGTTCTGCGGAGCAATTTCTTACTTTAATAAAAATGTTATAATGCAATGAAATTGATTAAGATTAATGCTGCATATGTCTTTGTTTGCTATGGCTGAAAGTCACGACAAACATAACAACAACATACACAAATATGATACCATGGCAACAGTAGTCTATGACATCACAGACAGATGATACAACAGATGGAATGATCCAGAATGATCCATCAGACACTGCTCCATGACATCATCAAAATCATGGCTGCCAGGATTGCCAATGGAAGCAAAATGAACAATGAAATGAAACAACAATTGAGAAGTAGCATCAGATACAATGTGTTGCTAGGGAAATCAAAGCAGGATACCATTAGGGATATCCAAAAAGCATATGGGGACAGTGTGCCTTAGTACACAATCTACAAATGGTATCAGAAATTCCAAAACGGGAGAAAAACAACAAGTGATGAGCCAAGGTCAGGGAGGCCAAAACTTCTAACCAAAGAGGCTAACATGAATCATTTCGCTGACAAAGAACTTTCCAGATGGCTTCCACAGGATATATCAGAAGTGGATAGAACGACATCAGCTGTGTGTGAAAGCTAAGGGGAACTACTTTGAACATGAAATAGAATGCTAACTTGAAAGTAGAAATGTGGAGTAGCCACAGAACTATGGTTGAAATATAGACAGGACAGAAACTAACGTTAACAAAATCTACTATGCTGTGAACTTAATAAAATTGCTCCGCAGAACCCGTATTCGCGTTACTATGACAACCACCATTTTGCTGTTATTCATTATATCTTGATCTTTTTTTCAGGATAGTTAGAAAAGTGTCTGATGCTTCTCCACTGAAAATTTGAACGATGATAGACAAGAAATAAAAGTTTGAGAGCAAAATTAGCTTTACTTACTGAACGCCCTGTATATAGAGAGAAGACAAGTACAAAAATTGAACTCTGTGACAGACTACGTTTACAGTGTTCAGTTCGCATTTTTGGTTTTCAGTTAATCCCATTTCTCTCTTGATATGGTAGCTATAACGATTTTTATACTCTCCTTATTCAACAAAACATGCAAAGATGTTTTGACATGGCAAAAATTGATCATTTAAAAATGCAGAACTCAATTGCTCATTTCATACCATCTTTTGAGATTTTACAAAGGAAGTGTTATATACAGTATACATATACATGTAGGTACCATATCAAGGGAGATATGTGGTGACAACGAGTATCTCTTCTGACTTCAAGCTCTAATTTACTGCAAAGAATGTTTATTATAAAGCCTCAGTCACATTTGCTCTACGGTGGCTGTACGACAGCCGTAGCTTCACAAAATCGACAAAGAAAATCTACATCGTGCTGCTATCCCTATATTTCAGGCTTCATATTTCTCCTGGTTTTGGGAAGCTATGACCAACATACAGTTGCCGTAGACCAAATGTGACCGAGGCATTAGTTTCAGAAATAGACATTAAGCCTCTTTTATTAATATATTTTTCTTACTAATTCAGTAGCATCGAGCATCTGGATTGGTTCTAGTTTCTGGATTCCTATTGTGATGAGGAACGGCAGGCCCAAACCCAGGTTAATGTCAAATACATTCGAGCCAATCGCATTAGAGACAGCCATATCTCCAAAGCCATCCCGGGCAACTAGAATTGAACTCATGGCATCCTGAAAAAACAAAATAGATATGGTAATAGAATAAGTATATAATAATGGAATGAGTACAGCGTTCTCAAAATAATTTTTTCTCAAATGGGTAATGTTAATGGTAATGTTATCTAGGTGAGAATCTTTCTTTTGATAATATTTTTGCATTTCTCTACAATTTAACCCCCCTCCCATTTATCTGATTACAATAGTGATGGAAATAACCATAGAAAGAAAGATTGTACGAGGGGTGATCAATAAGTAATGGACGCTTTTTTACACAGATGCTTTTTATAGACCAATCACTTCGATTTTCTTACCAGTGATACATCATTCATTTATCTATCAACTCTGAAGATTTGAAGACGAAATAAATAATACATGTTGATATATCCTTATTTCCGTGAAGGAGGTACAGGTACCCCGGGACCGACATTTACGTCATATATTCTGAAGCTATTTTAGCTTGTTTAACATGCAATGCAGTTGAATGCAGGCTGAACAAAACAAACCATTATGGTCATGAATTACCCCATTTTGTTATGCCATAGTTGATTTTGAATATTTTATCATCACTATGTGGTATTCATGCCACATTCATTCCACAGGGCCCTCTAAATAGGTTTCATCAAGTGCTACATGTACACATTTCCTCATCCTCTTAACTCAGGATTGTGAGACAAGGCTGAATCCTTTCTCTGCCATGGTCGCAAGATGCAGTTGCATGGGTTTTATTTCATCAATGTCAATAAACCTGCGTCCTTTCTCTATAGAAATAAGTAGTATAGAAATAAACAAGTCACATGTGAGCAGATCTGGACAATATGGTGCATTGGCCAAGGCCTCAATTTTGAGGTCCAGGGATATTGCTTTCTGAACATTTTGAGATCTGTGGGCAGGTGCATTGTCCATATGGAGTAGGGTGTTCCCTTCTCTCACCACCCCTTTCTTCCACAATGCTTTCTCAAATTGACCTGCAAACCCCTTCCATACAACACTCTGACATCACAATACTCTCTGTTAATATGTTACCAGTCAGCAAAAAAATTCAAACAACACAACACTTGTTGCATATAAAAGGTTCAAATCTTACTGAAATTTACCAAACTGGCTAAAAACTGAATATGTGACTTAACTGTCGGTCCCGGGGTACCAGTACCTCCTTCACGGAAATAAGGATATATCAATATGTATTATATATTTTGTCTTCAAATCTTCAGAATCGATAGATAATTGAATGATGTATCACTGGTAGGAAAATCAAAGGGATTGGTCTATAAAAAGTATCTGTGTAAAAAAGCGTCCATTACTTATTGATCACCCCTCGTACTTGTTGATGTACTCTTTAACATTAAATTCTGAAGTTCATATTTACCATGCCCTTGATGAATATTCATTTATAAAGTGAAATCAAGATAACATAATTGAGATGGCAAAAGAGTAAAGGTGAAGAATTTGAGAAGCCCCCCCCACTCCCCCACTGATTAAAATATACTATAACATGTATGTAGCAAATGCTGATGTTGTGTTTACTTACAGGTACACTGGTGCCAACAGCGATGACGACAAGCCCCATAGTGAAAGTGTCAATACCCAGAATGCAACCACTGCGACCAACCAGCGTTATCATGGCAAAACTGAGCAGAGCGATCCAGATGACTGATATCAGGAAACTCAACCCGATCTTGAGTTTCTTCACCCATCTCCTGTAAGTAGAAAAATATAAATTTGAAATATCTTGGACAATATTTCATCTGTTGTGGCTTACACCCCCAAAATGCAATCTGATTTTCGATGCCGTTTCGGTGCCAAATTTTGGTGCCGTTTCGGCACCAAATGGACTGACTAGTCCGGTAGCATATTTTGGTGTTGAAAGGTTTCGGTGCCGGAACGGTGTCGAAACATTGCCGGAACGGTGCCGGAACGGTGCCGGAACGGCGTGGAATTATATTGGCTGTGTACTGAAATCAGATGGTTTGTTAGTAAAGTGTGGTAGGCCACTCAAAGTTAGATACATGTATATGTTACAAGTCTTCTCCCTACTATACTAAAGCAAAGGCTGAGGCTCAGAAAACAAACAGAATTTTGTGGCGCGCTCAGATTTTTTTGTTGATATCTTTTCACCTTCCAGCCTTATAATTATTTCTTCCTTAAACAGGATATTATACACAATTTATAAAAGTTGAGTTTGAATGGCCTAACATTTTACATACATGTAATCCCATTTTCTCTTGCAGAAGACTCCCCTCTCTTGAAGGTAATGGACTTTAACTGTTTAAAGATTTTAAGACAATTTGAATTGTTTGTTCAAGAAGATTGTTTCATTGTGTATTCAGGAAGATTAATTGTTTATATATCTTCAAGCAGGTTGTTTTATTGTATGTTCAAGAAAGTTGTTTTATTTTATTGTATTTTCAAGAAGGTTGTTTTATTTTATGTTTATGAAGGTTGTTTTGTTTTATTATTGTATTATGAAGGTTGTTTTGTTGAACATTCAGGAGGGTTGATTAGTAAAGGGCCTTATCCTTTAAGTAGGTCATTTATTGACATGCCTGAACCTGCATTATTTCAATAGATGCAAATAATGTTATTAGTTTGACAGAATATTCAATAGGATAAACTGAATCCCATTGATTCAAATTCCTGTAGAAGAAAGCATTATCTCATGTATTAAGCAACCTGGTGCTGCACCCTGTGCAACACTTGCACCTCGCAAGAGGGTGAAATGTTGAGATATTTTGCCTAAAACAGGTAAAATTGGGATTTAGCAGCCCAGAGAGACTACTCAACTCTAATTAGAGTGAGAGATTTGTAAAGGACTAAACCTGTGGTTATTACCCATTACTGATATTATAAGATTATGTAAGAAAATAAATCCACTAATGAGCCAATGGTAATTAAGATTAATACCTTCAAGACTTGTTCAATTCAAACACAAAAACTCGAGGCAACTTGCATAATTAAATATGTCATATTGACAACTTAGATTGATGGCTCTATAGGCACTGAATATTAAGTTTTGTTGTTCTGAATTTGATAACCATTGATTCAAATTTAGGAACAATTATTATTTTATAGCACAAAAGATTGGTAATTGATTTTCCATGTTCTTCAATTTCCTTGAAATGTGAAATATCTACTCGCGACAGAATCCCCGACGCCAAGAAAGAAGAAATATTCTATCAATATCAGCGCAAGGGGAGGTTTTTCGGAACTAACATTTTTACATTTTCTAATCAAGAGACATTCTTTACATTCAAGCCGGATGGTGATTTTCCATAATTTTGTTGGAGTGGTCAATGGATAATTTACCCTATCTGTCTGAAAAATTGAAGCTTATTTATGTTTGTAGACTCCATATTTTCATTTTTATTCCTTGGTGATTTCACTCTAAGAATTATTTTTATGGATCTTTAAAAATATCCAGCTTATTAAAGCACAGCATTCCCTGTCTTTGCGCTATAATTCTTTTTGTATCTGTACTCTTTAAAAGACATTTAGTGTTGCCACGGTAATTTACTATGCACTGGCTGTTGTCAGTTACCATAACAACAATAAACATTATTGTAGCACCACAAGTCTACCAAGTTATACAATCAATGGATTATTATAACATGGCTTTAAATTACTAGAAAAGTGTCATCAGCTAAACTGCAGTATTAACTGATTTATCAGCATGGATGAGATTATCTTTTATATTTCCTTTCCTGATGGAAATATGACCTTTCTTGATTTATTTATTACCCTTCGTGATTGCTTTATAGCTGTCGTTGATATTGTCAGAGCTATGAAATTATTTTATTATCTAATGAACTGAATTTGAGTTCAGGAATATTACCAAGTAATAAAAAGCATTTTGCAATAGGCCTATAGATTTCTTAAAAATGAATTTATAAAGGGCTTAATGTTTCCCCATGAAAGAAATTTTATTTCAATTAATGTCATGATATTCTCTGAGTGATTAAAAACAAACTGCAGGCCCGTAAGACACTTTTCTCCAAGGGGGGGTGCGGTTTTTAGCTTACTAAAGAGAATATAAAATTGTCAATTTTTTTGCCGCGTAAATCAAATCGCGTAAGTCAGAGGGGGGGGGGGGGGCTCAGTTACTCCCTATATTGGTTTGGAATTAACAAATGCAACTTCCAAACGTTCCAATTGTTTTGTGGGGGGTGTGAGGAGTGGTCCACTCCCCCTAGAAAATTGTGTAAGTGTAAGTTTCCAAGTAGTACGCCACCACCATGGGAATAAGAGTTGAGTGAATAAAAAAACGAGCATTTAGGGGGGTCTGGGAAAATTTTGAAATTTGGTTGTATTTGGAGCGAATTTGCAACCATCTGGTACGCCTGTGCATTATGAGTCAATAAGAAAAATGTGTATTTTTTTCAAATTCTTTTGGGGGTGTCAAAGTCAATGAGAGGGTGAAGTGGGGTGTGGTGCCAGTAGGGTAGCAAGGGGTTGTCCCCCAGAAACATTGACCATATCAAGGTGATTTGATGATGTCTGGGCACTTAAAAAATGTCTGAGACAATACATGAAATTCAGAATATTTCCTTTTGTATTGTGGGGGATGTGAGGGGTGGCTAACTCTCCTAGAAATTTTTACAATTTAAAGATGATATTTGGTGCTTCTGGGCACTTTTAAAATGTATTAGTCAATAAAAACATTGAAAAACAATCACAATTTTCAAATTTTGGGGTGTCAAAGGGGGGGGGGGTGCCAGAGGGGGAGGTGGGGCTGGGTTGCCAGAGGGGGAGCAAGTGTTTGTCCCCCATATCAAAATTTACGATATCAAGGTGCTATTCGATGAAGTTTGGGCACTTTAAAAGTGTCTGTGCCTAAAAGTGCCTATTTCCCAAGAAAATTTTACAATTTTAAGATGCTATTTGGTGCTTTCTGGGCACTTTAGTCAATAAAGTCAATAAAAAATTTAAAACTTAAATTGGGGGCTGCCAGAGGGGGAGGTGGAGTCGAGTGGGGATGCCAGAGGGCGAGTAATTGTTAGTCTTCCAGAATCATTAACTTTATCAAGGGGCTATTTGATGATGTCTGGGCAATTTAAAAGTGTCTGAGACAATACATAAAACAAATTTAGAACTTTTCCATTGTTTTGTGGGGGGTGTGAGGGGTGGCCAATACCCCTAGAAAATTTTACAATTTTACAACGCTATTTGGTGCTTTCTGGGCACTTTCAAAGTGTATGAGTCAATTAAAAAATTTGAGAAAATCACAATTTTTTTTAAAATATGTCAAGCTTAAACACACCACCTTTTTATGTGTCAAATCCAGTGATGAATTTTTTATTTATTTCACCATTGCATTCTGCAGTCAACAGTTTAAATTATTGACCACTCCTTATTTTAACAATTTCCCGTGTTCTCCACAGAATTTTTTCTCAAGTGGGTGCAAAATTCCCATTTTCACAATTCAGACTAAATTGGGTCAAAATATGCCAATTTTCCATGATTTTTTTCATTTTCAAGTTGGTGCAAATGGATTCTTAGGTGGGTGCAAGCCTGTTTTCAAAATCTCAGGTGGGTGCTGCGCCCACTTGCTTTTATTTGGGGAGATTACTGATTTTCTTATATATTGTAAGATATTCAATATTTTGGTTTCTATTTTGATAGGTATCAAATTAAGATGACGGGATATTGCATCAAAAAAGAATTCTGTGATCTAGTTTCCAATAATTCATTCAATTTTACTCTTATTTGCCACATCAACAGACAAAACATTAGATATGACATATGATGTCAAATCTTTTAATTTTATATATTAGATCATTCTGTTTGCAAAAATTTGAACTATGGAATAATTGTAACTTATGACTCTAATAAAACAGCTAAGTGACTTCAATAATATGGTGAAATAGTTTTACATCATTTCATCATTTCACCGAAACATAGACTCTTGCTAAATGAAAAACCAAGAACGCTGTGACTTTGGTATAACAGAAAGAGATTTATTTCTTGCCATTTCAAAAAATGTCATTCTGGTTTTATAGTATGTAGATCTCAAGATTTGAGGTCCTATTGAGGTACTATAAATAATGTATGAAGTATAATTGTATGCATGAATTCAGATCAATGGTGTTATTTGATTCTAGGGACTAGACAAAATTAAACTGCAAAATTATCAACATTCTTTGCTCCTCTCAAAAACTGTTGAGCTTTCATTTATCTATCTATATACCATTTCATTAGCTTTCAATTTTTTTATTTTGAGCTCTACATAGAATGTCCTCAGAATGTTTTTTATTTTTAATTTTGATCTAGGAAAATCTCAGGTTGCCAGGGATATATATGCAGGCCGTGGATGAGTGTTTGAAAAATACTTTTTCGAGATTGGATTGAGTTCAGGTTATTTGTAAATGTAGACTTTATTTTTCTTCCCATTTATCATATCCGGCATTTCTTTGAAGATTTCATGAGGAGTTTTAAACGAGAGAGGCTGTAAAAAATATTCATGATGAAAGTCAAACCTTAATAAATAGAATTACTTTCCATGATTACATAACAAATTCTTGTCATAATCCTTTGATTTGAATAATCAATTACAGTTAATGTGCTTTTTTTGACTGTTTGAGAAATGGTGATGGACCCATGCCTCTTCTACACCTTTTTCTCTCTAAAATTTGAATGAAATGTCTTGATTTTCTTGCATTTCAATACAATTTATACATTTAGAAACATTACCACCATAACATTTATCATTCTGGAGGTCACATTGACACAGTCCTGGGGGGATTTGTATAAAACTATGCTTCTAAACTAAGTCATTTTATCAATGATTGAACATTTCATTTGACATTCTGCTCCTGAAAGAAATCTTTTGATTAGCCTTACTAGAGAATTCGGATAGTTTTATTTTTTGGATATAGAATTAATCTTACTCCTCCTAAGAGAGTATCAGATGCCACATCTTCAATATATGTTACGACTGGATCAAATATTTTGATTATTTGAATACTGTCATACTTTCACAAAAAGCAGATTTTACCCCAAACTGTCAAGAAATAATAACAAAGCCAGTACCCCCCCCCTCCCCCAGTGAGATCCATCTTAACCTTGGTGGTAGTGAATTACATCCTTTAACTACAAAACCGCAACGCAATTCTGTAAAAGAACAATATTGGTGTTGTAAGATATAAGCATTACCAATAAAGTCAGATAGACCTTCTTCAGGTTCATGACAGGTTTCATTAGTATAAATCTGTTATATGCTGCGTGACTGCATACTACATTCTCTACTACATAACTATATAACTCTTGAGAGCCTTTGAGAATCATCCTCTGTGACTTTCTTATCAACTCTGTTCCCTTGAGTTTGGAATGCTCTTGAATTATTAAGATTACAAATGTAAACTTGTACAGTAAAACCAGTCTAAGCAGAACACATTTAGTACTTCTAAAAAGTGTTCCTCTTGCAAGGTTTTCCACTCAAAGAGGTTGATTTAGTCATTATGACTTTGGACTCTGAAAAGGGTTCCACTAATGGAAGTGTTTCACTTCTTGAGGTTTCACTTCTTTACAGGTTTCGCTGTATTTACTCTTTTCTACTTTTTCTTGCTGGTTAAATAGCACAACTGTGTTTGGTACCTGGCTCTTTTATTCATCTTGAATTATGAAACGCAAAAACATGCAAAAATGAAAACTTAAGATAAATCTTACCAAGGGAAAAAGTTTGACCAAGGACATTTTTATTTATCAATTATGTATATTGTTTACAGTTATATCATTTTGACAGTATTAGCCATGCGTCATTAATACAGATGATTCTAGGATGGATGAATTTTCATTTTTGATACACAAATGATGTCCAAAAATGGTTTTGGGGCAACCATGCAGAAATAGACCACAAAACAGACATTTTTAAGGGCCTGGGGTAATTAGTTTCATCCAAGTGGTGTTAGAAGAACAGCTCATTTCTGCAAGGGGTAAGATCATGACAAGGAAGAGCATTACTAAATTAATATAATAAGACTGCGTAATTTCCTGTGTCTTCATTAGAATGTCATCACAGAGTAATAATAGTAAGATGCAATTACTGATGTCAGTATTGCATCTGTTCAGACATGACAAAATATTAGTACATGATGGCAATGTATATATATACATGTATATATTGAGACATGACATCCTAAGTATGTTGATGTCAACTAAACATCTATTCAGACATAGCATTGAATTATGTTTTGATTTATCTTGAACTCTCATGGCTTGCTCTCTTTCATGTAGTATTTGTGTTATGTGAAGAAGCAGTGTGTGTAAAACATAAAAACTAATAATGACACAGATAGTGTTTGTACGTGAATTGGTATTCTTCTGAATGGATCAGGCTCATTGCATATTTCAATTATTTGATAGTGATCATACACTATGACTACTAAGGTTATAGTCAAAATGCATGCTCGCTCCGATGCCTTGCTTAGTTGATAAAAATGTCTTACTTCAACTATTTATTCAAATTAGTCTATGACATCCCATGTTTATGTGATTTCTAAATTTATTTTTGATATATGTAAGTGGTTGGTGCAAGATATAGCTTTAGAAAATGGGAGTTTGTGCTGTTTTGCTGTTTTTCAAATGATGCCTTTGGTGCTTTCTCACCAAGCCTAGTTATTTGAATTGTAATGTTATAGAACAGAACTGCTTTACAAAATGTGAAAAGATACATACTTTTCTTCATCTTTGCTGCAATCAGGTATTGTCCAAGAATATCCAATGACAAATGGAAAAGCAGTGATAAATATAAACCAGCGTAGGATGTATTTCAGCCATGCGACAAAACCTCCTTTTTCCTTAACTTCATCTGAACTGGGTGGATATGTACGTATATTTGGTAGACAAGGGCAGCAGATACATTTCATCGTTTCCTCTTCTTCCTCTCCCTCCTCTTTTTCCTAAATAAAACATTTACAAACATCTTAGTTTCAAATTGAGGCATATCGAGAAACAGATCGAGGGAGGCTTGAGAGATTTTTTCTAATTTGGTCATTTTTTGAAGATTCCAAAAATTTATTTTGATTTTAAAGCATCATTTTTTTATTTGATATGAGAATTGAAAGGTAAAGAATTGAGACTTTGTAGATTTTAATATGTGTAAAGGATCTAGAAAATGAAGGGCTATTTATCAAAATCAAATTTTGAATGCTTGAGGAATGAAGGATGGTAAAGAGACTAGACCATTACCTCTTGAGGGATGTAACATTTTTGACCCTGATAATTTTTTTCTGGGACAGTTGGACCCTAAATATTCTTTGTTGTCACACCTTCAATTTCATAATACCCAAACCCCTTCAATATTCAAATTTTTTTCTATGATTTAGTCCCCCAAGATTTAATGGCCATCCACTTGAGACATATATTTGTAACTTTAAATGATATTTGCAGAACTCCCTCTGAACTGTTCAGATAGTTTATTCGATGTTAAAGACAAAGCAGCTGTTTCACAGCACAAGGTTAGGTTCATGCAGGCAAAATATACAGGCATTGCAAGCTTATCAAATTATACTTACAATTGATTGGTTTAATCATATATAATAATGTTAAAAAAGGTCTATCGGGAATTATGGAATTTTTATGCAATTAACAATTGGTTATGTGGAAAATACAAAAGTTAGTGTTAAGAAAGATTATGCACATTTGTGCACAAGCAGTAATAGTCATCTAATACTTATGTATGATATGGTCAATGGTGTCTAAATTTCTACTTTGAGAATTGATGTGCCATAGTGGTCAATTTCCTCTTGAGAAAGTTAAAATTGTTACTTCTAAATCTGAGACTTCGTTAATTTTCTATTTTTCATCATCAATATTGGGGTTATCTCCCAATGGAGATTTAAGGGAGATTTGAGGAGAATCATGACCACCATGACGTTTGTTGTGCAGATTTATGATTATTAGCAACTATGCAATCTTCACAAATATCACAAATTAATCGTTATCTAGCTAAGTGAGACAAAGTCAAACATCAAGGAAAGTGCAAAAGAGATAACAAACCCCCAGCTACAGCTCAAATAATTTCTAACAAATATTACAAAAGAATTGAGAGGTAAGTTATTTGTAATAGAGCTGTAATTGTGGTTTCCTATTTATAGTGTAAAGCAGAATCAAATCTAAGGACAATCTACAATACAAGTACATGAAATAGAACAACACATATAAATGACATAAACTTTTATAAGTTTGAAACTAAATCAAAAGTTGATAAAGAATGGCATAGGGATACAATTTAAGAACAAATAAATTTGCCCAATAGTACATATTTAATATGATTTGATAAAATAAATTGTTAATCTATACTGAAATAAAATGATTAAGATGAAAATTGAACTCTTCATTTTATGCAAATCATTTTTTATTTAAATTAAATATGTATAAAAAGAATGTTACTTGAATATTTCATTTGAGTTCTAAAATTTTTGTGAAAATTTACAAAGATATTTCTTTGATACTGTCAGTCAGTTTCAAAACATATAATATCGATGTGCCATGTAAAAATTCAATCATGAATGATAAATCAATACTGACAGAGAAACTTCTGTTTTCTACTTTATACAATATTCAACAGATAAAAGTTTGAAATGTTCCTAAGCTAGAAGAAACAAGACATTAAGAATGATAGGAATAGAACGATGATAGATAAGACTTATTGAAATAGGAGAGAAAATTCATGAGGATCAATTCAAAAATGTCACAATCGAATCAACCTCAGCCCAAGATATTCTTCAATTAGATTTTCTTGACCAAAGATATTGTGATGACACTTGCAAATGATTAAAGGATTTTAACTCTTAGACACTAGAGGATTTTTCAATTTTGGCCATTTTTGCCATTTTCTCTATGAACATACAATATACTACATGTATGTTCAGAATAGTGCCTATATATTAAACACAGACTCGGTGGGCATATTATGAATTGATAATTGTATAAATTGCATATAGCTATTTATTAAGTTTCAGTGAAAGTCTTTTGCATTTTTAGTAAAGCATTCTGCGACATATTTTTTCTGTTTCTCTGACTGTTTAAGAGATCAACAGTTCAACATCTCTAAGTGTCTGTTTTTGGTTATACCAGATCATATTTATTGAATTAACATTTAACCTTTAAACACCACATTGAATTACTCCATGGTTATTTATGAAATTAAAGTGTTCCCCTAAAATGAACCATGGTAAATCAATTTCATCTTTCAATAATTAAATTTTTGATTGACAGTTTGGTTGGCCTTTAGTAGCTTTTCATTGATTTAGAATTTCTTTCTGTTGCCCTTCTCCTTTATTGATAATATGATGAGTTGAGTTTTGAAATATTACAGAATTAATGGAATAACCATAAAATATTGTAAAAGTATAGCTTGCGATTAATGTGCCACTAGCATGCTTGTTAATATTGAAATCTGGTAACTTAATCATTATTTTTAAAATAAACAATTTTAATAGAAAATAAATTATAAGGTAAACCTTTTAACATTTTTTTTAATTTCATTTCTACAATATTTGTTGATTTGAACTCCTTGGGAACTCATTTTGATGATCCATTTGCAGTTTATTTTAATTAGCATAATTGTTTTAAATTTTGACAGTATAACATGAGGTATTCCAAGTAATCAAAACAATTTTGAAAAGTGACTGAAACATCTCCCAAGGAATGTCAAATTTAATCAGTTCGAAGCATGCATGGATTAGTGTTTATTTATCCCGCATGCCTCTTACATCAAAGCCAATGGAGAAGGCTCCATTTGATAATGACACAGAATTGTGATCGCTTGTTTGTTCATATTCGCTCTCCTAAAATGAGAAACATTACATGGTGATACTGTTGCTTATTCGGTCATCAATTTCACCTTATCTCGTAAAGTGTCATCGCGATAAAAATGTCAACTTATTATTAATAACATTAGATAATCCTCAGCAAGGGCTGGTCAAAGGAAAATCATCTTCCAAATGCAGGGTAATTCAGTCTCCCGAATAACTGCTCTTTCATTTAAATTGGGAAGAAACCTTTTTGATGAAACTTGACCTTCATTTGGAGGATGAAATAGACGAAGAAAAGAAAAAACTTGATTGCTTAGTAGCACCATGCTCTGGTGCCACAAGCTTCAGGAAAATTCCAGAAGTTGAAATAAAATACACAACATTGTTCAAAAATGCCATTACTATGATAGTGAGTGATACTGATAGAGATTGAGTTATACGACTTACTACATGTACAATGAATCGTGAAATGTAAAAGAACAATATAAGAAATATTTTCTTACCTCTTCATCAATCTTGACCTCAGATTCCAGCTGTTCCTCTTTCTCTTCCTTGAGTCCATCTGCTGTTGGTTGATAGCTGATAGAGGATCGCTGGTGAGCGTGAGTATGCTGTGAAGTAGTATTAGATGTGAGAGGAACAGTTGAAGAGGAGGTAGAGGATTTACGCCGTTGATTACACATTTTTAGATCGGGGTTAGACGATGATTCAAAATGACCATCTGTTTCTGATTCATTCTTAGTATGATATTGAGGCACTGTATTTTTGACAACCTGTATTGAGTTATCATTATCTAGACCACCATTGAGCTGAAGATCATTTGATTTCTCAGACACTGAATCTGAACTAGGAAACCCAGAAGGGGATTTGAATTTTTTTGCTTTGATTGGTGGGAGAACACTTGAAGTTTGATTTGAGCTAAGAGATTCATCTAATTTTAAATCTGATTGCCTTTGAATTGGTGGTAAACGTTTTTGAGTAACAATTGGAGGCTGTTGCCTTTCTTCATTACTTACATCTGATTTCTCATTATTTTGTGGTAATGGTCCATTTTGATTTCTTTGTACATTTGGATCATTTGGTGGTTTCAAAAAATCATCTTTATCTTTACTAATTTGATGATTGCTATTGTTATCACTTGGTCCATTCTGCAAGTCAGTGTTGCTTGCATGATTGCTATGAATGTAGCCGCTATTTTCATGGCTATTAAATCCACTGTCAGTATGACTTGGTGGTCGTGCGTCACCATTTTGTTCAGCACTTTTGCCATCATTTTCTGAGAGAGTATTGGGAATGGTAGTCATTGGAGTTGATTCGTATGTAGGACCCCCTCCCGTCTGTATGTGTAATCAAGGGTAAGTCGAAATTTAAAATTCATGAAAATCGAGAATAGTATAGGCAGAACAATAAGTCAAAGTCAACACGACAGAAATTAGGTGTTAAATAGAGGACGTAACAGGAGAAAAGCGATGTTAAATAAATAGTTTGTACAATATTGTCGCAGGATACAATAGAGTAAAGGAAGCATGTAGAATTACCAGGTAAAAGTACATAGTAACAGTCATTTCATTGTGATTTAAGTGAGACATATACAGAAAGGCAGGAAGTGATTTGAGGTTGAGGATTTTAACATCATGCAAGATAAAGTTGAGATAGATGTGATAAAGAAGAAATTTTCACCAGCGAGATTGATTCCGAGAGCAGCAGGAAAATTAGTAGGGGGAAAGAAAAAATAAAATTTGTTAGTTCATTTCTAATATGATAATCATCATTCATATGTATACATACAGCTATGGCTATTGGTATGCCTACTAACAAATCTATAAGGGGTTCCTGTAACAGATAATAAATAAGATGAGATTTGTGAAGTGGTCCAAACTTTGCCAATTGTTCCTTTCAGTAGACATAACCCATTGTTGGACATACAACTCATTGCTCAATTAATGAGGAAATTGCCTTCTCATACTCGGTGGCTGGATCTGGGGCAAACATGGAAAGAAATTTATTTTTTGCCCTCCCCTTGTGAATTTCCTGCTCTGGGGGGGGGGAGTCAATTTGTACATCAATCAGGCATCAGGTTGTATTATGAAAGGAAACATTTGCCAAAGTACAATAAGATATAGGAAATACATGCATCAGAGGGTACCAGGTCTTAGAGGATCATGCCACAGATGTGGTACTGGGTAGGTTGAGGGTTTTGGGTTGGGATAAGTAGGGTTAATTGCAACCGTTACAATATGTCAGTAGGCATTCACTTTATAGACAATCAATTTCCATGCTGATCTATATACATTAATCATATTTATTTATATACATGTACTTTATAATATATACACTCCCCTCCAAATATCTGGCAATCCTAACTCTCCATTGGTAAGCTTGTTAAGTCGTCTTTATGTTTGAAATTTATTATTTCTTTTTTTGATGATTTCTCAGATCACCAGATGCTTAGGAAAGTTTGGATAGTCAAACTTCGAGGGAATTGTAACTTATAAATCTTCATTCCTTTCTTGGTTGTTAATTCTGATTCCTCCATTTGTTCTATTTTGCAAGGATCAAGCATGAACACTATAATATTTGAACTAAGACCACAGTTCTTGAATATGTGTTTAGTATTCCTAAATATTTGGGGAGGCAGTGGAATGTAATTTGAATTAAAACACAATGGCCTTAAAGATAAAACAAGGAATGTAATGCTACATTAAAATTAATACGTATATGATTGATAATTTGATTACCAAAGTTGATTTTATCAAATATATTGTTAAATTAATCTTTAAATTTATGACGGCAATGTTTTTTTTCAGAATTTTATACAGTAAAATGTGATGCGTTTCAGGATATATTTAGTTTAAATTGAACCATTTATTGTGCATACCTAGAGAAATTGAGGTATCGATCTGATACATTTAGGCATCCAGGAAAGAAGGAAGTACATGAAAGACGAGGGTTGTCTATTGATGACACAGATTTGTGTACAAGAAACAAGAAGACTGTTTCGTTGGATCATTGCCGTCATAAATAAGAAAGTTGGTGAACAATCGATGAAGAATATTATCCTGGCTTTAGGATGAATTAGTCTTATCATTTTTATATTGTGACAATTTCAATAACTTGGTCAAGACTAATAGATCGGGATCAACAGATACAATTCACAATGCCAAGATTGATGATAAATGGTTTATTGAAGTTGCTCTGACAGTAAAGAATAATGTGACAGAGGTCTGGGAATAATTGTCATACTGGAAATGAAATTTATTTCTTCATCTCAAAATGAAGTCGAATTGAAAGGAATTGGGGATCAAAAAGAGATTTTCATTTGAGCCACAAAGATAAATTTAATGAATTAAATTAGCTAGTTGTAAAGCAATGTTTCATTTCTGGATTATGTTTTATGAGATTCAGACATTATTAACTATACTGAGTACAGATTTGATGATATCGTAAAAAGTATTATGACTTTTGATCATTTCAGAATGCTCGAGTTTCTTTTGCTGTTACTGTTACTTAATAAAATCTAGCTGTTTTAATAGCCACAATAATTTGAACTGTTTTACTGTAGCAGAGGTTAATTGAATCACTCAATTCAACAGTATAGATAACCTGTTGTATTAACATTAATTCAAAAGCACAAAAAGCATTGAGTTGAATTGGATTGTGGCTTTAGAACAATGGATGTCATAATGTGTTGTGTTCAATAAACCTCTTCCAAGGATAACAAAGTGGTCATGAAATTTCTCAGGAATTATTTAATGATTTGTTTTCTCAAAGCTCTCCACGATTTTGTGTTAGCGGTTTCAGGTCCATTTTCCCTGAACTTTTCACACTTCAAACTGATAAATGCATAGGTTTAGAACATGTTGGTCCAAGGTTTTTTGAAAAAGCCCCCAAAAATCAACTTTTATATATCATCATGCAAATGTCCAAGATGGAGGGGAAAGATCTTTTTGATGTTTGGTCAAGCTATTTTGGATCTGGGAGACAACAACACATGCTGTTGTTGTTGGCTTTAGCTTGTTATTAGCATGTTGCTTAGTCTCAAAAGGTTAATCAATATATATCCCATAAATATAACTCTCATTGGTGATGGAGAGAATAGAGATTCTGACATTGTTTTGAATGAAACCCAATAAATTTCACAATTCTTGCATTTTTGAGTAAACTACATTTCAAATTTCTGATCTTTTTCAATTATTTCTCTTTTTCTGGTAGAGAGTGAGGAATTCCAAGTCCAGTGAGAGATTTTATGTGACGGATTTATTGACCATATATCAGTAACCGAATAAAAATCTAATTAAGAATGTATGGAATACTCTTATACTATAATAATATATATAATAAAATTCTATAATATTACCTAATTGTTCAGAAAATTATTAAGTAGCCATGTTCATTCCAGGCCATATTCTTGTTTTTTCACGAATATAAAATGTGTAAGAAATGTTTATATTGTTTTTTATAGTTTTGAGTAATGTCTACATATGCTTAGTATAGGCATCAAAAATTGTTAAGGCCAATTTGATGATTTTGTGTAAATTTTCAATTAAGGTTAGGATGATCATGGCTGCAAGGGATTACGTTTGAAAGGTAGCTATCAATTATTCATCCTTAAGCCAGCATATTATCCAAGATTTGCTTCATAATTCTTATACAATAGCTTAACTAATTTCTTAATTATAAAATCTGCCAGCTTTTGCATATCAATTGCTTTACAGTTAACTGTAACACTTTACATGTATAGGCTATCATTATAACATGCTTGTTGTGTTATGTAAAATTTCTGTAGTAGTGCAGCAATCGCGCACAAAAGCTGTCTCTGGTTAGGAATAAAATAATAAACAAAAAGGCACACCATACAAGCGTGCGGTACGTACTGTTGGTCTACTCACCAGACCCCCAATTATGGAATGACGTTTTGTGTGGTGAAATATGTGTCGATCATGCTCGTGTTCGCTTTGTTTAGATTTTTGTGAAATAACTGATAATCTTCTAGCATGGCCTCCTGGGCCGATAGAGAGCTAAAAGAAAAGAGTTATTGTTAAACAGGATAGAGAAAAACAAACAAACAAACAAGAGGTTGATTTATTGCAAAAACATTGATTGATCATAATGCAAGTCCCATCTGAGTTTTAACAGACCAAAGACAATCTCGATAGCATGATGATGGATTTATCAATGTTTGCTTGCAAAATGACCTGATTTAAGACCTTGTTTGCATTTGATTTATTTTGTTTGGCATTTTTTGGATAGTTAAATATTATGTGCCTGATAAAAAGTAACTTTTGAATCTTTATCAAATGCAAACATCGACTTATTAATTTTAACCATAGAGAGGTATGCATCATATAGTGTACATACAATGGTATATCTAAATGAGAAGTTTGCACACATTAAACAAAGATTTTCAAAATAATTTTGTGTTATGAAAAAGAATTTCACTGCACTCCTGTAAAAGATAGAAAATTGATAAGTTTGAACAACATGTAAAAAGTAGAATAGTAAAAAGTACCCATATTTCTTTTTCAATTGAAACCAATAGTTTTTTAAAAAGTTGTGCGTATCTGCCATAAAATATGGTCAGTTGTACATATAACTGCCGTATACAGTAAATTACATTTATATATGGTTATTAAAAACATGGTCCCGGTTTGTTGAGAACTGACAAGGGACACTATATGCTATTCATTACAAACCCAAACATAAAACACTATTAATGCTTTTTTACAGATACTGAATATTTAGCTGAATTTGGTTCAGTAAAAGCCATTTTTGAGGTTGATGTATTTAACATACAGATGAAGAGTGCATCAAGCTTCAGACAAGTTTAAATGAGTTTTTCCATAAATGTAAATCTTTGCAGTTGATGATGTTCTCATTCAGCTTCCGTAGCAACTTTAAGGATATCAAGAGTGCTTATCATCTCAAGGGAAGTAATAAGTATTAGATGGATATTGGAAATGGACACCTCTATAAGTATTACTTTTACTTGTTTGACATTGCTCATCAGCAACCTGATGCTGATTAACCCAACTGAAATAATTGTCTGATTTGACTTCTGTCGGTATGTGATTTATCAAACCAACTCTTTTTTCATATTAGTTGGTTGAACTCCATCGACCATGAAGTGTTGAAATATTGTTATATTGTAGTCATTATATTTTTGTGACCAGCATGTGGCATTGTCATAAATGTTTCCTGTTTCTCGGTGATCACATTTTCTCAAAATCTATTTATTTCATGATTCATGGTAATCACACGAAGATTAAATTAAACTCAGAAGAAGTCAGTGGTCATTGAAGTAAGCCATTACTGGCAACTAATTCCCCTTCTGGTTAATGGTCAAATGTTGCGGATACTATTTTTTTATTTAGAGTCCTCAAATTTGCCAGTTCACTTCATCCCACATATATTTCCTCCTTTGGCTCAATTATATCATTCATATGCTTGGTGGATATTTTTCTGCCATCAAGTCTGCAGAATCTTCCATATCATTTGACACAAGGGCCATTAGATTTACACTTCATGCTGTACTCACTGATTCATATGCCCAAGGACTTCAAGTGATTTCTCATAGTCTGTAATTTCCCCTTAGTAATGCCAGTTATTGTTTAACAGGAATAATCCCATGGGTTGAATTGTTTTCTAAGTAAGGAGAAATGAATACAGGTTTGATGCAATATAAGACCCCAAAGGTAGCCACCATGGCCTCTATAAGATGAGCTTCAGTATAAATTGAATACCAGATACCTGAAGGTATTTTGCTATTTTTGATTGAGCAGCTGGATTTTGGTTGGCCATATTCTGATTGGGTAGGGGCAGATCAAAGAATTGTCCCGAAGTCCAACTCAAGAGAGTATACAAGAAGCTCTCGTCTAAAGAAGAAGTTGAATATTCACTTCATGAAGGAAATTTATCTGCCCATGCTTTAAATGAAGCTTAGGGTATTCAGAGCATCCAGTAATGACATTAGCAAAGTGATTCTTTCAAGGTTGATTTACAGTGCCAACCAAAAGCATCAATTAAGCTCAATTTTAGATGCCCATATTTCATGGTTTGTCATGCTGGGTATGGTAGTCCCAATTTACCAAGCTGACAACTGCATGAAATTTGATCGACAAATGCATTTTCTCAAAGTCAGTCGATTGATCAACTTTTCTTATATAATGACATTGTTTCTAAACTTAAAGGAATCCCGTTAATAAACTATTGACAGGTCATTTTTCTGGGATTAATATTTACCGAGATAATCTAATGATCCTATGGACTAATTTTACCATAAATCAGTTAATCAACTTATGACGAGCTCGCAGATTACAAGTTCAATAGACTTTCTGGGTATTTATCTTCGCAAAGCGATAACGTGAGAAAATGTTGCGAAAGCACTTATATCAAAGCTGAGATTTTTTCATATCACTAAGAAGCAGTAAACACTTTGAGCGTCCGCAGTTTAAAGCAATTATGGAAACTAAGGTAATCAATATTCCCAATAATGCCATAGTTCTTTAGGCTCATACGTCATAAATAAAGATATCAACGTCTTTGAGTATTTTTAGCTCGAAATGTGTGAAAACATGTCACAAAGATATATGAAACTTTATATTTGCTCTAAGCTATACCTATATCTGTCTGAAATTAAAGGTATGACATAGAGGTTGTTACAAATAAATTGTGAATCATAATTAATTGTAATAAGGAACGTAATATTTGTAGCTTTAAAGTCTTAAATGGTTTTATCCGAAGTGTAGATTTATCATCCAGCTGATAAAGCCAGCTTAACCTCTCTCACTCTCAAGGGATCAGTATTTCATGCGTATCTGTCTCTTATTATCCTTTTTTAATGAAACGATGTAACTATTTCGTGAGATAATTATTCTCTAATTGTCACAATACGCTCTGTCTTGTACGTATTCATTGGGATTGAATGACACAATGTTATCCGAGCTTATTGGAGATACAATTATTTCAGAATGAAGGTCTAATTTATTTTCACGCTCATCAATTTTTGTTTTGTCTCGATTGGCAGATGGGTACTGTAATTTACTATTCTCTTTGAAATGCTGTGTAATTGTAGATCCGTAGATTTGTGAAAACACAAAGTAGTGAATAGTGAACTTAAGTATACTCCAGTTCTATGTTTTATGTACAAGAGTGCATTTGTTAAAACATTTTGATTCATGTTAGAAGACCGCAATTCAAATGCACGTTTGCGTTTGTCATTTGACAAACGTACATTTGAATCATTGATGTGCTAAAAAAAACTCCAAGAGAATTCTGATTCATTTTAGTCATCTTTTAATGTTTCACGACCATGAATCAGGAAAGGTTAGATGCTCAGAATCTATTAAGAATTCACTCTTATATTCATTCTAGACGGTCACATACACATACCTTTCTCTCTTTTTCATTTTCTTTTTTAAGCATGGCTTGAGATCCATTCATGGATTGCACATTGGTATGATCTGTTAATGGATCTGGGGATGCTGATTTCTCTTCGGACTCCTCATCTTTCACTGGCAAAATGGTTGCTTTACAGCTGAAAGAAATATTATTCAATTTGTACAATGGAGTATGTATAATCAAAATAGCATATGGACATAAAAAGGTGGGGCAGATTTAAGCTATAGGGGATGTAAAAACAGTATCAGTGCAAATTAGTTATATAAAGTAATTTGAGTGATTAATTTTCACACATGCTCTGGGAATCAGTACAAATAAATCCTATAATATCATCACATGAAAAACATATTATAATATAATTTTGGTAAAATCACATTTGCCTCATGTCTGTCTATGTTTCTGGAAAACACTAAAAAAGGCCTCAATCTTATACCATCATTTAAATTCATGTGCATAATGGCTTGCCATTGCCATTATTGCATTACAGACTAAGCAATAAATAATGTTATGGTTGACAGACTATGGAAGAAAATCTATGAACGCATTCATGTAACAGCCAATTTGGGTCTCATGAAGAAAAACTGACAACTGAAAATTGAATATGGTAAGTTATAAATGTGTTTTTATCATCATATCTCATCAATATAAATGAATCATTTCTTACCAAAAAATCAAGCTCATAATTCAATTCAATAATTCATCATTCATTAGTCTTCCATTAGTCCGCAGATTTTGTTTCAAAATAATGTAGGCAAATATGATCAGATGTTAAAAATGATTAACACTTTAAAACATTAAAGGTAAATGAATAAAATAGGACTCATTAAACAGAAGTTGTACTCAGAATTAATAATTTAAGATAAAATTAGCTCATAATTTGCATAAAAATAAATGGATAAACATATAAGTACACCCCCCTCAATAAGTATGGCAACTGTAAATCGTCATTTGATAGCATACTTATGCCTGCCAATGTTTGAACCTTTATCTTGTTTCTTTATAACAATTGTTCAAACTCTTGCCAAATTCAGTGATTTCTTCATAATCACCAAACATTATGTTTAGTACAGGCTTTAACATGAGATTCAGGAGGGGACTTTCATTTGTCAAACTTATGGAGGGGGTGTAAGTTGAACTCACCAGCAGCATCTCCAGGTTGCCATCCAGGCCATGAGTTTAGGATTAATGACCATGATGATGATGTAGATGATATATAGGCCCAACAAGATGAGGGCCTCATGAAGGTAGAAGAGTCCGTCCCAAGAGAAATAAATAAAGCAGCCGATTGAGAGGCCATAGAAGAAGGAGTCTCTTATTAATGGACGCCAGTCGAGGTTTAAGATTTGACCCGCTAATGCTGCCGTTAGGGCGATAATTATTAGAATATTAAACACTGCAGACCTGAAATTATAAGAAAGAATCATATATAAGACATATATTGGTAGCTATTTTTGTTCAATACTCTCTTCTCTATTCTTAAATAAACTTCATTATTCATATTCTTAAAAATTGAAGCGCAAGTGCCAAAGGGAAAGCACAAAAATTGTTACAGAACCTAGCAAGAAAAATACAACACCTAAATGCACACTAGTCATAAGGAGTTTGATGAAGAAAGAAATTGGTGAATATTTCAAATCTCCGAAATGAACCTGGCACCAAATTAACCCAAGTTACAGTATCCCTGCTCTGGGGAAATTCATTTGGAACCTTATTTGAGGCAATGATGATCAATGATTGTTCTAGGAAGACTATATTTAGCCACATATAAATTTTGTATGCAGCCAAGGAGACCTTGTTAGCTGGAAGTGAACTTGCATTGATCAATTGGATTCTGCTGTTTAGTTTAATGAATCTTATTTCGGCAAGGACTATTTCATCTATTATTGTGTTATACAGCAATATTATTGTAGCATTATTGTACATTCCTGTATTGTATCATATATGGCATTATTGTGTTTTATGGTATAATTGTAGCCTAGCATTATTGTATCATAGGTGGCATTATTGTGTTATATGATATTATTATAGTATTATTGTATCTTTTTATAGATTGGTTAGTACAGGTTCGCTTTTTCCAAAGGAAACTCATTGATTTTAGACCTTTCTATACTTACATTATTATCAGTTTCTCTGAATTACCCTAAGGTTATTTCTTAAAAGGTATGGTTTATGAAACTCTGACTTAGATCATATGCTGTCTCATGGTTCAAAACTCATAGACTGCCAAATTGCCAATGGCAATCACGTTTCACTCTTGGTAATGGACATATTTGAAAACATGCTATAAATATATTTGTGACATCTTAAGGTATAAGAAATTAATTTATCCAGGATTTCCGCTTATGTCAATAAGTCAATAAGCATTGTCTTGGTATTTCCACTGATGTCAATAAGCAATTGTCTTTGCATTTCCACTGATGTCAATAACCTATTGTTTTGCGATTCTGAAGCGGGTGGATTTTCCTGATATTGAAGAAGGAACAACTGGCAATTATGTCCATTTCAAAATATTGAATAAGGATGATATGATGAAACAAAATCAAGAATGCCATTCATCATGACAGGATGAATGTTTATTGTCATGAGAATTTTTCCAGAGTCTTCAAAAACTTCTCTCCGTAGTAAGCAAATTCAAATTTTGTGAACTGAAACTTTTTTTGACTGTTGACCTCCAGAGCAGTCTACAGTTGTATTTGAGTTGATTCATTTTATTGTATATAAGACACAAGTTTAGTGTGAATAACCCAAAGGTGATTTCTAGAAAAATGATGAATGACAATTAAGGTTGTTATCTTCAGGTTATTAGTTTATGTTATAAATGCCATCTGCAGGGCACATAGAAAAGCTGATAATGTGTTAATCACTAGAAATAGGTTGATCGATAGAAAAATCATTGGGACGATTCTAATCTGCACTTTGAACCAACCTGGATTTTTTGTTTACTCAGAATGTGTGGTTTTAGTATTTCAGGTACATTAAGATTGCTTTCTACTTTGGTGATTGAATCACATAGGGTATCACAACTAGCATCATTATCACATTTTAATGTCCGAATTGAAGCAAGTTTGCACTGCACCCGATTAAGATTTTGAAAATATGCTCGCACCCTTCTTAATACCCATTTGCACCAACTTAAATGGAGAATTTTTTACCCACTTAATGAAAAACTTCCCGAGGAAGCAGGCTGCAGCACTGTATAATATATCCTTCCTTTTAGCAAAGGCTCTTTAGTCCAATTAGGATTCCTAATCAGTGTACACATGCATGATGCTTAAGAGGGTGGTTTCCTAAAGCCGATGGACGAGTGCGCATCATTCTCGCGCATCTAACTTTCGGTTTCGGTTTCGATGCCGTGATTTTGTTATTTTAATGTATATTACTCAAATAAATAAAACTTATGTTCAAAATGAATGAAAATGGCTTTATAATATTTATTTGTGGTGAGAGAATTAGTTGCACGGAAAAATAAGACACTCTATTGTCGTAATTTTGGAACGTCTCTGAAACTCCTCACCAATTATCGCCCACCTAGAAACAAGATGCTGCACATGCCGGGACGATTTCAGTCTCAATCGGGCAAACAGTGGGGAATCGTAGCATTAACCATCATAACAACTGTTTATGAAGGTAAGGAGTATCGAATTCAATATCAATTTCTTTTTGTAATCGATCAAAATCACCATATTTAAAGGTAGAAATCGTTTCCTGGTTCTCGATCGGAAATTGTCATTTGCGTAATATTGATTTGATTGGAAAATTCTAATAAATTCCCTTGAAATTTAGTATTTATGTAATAATTTGGTATGTTAATAGTAGATGGTAGTGTTATATATAAATACAATCGATTATTCTGTGATCGTATGCATATAATCACTGAAATTCTTCTCAAAATTACATATGAATTTATATTTGGTGACCGATTCGTCATGACCTTGGCTTGATCTTACAATGTTCAAACTCAACAGGTTTTCATGTCCCAGAGACCTCCCATGCGGGCAGAGTCGGGACATCTTAAATGAAATGTTAACTATATTTGACTGCCTATCACAGTAAAAGTACAGTTGGATGTAGGCAAAAAGATAATTTTGTAATGGAAAATTACATGTACATGTTTCGTGTACATGTATTAAAAGTGTCCTGTGCGGGAGTACATGGAAATCACATGCAGTTATCGTAATCAATACATATTTGGGCGCGGATAGTCCAACAACATTAGACCTAGCCTGGGGCCTGGTTTCTTATCTGGCATGTCTTATGGCCCCGGCGTTGAACTAGGGTACGGATAAACATGCTACACGTCACGTACTGTACATGTGCTGTACTGCAGTATAGTCGAAACTGTACATTTATATGTTTACTGTATCACAGGCCTGTCAACTGTCCCGCAATTTGCGTATTTGTCACGCATTTGCTGAAGAATTTGAAGTCACGCCAGTTTTTTTTGCGTGACAGAAAATGTCACGCAAAATACGCATTTTACCTGGTAATTGTCACGCAAAAATATTTCTGTAGAAATTTTTTTCGAAATATGTTTACGATACGGTAAAAATACGAACGCCGGAAAAAACCGAACGCAATTTGTTCGGATTTGTCACGCGAATCCCGTATGTGTCACGCATGTTCATTGGAAATTTTTCGTACCTACCCCCCCCCCCCCCCCCCCCCCCCCCGTTGACGATATCGCGAGCGTAGCGAGCGCGAAAAATTTGAGGTGTTCAAAGTTTGGCAAAGGTGCTCAAACTTTGGCCAAAGGTGTTTAAAAGTTGGCTAAAGGTGTTCAAAATTTGGACAAAAGTGTTCAGATTTGGACTTAGGTGTCCAACATTTTGAAGTCACTCATATTAGGTGGTCCCAAGTTGACAGCCCTGGTATCAGTATTAGATATCATAGAACATCATATGACGTCTCAAGTTTCATTTTATTCTTGATATACTTTCAAACTATTCCATGTATTTCAGGTGACAAGTTACCCAAAACAACAAACAGTTTTATGGACCACTAACAGTTGCGTCAAAATTATTGGGAGGTTGAGGAAGTTATTATGATTAATGATTAATGATCATGCAATGCAGTTAGATCCTTTAGATGACTGTCACGTCATTGTCGACATGGGCCATACATACTTGTCCAGACCTGGAAGTTTTTAAGTACAGGTAATTGTATAAATTACATGTAATATATTGTTCAAGTCATATACTGTATACATAGATGTTATATCACCTTTGCCTGTGTAGGCAATGACTAGAGAATACAATAAATGCACTTTTTGACAGGTGTAACTCAATTCCCATCCGATTGAGCCCAGATCGCAATATGCCTCAAAATATCATGTTTCTTGCTAACAGAAAGATGCAATGACTATCAAAATGGCATGGATACTTTGATGTATAGTATCAAGTGATCTTTCCAGCTGGTACTAAAATAACTTCAAGTCTAGTTGTTTTTGTAATAAATAGATTATATACAAGGTGGGCCAAAAAATCCATTGTAACTTTTAGTCATGTATTATCTTCAATACTTTAGGAAATTGAAAAACAATTCATTGTCAATATTGTGTAAATATAATTATTGAATATACAAGCTCAAGCTTTAATTACTCACCTCAAGGATAACCTAAATACATCCTCTTTAACCACCTGAACAATCAGTCTGAGACATATTATGCCAGTTTCGAAAAAAAGCTGAGGTCAGTAAGCTATATTATCCAAGGGAGAGATGTTTAACTTCTAGAGATAACATATGTTTTAATTGATGAAAGTGTGGTGAGACCATTTGCAGGGCACATATTGTATGTTAAAAGATATTTCAGCAGTGATGGCTCAAGCTGAGAAAATTTGAAATTTGTCATGACACATGTAGAATACAGATCATGATCAATTGACAAGCCAAAAATAAATACATACACATTTTTATATTTAAAATATTCACCAGTAATCTGAATTTTTGTTGATTGAGCTTCAATAATAAAGAAAATTGAAGAAATGGAAAAATTTTCTAATTGTTATTGGCCCACCCTGTAGATATGTAAATTTACAACATATTAATTTATGTTCTGCAGGCCTTGTCTCCAAAGATGTCTTGGGTGCCCAGAAAGTTGGCTTCAGTGGATGTACGTTACACCTGACTAACAGTCATTTGAAATTATTCAAAATTAGCTAGAGGTACAGAATGTAAGAGGTAAGAGAACAAGTAATATACAGTAAAATCTGAACATCATTGAGAATGGTCAGAAAGCATTCGATGGGGAGATGTATTGATTTTGGTTTCTCTATCCGCAAGATTGTGGATTTTAATGCATTCTCAATGAATATTAATATTTCTATTGACCATTTGGCTTCATGGCATCCAAAATCTGAGGCCATTTCATATTTTTCAGAATTTCATATCAAATCAGTCTTAAA